GCACCTGCTACTGTATTAGCAGCTGCACCCTCTACTGTATTAGCAGCTGCACCCGCTACTGTATTATCAGCTGCACCTGCTACTGTATTATCAGCTGCACCTGCTACTGTATTAGCAGCTGCACCCGCTACTGTATTATCAGCTGCACCTGCTACTGTATTAGCAGCTGCACCCTCTACTGTATTAGCAGCTGCACCCTCTACTGTATTAGCAGCTGCACCCTCTACTGTATTATCAGCTGCACCTGCTACTGTATTAGCAGCTGCACCCTCTACTGTATTAGCAGCTGCACCCTCTACTGTATTAGCAGCTGCACCTGCTACTGTATTAGCAGCTGCACCTGCTACTGTATTAGCAGCTGCACCCGCTACTGTATTATCAGCTGCACCCGCTACTGTATTATCAGCTGCACCTGCTTCTGTATTAGCAGCTGCACCCTCTACTGTATTAGCAGCTGCACCCTCTACTGTATTAGCAGCTGCACCTGCTACTGTATTAGCAGCTGCACCCTCTACTGTATTAGCAGCTGCACCCTCTACTGTATTAGCAGCTGCACCTGCTACTGTATTATCAGCTGCACCCTCTACTGTATTAGCAGCTGCACCTGCTACTGTATTAGCAGCTGCACCCTCTACTGTATTAGCAGCTGCACCCTCTACTGTGTTAGCAGCTGCACCCGCTACTGTGTTAGCAGCTGCACCCGCTACTGTATTATCAGCTGCACCTGCTACTGTATTAGCAGCTGCACCCTCTACTGTATTAGCAGCTGCACCTGCTACTGTATTATCAGCTGCACCTGCTACTGTATTAGCAGCTGCACCCTCTACTGTATTAGCAGCTGCACCCTCTACTGTGTTAGCAGCTGCACCCGCTACTGTATTATCAGCTGCACCTGCTACTGTATTAGCAGCTGCACCCGCTACTGTATTATCAGCTGCACCTGCTACTGTATTAGCAGCTGCACCCTCTACTGTATTAGCAGCTGCACCTGCTACTGTATTAGCAGCTGCACCCGCTACTGTATTAGCAGCTGCACCTGCTACTGTATTATCAGCTGCACCCACTACTGTATTAGCAGCTGCACCCTCTACTGTATTAGCTGCTGCACCTGCTACTGTATTAGCAGCTGCACCCTCTACTGTATTATCAGCTGCACCTGCTACTGTATTAGCAGCTGCACCCGCTACTGTATTAGCAGCTGCACCTGCTACTGTATTATCAGCTGCACCCACTACTGTATTATCAGCTGCACCTGCTACTGTATTAGCAGCTGCACCCGCTACTGTATTAGCAGCTGCACCTGCTACTGTATTATCAGCTGCACCCACTACTGTATTATCAGCTGCACCTGCTACTGTATTAGCAGCTGCACCCACTACTGTATTAGCAGCTGCACCTGCTACTGTATTAGCAGCTGCACCCTCTACTGTATTATCAGCTGCACCTGCTACTGTATTAGCAGCTGCACCCGCTACTGTATTAGCAGCTGCACCTGCTACTGTATTATCAGCTGCACCTGCTACTGTATTAGCAGCTGCACCCTCTACTGTATTAGCAGCTGCACCCTCTACTGTGTTAGCAGCTGCACCCGCTACTGTATTATCAGCTGCACCTGCTACTGTATTAGCAGCTGCACCCTCTACTGTATTAGCAGCTGCACCTGCTACTGTATTATCAGCTGCACCTGCTACTGTATTAGCAGCTGCACCCTCTACTGTATTAGCAGCTGCACCCTCTACTGTGTTAGCAGCTGCACCCGCTACTGTATTATCAGCTGCACCTGCTACTGTATTAGCAGCTGCACCCGCTACTGTATTATCAGCTGCACCTGCTACTGTATTAGCAGCTGCACCCTCTACTGTATTAGCAGCTGCACCTGCTACTGTATTAGCAGCTGCACCCGCTACTGTATTAGCAGCTGCACCTGCTACTGTATTATCAGCTGCACCCACTACTGTATTAGCAGCTGCACCCTCTACTGTATTAGCTGCTGCACCTGCTACTGTATTAGCAGCTGCACCCTCTACTGTATTATCAGCTGCACCTGCTACTGTATTAGCAGCTGCACCCGCTACTGTATTAGCAGCTGCACCTGCTACTGTATTATCAGCTGCACCCACTACTGTATTAGCAGCTGCACCCTCTACTGTATTAGCAGCTGCACCTGCTACTGTATTAGCAGCTGCACCCTCTACTGTATTAGCAGCTGCACCCTCTACTGTATTAGCAGCTGCACCCTCTACTATATTATCAGCTGCACCTGCTACTGTATTATCAGCTGCACCTGCTACTGTATTAGCAGCTGCACCTGCTACTGTATTATCAGTTGCACCCGCTACTGTATTAGCAGCTGCACCCTCTACTGTATTAGCAGCTGCACCTGCTACTGTATTATCAGCTGCACCCGCTACTGTATTAGCAGCTGCACCCGCTACTGTATTAGCAGCAAAACAACAAACTTCATGCATGCAGTTTCTCAGTGACTTTAAAACATCACCTCCACCATAAAACTTGTTCTGATGCTCCAAATACAGAAAAACATCCCTTACCAGGGTTTTTGAAGAAATAAATAAATCAGAAAATAAGTTTAAATGTTAAATAATAGTTAACATCACTTAAATGCAACAGCCAATTCTCTCATTGCTACTGAGCATTTTCTCCACTTATGTGGTTATGATATAAGGCTGTTGCTGTAATTGGGAAGTGAACTGTGCTGGGCCAAACTAGGAGAATATTAAGATTTTCTGAGGGAAAGAGAAAAACAATTGCCTACCTTTCAGAAGAGGAACTGGCAAAAAAACTACATGGAAAATATGTGAAAATGTTTGTTTTTAACCCCAAATTGAACAAGTTTACCTAGATCTTAAAAAGCAGCTCAGATGATGAAACTGCAACTATGATTCTGATAACAAGCTAACAAACTGAACGAGCGCCTCTTAAGATAACCGGCTAGCAGAGCTTCTGACTGACAGTTTATGTGCAGCAGCAAATCAACTATCCTGATTAACAAGGTTATAAAAGCTCATAAAGGAAAAATCACTTTGATGTGTGGGGGAACTTTTCCAGGCCCTCTTTAGCAGGGTGGGACTGGGAGGAGAGTGCTGTAGCCTTTTAGCTGGAAGCTAACCGGAGCCTGGGGCTAACACTAGCGACATGAAGGTAGGTGGGTTGGTTCACCGGCATGTGTCGGAGTCAGCCCGGTTATTATCAGCTGCTTAACGACACTGAGCGGACTCACATTCACGTTTGAAAGCAGCGCTGAGTCCAGAAACCTCAGCACAAAGTGTGTTCGTTAATCTGAGCCAGCACGACGAACAAGGGAAGCGAGCGGCAGCGGAAAGCGGGGGCGGAGCGGAGCGGAGATAGTGGAATTTTGGGGTAAGGGTCTACGTAGGGGGCGGGCGTATTACGTGAACGGACCCATCTGATTGGCCGCATATCAGAAGGGCTACATTTGATTGGTCAAATAATACTTTCGCGTAAAAAACAGAGCTGGTTTACAAAAAGTTGATGTATGACACGGATGGCAATGTTTGAGCCAAACATTTATCGCCGTTTTTGACGTGCTTTGCGATGGGCCTATCGCACGTCCTGTTATCGCGATGACGATAATTTTTCAATATATTGTGCAGCCCCAATGAAAACTCTTGAGCAACCAGTGACTTCGCCCCCTAGCCAGTCATTGGCCAGAGTCACAATGCCGGCCCGACTCAGCCTTGCCAAGTACCTCAGTGTAGCAGGGACTAAAATAGGAAGAACGTAGAGGGAAAATACTGAACCATGCCAGTGGAAACAGTGGTCAGGCCGAGCTGAACCGGTCCGAGTTACGAAAACGAAAGAAAATGGTCTTTTATATAGGGCCTCTCAAGATAAAAATCATGAGGTGCTTCACAAGAACAAACAATTCTAAATGTTAAAAGATTAAACCGTTTTAAAAAGATTTAAAATATGGTTACAATGAGAAAAAAAAAGTGATTTAAAAATGTAAGGAAAGAGAAAGAGGGAAATCAGTGGGAAAGGTGGAGTTGGTAGAAAGAGCAGAATAAGGAGAGGTTGATGATGAAGATCATGCAGAAGTCAGCCTGAACAGGTGAGTCTTCAGCTGCTTTTTAAAGGAGACCACTGAGTCCACTGATCTCAGGCTCAGGGGGAGAGAGGTCCAGAGTCTGGGGGCCACAGCAGCAGATGATCTGTCACCTTTGACCTTCAGCCTGGTGCTGCACAACCAGTAGGCTTTGATCACTGGACCTCAGGGACCTGCTGGGGGTGTAGGGACTAAGAAGATCACCAACGTAAGATGGTGCTTGTCCATGTAAGGCCCTATAGACCAGAACCAGGATCTTGAAATGAACCCTGAAGTTGACTGGCAGCCAGTGAAGCTGGAGGAGAAGCGGGGTGATGTGGGTGTGTTTGGAGGACTTGGTCAGAAGCCGAGCACAGGCGTTCTGAACCACCTGTAGACGGTTCAGGGAGGTTCTGCTCAGACACGTGAAAAGAGAGTTACAGTAGTCTAAGCGTGAGGAGATGAATGTGTGGAGAACTGTCTCAAGTTCAGAGCGGGACAGAATGGGACTCAGCTTAGCAATGTTCCTGAGATGGAAGAAGGAAGAGCGAACAAGATAACTGACATGAGAATCCAGGGTGAGAGCTGGGTCAAAGGTCACGCCAAGATTTCTGACAGAAGGTTTGGAGAGTGGCTGGGGAGAGGAAGGTCTGGGCCTCTATGCTTAAGCTGCTGCCCCCGTGACCCGACCTCGCATGAGTGAAGGAAAACAAATGAATGGATGCAAATATGTTTAACGTGTCACACCGGCTTCAGACTCGAGGTCCACAGCTCGACTATTTATTCATGAAGCTCTAGAAAACGTGTACATTCTTTAGGAAAGCTGTCCACTGAAACACCTCTTTTGTTCTACCGAAGTGAGAAACAAGACGCTAAAGCATCTGAGAAGATCAGCGTACTTTAGGTGTATAATGAACCCATGTGTTTCTGCTCCTAGCTGCTAAATGTGGACAGCTGTCCCAACATGAAGCAGTACGTCAGCCTGTTGGAACTGGTCTGCTCGTCGTCTCCCATGCCAACTGCTGAGGTGCTGCAGGATGTGTCCATACTCTATGCCAGACTGGGTGAGAACATGTAGATCAGCTTCATTAGGTTTTTGCTCACCAGCCCTCTAACTCATAACGACTTTTATGTGCTTTAACGTTTCTCTTATTGAAGCTCTTCTGATGATTCCTTTGAACTGATCTGTTTCCACGATGAAATAATGACTCCACGTAAAACTTGAATTGTTTTTAAAAACAAGGATTGGGATCAAAAGTTTGAGCTTGTGGATTTTCTCTCCTCCACACAGTCAAAATCAAAAAAACAGTTTCTAATATAAATAAATATTTCAGTCAGCGGTGCAGTAAATATTTAGTCCAGCAAGTCTTCCAAAAGGGTTTCTTGACGACGTTTCACCCCCCCCATCCGAGGAGCTTTGTCAATTCTGACTGGAATATGGGAGGGTCAAGCTTATAAACTGTGGCTGTCTGTTGTTGTTTAACGAGCAGAAACTCACTATGAATATCCCTCCTCAAGGAGTCAGCAATGTCTGACCCAATGAAATGGCTCACTCACGGGGCAGAATCTATGGTTGTGTCTCCAACTGTCTCTGCACACAATTGGACCAATCAGAGCATCGAACAATGTGACGCGCTGCCTGTTATTGAAGTCAGTCAATGGGGAAGTCCGCCATACACCGAAGAAGAAGCAAAAACGTCCTTTTTTTTAAACTTAAAGGGATACTATGCAACTTGTTTATATTTTTAAATCATTTTCTTGAGCTAAAACGACCCTTTACAGGGTTAATGAAAGGGCACTCAGACCCCCACCCACCCCTATGGCCAGAATACCACACTTGCAACTTCAGAGTGGCGGGCCACCTGCTGTTGGACTTGATAAGTGGAGCTGACAGACCCGGAGCTGCAGCCTGAATCCAGCATGTTTTAGATCATGAACACAGTTGATTTGTTTTATTTAGTGAGGAATCTAGAAACTAATGAAGGCTGGGGAGACATTTCAGCTGTTAGTTTAAGGTGTTAACAAGACGAACGCACAGCGAGTTTCGTTTTTGGTTTTACTAACTCTTACTTTATTTAAAGAGAGGTCATTACATATTTATGAACAGCAATACAACTGTAAATATGCCAGATTGTAGCCTTAGGCTAATTTCCATCTGCAGTCCTCTGACAGGTTAATGTTAAAAGAGAAAAGACAGACAACAATATACATTTAGGAAAAAACAAACAAATAGGAACATATTTTACGTAAAAGACAAGAGTAAAAACCTAACTGGACACTAGGGGGTGCTAAGAGCAAGCCAAAACTGCAAAGTCTCCCTTGAAGTACTTCTTCTATGCTAAAGTAAAAAAGAAAACTATTGTTTCAACACTGGATGTGTCTTTGTCACATGAAGACACATCCAGTGTTGAAACAATAGTTTTATTTATTTTTTTGAAAATCGCACCTACTAAACCTTGGCTCACCTGAGTGCTCCAGCCTTCCGATTTTTCATTCCCAGTTTAAATAAACTTTATGAACTCAGCCAAGGAGAGTGGTCGAAGACCAACCAGAAGCTTGGAGGAAACAAAAACTATTTTCCGAATGTGCAGCTTGCCAAGAGACACACAACCAAACATCCGTGTCTGTATTTGAGTCTGTGACATATTTCTGTCTACTCACATCTCACATTCCCAGTCGGTGAAGACGAGAAAAAGTAGAACTTCTAACGCCCTAGCGGCTTGTTTTACAGTTATTCTACTCTTCTCGGTAACCTTTCCTTGGTTTCGGGCCTTATTCCAGGGATTGGTGGACTCTGAAGCTCTGTCTGCTGTTGCTACATGTAACCACACACAGCTTCTCAGCTAATGCAGCACAAGTTTCAGTGTGCACGAGAAAAAACACCAATACCCTAAACATACACTGGAAACACACCAAGATTCCTGCAACAGTGGAGCCATTCTAACCACTGTGATGCTTTTATTAATTACCAGCTCAGAGGTGCAAGTGTCAGGTCCCTGGAGACCAGGATGGCCCTCCCCACAAGCTGAATCCCAGTTTCTGCTCCACTTTGAAGGGTGAGTCATGCTCCTCTTCTTTACTCTGGCAGGATTTTACTGATCCATGTTCATTTTATTTTTCATCTTAAAACACTATTCAGCTTCTTGTCTTCACAGCAAGACCACTCTGTAATGGTGTTCTGTGTCCAGGCATGGTGTCTGACATGAGGGTGTTCCCCATCAAGAGTAACACTTGGGTGAAGTTGGCGAATAAGCCCATGATTGGTGATGACAAGGAGCTGGAGAAGATTTTCAAATCCCATCAGATGGTGTGTCTGCTCAACCTGCCGCCACCAGAGAAGAAGCCTGCTCCCAAGAGCAAGACTGGTACGTGTGTCCATTCTGGTGTGTGTGATGGAAACCACGAAGATGCTGACTGTCTCCTGGATGTCTTACAGGAAATGCAGCAGCAGGAGATATGAAACCTGCCTTCAACGAGAAGGACAGGCTTTTGTTTCTGGACATCTGTGGCATTCGCCGGCTTTCCAGCTGCATCAGGTCTGAGCCTCTGACCGAGTCGCTGAGGCCTTGCCCTTCCATGCAGCGCATGGTTCGCTCAGTGGTCCCCTACATCCAGAGGTTCCTCTACCACCACGATGAGCTGGCTCAAGTCTACTCAGAGCTGGCTGACAGGAAGATAGCGGAGAAGATCAAGCGTCTTTCCTTTGCACAGGTAGGCGGAGCAGACAATTAGGGGTTTTCCAAAGGAAGACAAGTTGAACTGGTGAAGCCCTCTGACCTGGAGTCTTATTTTCTCTGCTGCCTCGCTCAATAGCAACGGCTTTAGTAGGAACAATGAGCTCTCGGCCCATGCCTAGTTTGATGTTGTCAGCTGAGGTCTCATCAAGCAATCAGGACTCAGTCCTGATTGAAATAGTTTTACATCAGCTCGTTTAAAAACAGGAAGCAGAAGGCTGGAGCACACAGGTGAGTACAATTGGTTATTTGATGCAAAAACAAGAAACCGACGTTTTGACGCCATGTGTGTCTTCATCAGACAGTTGGGGTTAGTTTACTCACCTGAGCGCTCCAGGACTCCTGCTTTGTATTTTGGCTGTCCATCAGCTGTAGAGCACCAACTTGTGAGTGGATCAAGCGCAGTGCTTCATCCTACTTATGGAGCTGTTGTTGCTTTTGTGTACTGAAAGTTGCTGCTTCATATCTTAATCCAGGTTTCTAATTACAGGGGAGCTAAGGGGAGCCTGGCTCCCCTGAAAGGGTGACGGGCTCCACTAGAAGCGCGGCAAAATTGCGTCATTTTAACAACCACGCCCCTCCACCGCGCCTCCGCACGGCCCAAACTTTCCGCACCCGCACCTAGGAAATTTTCTAACCACGCGGATGGTCGGATGCGTAAAAACATGGCGGACTAGAACTAGTATGGCGGAGGTTCGTAAGTACAGACATTTGTATGATTCAGCTCTCAGATCACCGTGATCAACATGTTGTTAATAATTCTTGGAGAGAAATAGCTCGCACTGTCGGAAAAGACGAGGACGCTGTTAAAAATGCTGGAATGCCATGTTGTAAACAGTAATTTCTACTTCTACTATGGTGTAGTGTTGGATGCATGCCACAGAGCTCCATGCTGCCCCCTACAGTTTGGGAGAATATTGGCTCACCGCAGAGACAAGCCGCATGAACCATAAACACTGCGAGTTGTGAAGCGCATTCCATCCGCGAGCCGCATCACCAAGCGGAAAGTAAATGCATCAAGCATAAACCAAGCTTAAGCAAGCATGCAGCGACAGTGGAGAAGAAAACTGCCTTTTAACAGGAAGAAACCTCCAGAGGATCCTCGCTCAGTGTGGATGTGTGCAGAATGAATGAACTCCGATGAAACATGACCTTGTATGTTTAAGAGTTTTCTAAGTGACCCAGAAAGGTGTGATGTCTAGGTTTATAAAATAAATTTGGCTGTTTGTTGGGTGTAACCAAGTTACAAATTTATATCAACCAATCTGACGCCAGATCGTTTAGTCTACACACCCTGGATCATGGAAGCTCCCGGAGATCCGGTCTGCAGGCGAAGCCGTCTCTCAGATCGAGCGAGTGGGCTTCTGATGTATCTGAAGGTCGTAGGCCGCCTCCGCATACGCACGACTGGTCAAGAGATACGTTCTAGGTGGCTTCTGACGGACGGCTTTGTGTCTGATGAGTGGGTGGTGGATTGATCACATAATTGTTGATTTAAAAGGATGGTTCAGATGCCGCCAAAATTATTCCACTGAAAAATCTGGTTCGATTCCCCAGAGGATGGTTATTTAGCATGAGCTGTGAGCTCTGGCAGAACTGACTAAAATAGGAGGTGAGTTCACTTAAATGGTTGTTTATAAACTTTGACCAACCAGATCTGAGAAATTTGTGTAGGCGTTTACCAAGACCCTCAGCCACTCCCCTTTCAGTGAAGCTTATTTCACTTAAAATATGGAGAAAGTCTGTTAATCATTCATTTGTTAATATCCTGATGTTAATATGTGAATGCAACTGATAATTAATTGACCACTTTAGATAGAACATTCATTATAGATAATTGTAATTATAACCAACTTGTGAAGACACATTTAATGAGACAAAATAAGATCCGTTTCATTAAAAAGGGAAAGGTCTCGTCTTCTGCACGGACCTTGGAGTTGCAGCTCAGATAAGGCAGTCAGGAGGAGGAATTTGTCATGGCTACCTTCTGGACGGTTAAGCATGGAATTGTTTTGATACAGGGAAGAACACACCATTCCTAGCAGAGGAAGGCTGCTGGGCATCCGACTGGACAAATACATTTGTTAGCCTTTCACAACATTACGATGGCGTACAAGATTTGTTCATTTGCAAACACAATAAAGTGATTTTCCCAACAAATCCAGTCAAGCCCAAAATTATAGTCCTAGTAGAAAATCCACACTTAAGACTACAGAATTCCAGTTAACAGGCCATACGTGAGTCTGATGATGCATTGACGAGGTGTCCAGCAGACAGGTGACTATAAAAGGACGTTACTTAGCAAAGAAAAGCCCTTCCCATTTCACGCCGTCAGCAACGGCCCCTCATGGAAGAGAAATGCCACAAAATCTGAGAAAGGAGACAAAGAAGGTGAGGGCTACAAGAAGATCAGCAAAGCTTTACTGTAGCAACAGTGATCCAGAAATCTAAGAAAGATGGAAGTGCAACCATCTTAGAGACGTCCAAGCTGTCCACGAAGGGTTGAAGAAAACCACCATGCAAGTTCTCTGCAGTTAGCTAAAGCAGTCGAAGGCCAAACTGGAGTGATAGTTTCCCATGACACCATACGGAAACCTCGCTGATATGGTTGGGCATGAAGGATAGACCAGACTCATCCTTCTAACCCAGAACAAATGGTAAATGGTCTGTATTTGATATAGCGCCTTCTAGAGTCCTGGAACCCCCCAAGATGCTTTACAACACAATCAGTCATTCACCCATTCACACACACATTCACACGCTGGTGGTGACGAGCTACAATGTAGCCACAGCTGCCCTGGGGCGCACTGACAGAGGCGAGGCTGCCGAGCACTGGCGCCACCGGTCCCTCCGACCACCACCAGCAGGCAAGGCGGGTTAACTGTCTTGCCCAAGGACACAACAACCTTGACAAACTTGAGCGGGGCTCGAACCTGCAACCTTCCGACTACGGGGCGAGCACTTATCTCCTGTGCCGCCCCATTCAGGACAAGGAGGACAGAAGGAATCATTTGTGGGCCGCATTTGGGAGGAGCCTTGAAATTTGGACTTGCTTTGTTGCGTTGCTGTGAGGTGATCGTCCTTGGAAGGAAACCATCACCATCTTTACGGGATTCCACTCACAGACTAAAGACACGAAGCTGAACTTTCAGGAACAACATCTTTATGTTAAAGTAGGAATGTTTTCATCAGATTGTACCAGGCTGGTTTCACACTAGCTGACGGTAAATTCTGGACCACTCTTGATATCTTTGTGCATCTGCAGAGAATTTGGTGCACTGCATATTAGCAAGCACATCCTGTTTAGGCTCCTACAGAGGTTGTAAGTGGCCATGTGACTGTTCCCAGGTAGGGAAGCTTTACATCCGCTACCAGCTGGATGTGTCCGACGGTGAGGATGAGGTGGTGGAGCTGCAGGATGTCATCTGTCTGCTGAAGGATGAGAAGGAACTCTACATCCAGAAGGACCACCTCCCAGGCAAGCTGGAAATCTGCAGGTTTGTGTTCGGCTTAAAACCCGGCGCTGGGCTTCTCAGGCATCCAGGGCATGCTAATCTTCTTCTGGAGTTTTGGGTTCAAATTTGATTCTAATTAGAATAATTGCTCTATTCAGATTTAAAAATGAGAATTGGGGAGCTTTTAAGTCAATTTAGTTTCATTATTTAGTGCCAGTTCACAACAAGAGTCGTCTGAAGACGCTTCACAAAGTAAACATTCCAACTGAACGTACTTGTCAGCGCACTGAGTCACTTCATTGTGTCATTTAGTTAAGTGTCCCATGTTCAGTAAAACGGAACTAGACAGACCACAGATAGAAAACCTCCGATGTGTGTCATTTTATTTATTTCCAGATTTAATCGCTCATGTGTTTATTACATAAAACTTTGTTTTTTCCAGTTTCACTGTTTATGCAAGATTGTTTATTTTTCTATGAAAAGGTTCAACACTTCTGGAGATAAAGGCAAATGTGCACAGTAGCAGTCAGTTTTTCAATAAATATGAAGTTTTGCCCACGACTTCGTCACCGTTCTTCATTTTGACCCAGTGAGAGTTAGACACCCCTGCTAGTTACCAGCTGAAGTAACATGAAGTACTGCCATTAGAGAGTAGTCGTATAGAAGACAGTGTGTCCTCCAGCAGTCTAAGCCTATAGCAGCATGACTACAGAGATAACTCTGGATAGCCTAGCCTTTTAGGTGGAGGCGTGTTGGAGGCAGGGCCAGGGACTCCCATGGTGTAGGTGTTGCTGGTCACATGTGTGTTTGTGTTTGTGTTGCAGCGAGCTGGTGAAACTGTTCTGCACGGAAAGCAGCCACAGAAAAGAGCTGAAGCATTTCCTGAGCAGCCTCATCAACTCCCTAGATGTGAGTGATATACGATCACCGCTCACTCTCACGTCCTGTCACTCTATTTCCTCTCACACACACACACACACACACACACACACACACACACACACACACACACACACACACACACACACACACACACACACACACACACAGGGATGGCTGACCCCAAAATTCCACTATCTCCGCTCCGCCCCCGCTTTCTGCTGCCGCTCGCTTCTGAACTCAATTTTTACTGGTACCCGCTCTACAACGGCTCCGCCCCGGTGCGGAGACCTGAGGGGGGCAAACAGGCATGCGTGGGATTTTCGAGATCTTGCGATACAGTCCGAGCAATAAACGCGTAAGTTAGATCCAAACACCCGTTGTGTGGGAGAAGCATCGGCATGAACTGTTTAATCTGCCCATCGTCTGTGTTGAGAGATCAGCAGTGTTTGGATCAACAAAGTGTGACTACTTAGATAGTAGAAACTGTATTTGTGGCTTATTTTTGTGCATTTAAAGTTCAGCCGCCATTGATAGTTGTTAAAAGTTGTTAAACCTGTGCACATGAAACAAAAAACGCTTTTTGTTTATCGATTTATTGTGAAATAACAGAAGCTGTGCTTGCTCCCTTTCCTGCTGGGCGGTTGTGATTCCTGTCCATTTACTGTGGAGGTGCTCCGGCAAAAATAGAATCGATCCTATTTCTGCCGGATGGCGGAACGACGGGCGGCCGCAGTAGTGGAGCAGCTCTGATTGACTACAACGGGACCGATTCCCCTGAAGTAACTTAGCCCCAGGCCACCTGCTGCTTCAGGCCTCACATTGAATCTTTTTTGTTTGAGTGACGATTTTCTTTTTCTTTTCTTGGAGCAGAACTGAACCTGCTTCTCAAAAGATACAAATAAAACCTGCGTGCAATGCTACTGAAGATCTGGACCAGGGGTCACGTTAGCCAGATATTTCCTGTATTTCACTGTTTTTTGTAACGATGGTGGAAAGATCGGATCATTTAGAAAGGTTGCAGTTCACACCCAGACTCATGCAGACATTTAAAACTTCACGGAGATTACTGCAGAGGTGACACAATGACTCGAGAAAAGATTCCCATCAGAGCATATGAGCAGCATCTCTGATGATACTGTCCCATGCGTGCTCCAATGTGAATGCTTTATCATCTCTGTTCATGGCTTTGTGTCCACGCGGCTTATTTCTACCGCTTCTTTCATCCATCTTTAATATTTTTGTTGTTCTGTGTCTATGATCTACTGTCCCAGTCCACTACATCATTTTCCCATCAACACATAAACTGTTATGTGTGCTACTTTTACAACAGGCCTGAGGACTCTACAGGGCTTCTGGGGGCACCAGGCTGGTGGCCCTGCTGAGGAGTATTAAGATCTTTAGACAGATTCACTCTGGGATTAGGCTCAGATTAGGAAAGTTGGTAGACCAAACACTCACAGAATCAGTCCTCTAGTAATGTAATTTCATCTTCACAGTCCTCACGAAAGCTTTTAGAAAATGTCTCATCCTTAGCTAAACCTGTTTTCATCTGAATAATTAGCAGCATCTCCTCATGCAGGACCCAAAAGCTCTGAAGAGATTCCTGGCCAAGGAGGACGTCAGAGAGCTTCCTGATGGCGAGGAGCGGTGGGAGGTCCCAGAGCCTGCTACTCAGGAGATCCCCCTGGATAGAGGTAACACACACACACACACACACACACACACACACACACACACACACACACACACACGCGTGAGCTCCTAAGTTCTCATAAAGTTAGTTTCATTAGTATAAAAATCACACTCTTGTAGTTAGAGGGTGAGCTGATCCAGAGGGTGTCACTACAGCCGAGACACACTAGGAGGATTATTTGAACACTGCTGTGGGTGTTTGCAGCGGGGGGGGGGGGGTGGGGGGGCGGTAAAAATAAACTGCATTGTGTGTGAATCTCTGAGGGAACAAAGAACACGTCCGCCTGTCCTGATGGGCTGTTTGTAGCAGCAGCTGTGGCGCTGTATGAGTGTTTACTGGTGTTGGAGCTATGTCACACCCTGTGTGTGTGTGTGTGTGTGTGTGTGTGTGTGTGTGTGTGTGTGTGTTAACAGTGGCTGGTGAACTTCAAGTTTTTCATCGTTTCTTTTCAGACTAATAAAAACCTCAGCACCATTTAGACCTCAGTCATGAATATAGATTCAGCCTGACCCCTCCTTTCCACCGGAGCCGTCAGCAGCGTCTCAGGAGCAGCATGTCGCGGCCCTTACACGCCGGTTCTATTTTCTACGCGCTACGCCTCTGAAACGGGTCAAGTTCAACATTTTTGGGGAAGACAGGAAATCGGACGCGGAGATTTTCAGAATAAAGAAACGTACTGCCTTCCGGTTGCTTTACTTTAAAAAAAAGTAATCACCTAGCTAGCGGTCTCCTTTGTTTTTCCATAATGGACGACAAAAGGTTGATTACTGAAGTGATTACTCCTGCTTGTTGTTATGTTTACTGACGAAGTCACGTGTGATTTTGCTAATGTTGCGTGACTTCCTGCTCTGTCGGTGACAGCTGCTCCCCTGCTGCTTCGTGTCTCGTGGGAGGGGCCAAGCAGCAGCTTACGCGAGCAAGACGTGCTGCAGCAGTAACGTGCTGCTGACGGCTCCGGTGGAAAGAAGGGATCAGAGCAGAGCTGGTTCAAAACATTAAAGTTAATGATATACCGGCTCCATTGGTTTACTCACACACACACACACACACACACACACACACACACACACACACACACACACACACACGATTAGAGAATGACACAACTGATTAGATGAGTTACAATGAATTTCCCTTGAATGTGTGGAAAATGTGTGGGCTGCATCGTGGCGCAGTGGTTAGCACTGTTGCCTCACAGCTCAAAGGTCGCAGGTTCGAAACTCGGCTGCGGCCTCTCTGCGTGGAGTTGCGTGTTCTCCCCATGCACGCGTGGGTTTCCTCCGGGTCCTCCGGTTTCCCCCACAGATCACAACATGCCCTATAGGTTATAAATTTGGATAAAAGCATCTACCAAATAACTAAACATGAACATCTAGACGCCCAACAATCCAGCAGCTGCAGGACCGTGTCCTAAAGCTGGTCCAGCTCTGGTATCGGGGCACCACCAGAGGAGAACTGGTTCAGGAACATGAGCAGCAGCTTTGAGTTCATCTGCAGCTCAATAAGAGAAGACATGGAGGACGATCTGGGGCCTAGAAAGGCAGGAAAGAAGCCACTTCTCTCTAAGGCCCGGATCACACGGTGCGATTTTTGACCGTCACACGGGATTGTTCATGTCACACTGTTGTTGCGTCATGAGCGCACCTCCCGAAGCATACGTCACCAAGCAGCCCGCTAACCAAAGCAAGCAGAAAAATATAAACACTGAGTTTTAGTGTCAGCTCATGACCCAACTCATCTTCCTCAGAGAGGAAGCTTTGTTTTTAAAGCCCTCGCTGTGGCGTCAGTCTCCAGCTGCGGGTCTCTTTTTCCCGTCTTCCAGCTAAACAGCGGAGCTGTCAGCTGGTCATTCAGCCTTCTCCTCCATAAGAACCCACTAAACTACAGAGAAGTGACAATCTGGCACAGATCGCTGCAGTATCTAGACTTTTGCCGTGAATTCTGTCTCACTGCTCCGCTCCGTGTGACCGCTCACACCCGCTGACGCTTGTTCCTTCCCCTGTCCCTCTGGGGGCTCGCTCACAGTTACACCTCAGAACAGCCACAGATAAAGAGTGGTACCTAAACATCATCCCAGAGGAACTCCTCCAACCATCCAACAACAGTTTGGTGAGGAACGAGGTCTTCTCCAGCATGATGGAGCACCGGGCCAGAAGGGTAAAGTCAGAACTAAGTGGATCAGGAACCAAACATCAACATGTTGGGTCCAGGTCCAGAAAACTTTCCGGACCTTAATCCTACTGAGAACTTGATTTCCATCCTCCAGAGGGAGGAGGACAAACACAAACCCACAAAGTACTGGTGATGAAGAATGAGCTCCATCAGTCAGCATCTGGACCAGAGATGATGGACAGCAGGACTAGAAGATACTCACTTAGTATTGAATTAATATACGTGTGATATAACTGTCAGTAAAAGCCCAGAAACCCATGTGTAAACCTTGTAAAGCTACTTCAGTAACCATGGAAACGCCTGAATAAGAATGTAAAAATGCTGAAACAGCAAACTTTTTGAGGACTTGGTCACAACTGGTTTAGATTTGAATCCAGTCGCTTTCTTTCCCTCTGGTTGTAATTGCTGAAACTGTTTTCCTGCAGTGCCGAAGAGTTTCTCCTCCACCTGCTCCCCAGACGAGGCCCCTCGTCCCGCTCAGGCTGATGGTGAACAAACCCTGGGTTGCTGGCCTCCCCGAGCCCCCTTAATGAACATGGGCGGCCGTGCAGGTTAGTCGGACGGATGTGAGCGACTGGATCTCAGCGGGGTGTTTGTGTTCTCTGATTATTTCTGACGGTTTGCTGCAGGTCAGGGAAACAACAGCGCGGTTGAAGCTGCTCTAAAGATGTGGCCTCCACCTCCTGCTCCTAAAGACAAAGAGCCAGAGAGGGACGTCCTCCCTGGGGGAAGGAGCCATGAGGGGGTGCAGCCTCCGAAGAGCAGCGGTAGACCTGCAGAACTAGCCAGACCTCTGAGCCACCCAGGACAGCCTGTCTCCATCAGCTCGCCCAGACCCGCAGGTTTGAACGACCTCGTGTCTTCTACAGCATCAGAAGTAGATAACGCTAAAGAATGAGTGTTCTCATGGTGTTAAAAGTTCTCAGGAGCACCAGCTTCTTTACACTGGCTGCCTTCTACATGGCACTGAGTTTAAATGCCTGACAGATTGCTTGTGCAGCGAGCTTCCTGGTAACGCTGTCTGTCACCATCAGAGAGCAGGCCGCAGAGCGAGGGTGGACAGGAGGGCCTCGCAGCTCCCAGACCAGCACAGACTCTTCCATCTGCACAGCCTGCTGAGGCTCCTGGGGACCAGCCCACTCCAAACAGCACGCTGTAGGCTTCAGCTCAGAAATCTTCCAACATTATATCAGCTCACTTCAGTTCCTGACATAACGTCCTCCTCCCCCGACTCCTTTTGTCTCAGAGCTGTGCCTGATGCGGTGGTGGCCTCCGCTACATTCCAGGGGACGGCAGCTGCTGCAGAGACTCCACGTCCTCCCCTGAACCTGGACTTCCCTCGCTGGAACAAAGACCAGAGCGGACTGGAGGACATGGAGCTCACCTGCCAGAGACCCACCACTGTCAGTGTCCTCCACAAACGTCCACCTCTCACAAATTAGACTTCAGTTTTTTTATTACCTGCTTCAGGAAAAGCAAAAGGCAGATGATAATGTTTTTGCCCATGTGTGTGAGTGTCTGTAAGCTTCTCCTGGTCCTCTGGATGGATTTAGTGATGATTGGATGTAGAGGTGCACCAGTATGGGTCATGTCACACAGCAGCTATGATGTAATAAACATCGGTACACCGCACCTCTTACATCCACGCCTGCAGTCCTGCATCACTGTCACACGCACACACACACACACACACACACACACACACACACACACACACACACACACACACACACACACACACACACACACACACACACACACACACACACACACACACACACATGTACACACACACCTAACGAGTGGTGGTGCATTAGCTAAAGCTCTTGGTTTGTTTCCTGTCCTCTCCTCTAGATGGTGCCATTGGACGAACAGATGGACCTGATTGCGATTGGTGAGTGGGGGGAGCAGCTGGTCAACTCCTTCCTGTGTGACTGGAGAGACAGCAGCGACCCCGGACGACCCACTCACATCTTGTGGTGCAACCAGAGCGGAGAGAGCGGCCAGCCATACGACTTCAAAGTCACCTTCGGCGCAGAAGCCACGCCCCCAGTGCTGTTCATAGAGGTGAAGTCCACGGTGAAGAAAGAGCGGTCCTTCATCCACCTCTCTGCTAACGAGCTGGACTTTGCCCTGAAGGAGAAGGAGCGCTACCACATCTTCAGAGTGTACAGCGCAGGAGACGCTCAGAACGTTCGTCTGTGTCGCATCCGGAACCTGGCGCAGCACCTGCACACCAAACACTTGGCGCTTTACCTCTTTGTGTAGCTTCTGTTAGGTGTGAGGGGAAATTTGTTCTACAATGAAGCGTTTTGTATCCCTTTAAAAGTTTCTTCTACTGTATGATCAGTATTTTATCCCGTCAAATCGATGTTGCGCTGAGTGTTTTAATTTTGTCTTACCATCTCATCTTTACACGAGCATTCCTTTTAAATAAAGTCTGTCTGAAGATGTTTGTGTTCCTCGGGCTCAGCCTCTAGTTCAGGGGTGGGGAACCCTGGTCCATCGAGGGCCGCTATCCAGCATATTTTAGTTTCAACCCTGCTTCAACACACCTGATTTCAATCAGCAGGTGATTAACAGGTTTCTGCAGAGCCTGATGAATTGCTGAACAGGTGAATCAACCACTGAATCAGAAGTGCTGGAGCGTCTGCTCCAGGGTACTTATGTCAATAACAATAATGACGATGCAAACTTGATGTGTGGGGTTTAGTAGATTGGAGTTGTTTTCAGATGGCAGCAGCAAACACATCACTGCTGCTCTCAGCCTAGCCTTTAGCTTATCAATCCTATTACAGATGTTTATGGCCAACAGAAATTGTTTTTTAACTTTCATAGGTTCAATCCCGGCTCCCACCAGAAAATGCTGCCTGGTGGTGGTGGTGTGTGTGAATGATACACTGTAGTGTAAAGTAGTGTGGAGACCTCTGGCTCTGAAAGCTCGGGTTTCAGGGGGCTAATTTAACAACTTTATTTGATTTAAGCTAGTTCCGTGTAACTTTGTACCATCAGATTAGGTAGTAACCACTCAAGTTTAACTTTGCTTCATAAGAAATGGTTATTTCTAACACTGACATTTAAAGCTAACCACGGTCACATGTAGCTGCTGGTGTTTCGGCGCATCACACCCAAACTCTCCTCTCTCACTCACTTAACCCAGAATTGCGTTATTTCCTACCGTCCCGGTCAGCCCGTGAAGGCATCGTCTGTATGGAGACAAAAGCAGCGGCTCGCGGCGGATCAGCGCCGTGATTGGTCAGAGCGGTGAGGAGGGGGAGGGCTTTTCCTCCTCCTCCTCCTCCCTGCTCCTTCACCTCTCCTCCCATCCGAGAGCACAGCTATACGGAGACAATAGGACGCAGAGCCGCAGGGGGCAGCAGGATGCTCTGAGCTCGATCACGGCTCCTCTCCTGGACCACCCGGCCTTAGTATGCGCTCACATCCACCCGCAGGAGGGTCCGACAGGGTGGACTACACAGCCTCCATGTGGAGACAATCTCATCGGTGAGTACCAGATCGGTCCGGATCCGAACCCCCAACACAGGTCTGGGCTAAGTCTGCAGAAACAAGGAGCTGTTCTAGGATGGAGCTCACAGCAAACATTAGGGCTGTTTTTTCAGGTGTGTGTGTGTGTGTGTGTGTGTGTGTGTGTTAAATCTTTCACCTCCAAAATCATAGATGCAGTGTTATTTAGAAGCAGGGATGGGGGTGGGGAAGTTGTCAGGTGTCTGCAGCAGCTTGTGTGTGTGCGCGTGCGCTGGTATTTGAGGGAAACTTGCAGGTGGTGCTGATCATCACGGTTCTATAGATGCTGAGGAAGAACAGCACAAGAACAGAACGTTTACATCCCGTGAGACGCTGCAGAACAACACGCCGCTACACGTCAATTCAATTCAAGTTTATTTATAAAGCGCCAAATCACGACAAGAGTCGTCTCAAGGACCTTCACACAGTAAACATTCCAACACAGGTCAGTTCATTAAGCCAATCAGTAAAAAGTTTCCTATATAAGGAACCCAGCAGGTTGCATCGAGTCACTGACTAGTGTCAGAGTCTTTACAGCAATCCTCATACTAAGCAAGCATGCAGCGACAGTGGAGAGGAAGACTCCCTTTTAACAGGAAGAAACCTCCAGAGGATCCTGGCTCAGGATAAGCAGCCATCCTCCACGACTCACTGGGGATGGAGAAGACAGAGCACACACACACACACACACACACACACACACACACACACACACACACACACACACACACACACACACACACACACACACACACACACCAAGTAATGTTTCTATGGTTACATTGTGATTTCTTAGTAAATATTCTATTTGGCGAGAGATAAACTTTATTGTATTTATCCTAGTGGATCTATAATTAGACGGGTAAACTAGTAGTAGCACATTCAACGTCAAAGAGAGTAAAATGTTATTATCAGGAGAGGGAGAATGTTTTAGTGGTTAGCAGCAGTGTGCTAGTCGATGGCCCCCTCCTTGAGGCCACCACAGGTCAGCAGAACATCACTGTAGCTTCTTCTGGGGAGAAAAACACTTAGAGAGAAAATAAAGTTAACAGCTGAAATAGCAGAAAATAATACAGTTAAAGAGCAGATTGTAGAAGAAAGTAGTAGAGTGGAAAGTGGTCAGTGTGTCCTCCGGCAGTCTTAAGCTTGGTTTACTTTCGGCTCGCGGATGGAACGCCCTTCACAACTCGCAGCGTTTATGGTTCATGTGGCTTGTCTCTGCGGTGAGCCAATATTCTGCCAAACTGTAGGGGGCAGCATGGAGCTCTACAGCATGCATCCAACACTACACCATAGTAGAAGTAGAAATTACTGTTGTTTACAATATGGCATTTCAGCATTAGCAGGGCCCTCGTCTTTTCCGACAGTGCGAGCTATTTCTCTCCAAGAATTATTAACAACATGTTGATCACGGTGATCTTTGAGATTTGAATCATACAAATGTCTGTATTTACGAACCTCCGCCATACTAGTTGTTTCCGGTCCGCCATGTTTTTCCACGTCCGACTGTCCGCGTGGTTAGAAAATTTCCTAGGTTCGCGGTGCGGAAATTTTGAGCCGTGCGGAGGCGCGGTGGAGGGGCGTGGTTGTTAAAATGATGCAATTTCGCCACGCGGAGCTGTGCGGACCTCGCGGATGCGTCAAGCATAAACCAACCTTAAGCCTATAGCAGCATGACTACAGAGATAACTCTGGATACCTAGCCTTTTAGATGGAGGCATGTTGGAGGCAGGGCAAGGGAGAGCTGTCTTTACCGACATTATTCTCCACGGTACACTCCACCTGCCTCTACTCCCCTACTCGTCCAGATCTGGGCCAAAATTAGAATTTAACCATAGCCATTGGGAACGGAGGTGCCTATTGGGCCCAGTGGGGGTCTGGCTCCCTGGAGGGCTTAGGCCAACCAGCCATTCCTCCCCGTCCCCATACATTTTTCACCTCCTGCTCCCTCACGTCATCACACAAACATGCACATAGGACCTTGGGGGTGGGCAAATCAGGGGGTGTGGGTATGGATCCCATTTCCACATTCCTGTGGCAATCTGCCCCCAATTTTATTTGCACATTAAACACTTCAGATGACTTGATTATGACTTGAAAATTCAAAGTTAAAGACTTGGACTTGACGTGGTCTTCCACATCATTGACTTTGGACTCGACTTGGACTTGGTTGTCTTTGACTTGAACTTGACTCAAGACTTGACTGGAAAGACTTGTGACTTGCAAAGCAGTGACTTGGTCACACCTCTGTTACATATACAAGCGCGTGTACACACACAGGTGCTCACATGGTGCTCTCGTAAGTATGGACTTGGGCACGTTCAACACACGTCTTAAGGCTGTGGTTGGCACTAAATGCACTGTGATTTATTATCATGATTGATCAGTAAAACAATGTTGATTTTATATTTCCTCATCAGGTTGACTCAGTGATAACTTGCTCCTGTTGTATTGCTGTGTGTCCCTTTTCTGCAGGTCTAGAAGCAGACTCTTGTTCATCATTGATTGTTTATTTTGCTACAGAATCAGAACAACACACTACTTACTGCAGTCTGATAAAAAAAAAAATCTTCACCGGACAATTTAATAGAAACACCCTAATTGTATGGACTTAGACCCAACCTTTCTCAGAGGTTCTGGTCCACACTGACATGGCAGCGTCACACAGCTCCATCCATGATGAGACTCTCCACCACATTTATGAGGTTCTGGGGCCTCATAACACTTTGCAAAGAATCCTTACACTCATCAAAAACTAAATAAAAAGACTTATGCAAACTTATGGACCTAGAAAACTGCTAACTCACAGCTTCATTTCCTGCTCAAGAAATCACACCAGTTCTACTAATGTGTTCAGATGTTTCTGGATCATATACACGCCCACTTTCTCCCATAAATGGTCAATGCAAAGGACTTCATGAATACTTTTCATATAAATAAGCTGGTGGTGGCAGTTCACAGGTAACCATGGCAACCATCAATGAAATCAAGGCACAGAAAACGTTTTAGAAAACCCGACAGCGCAGCAGGTACATCGGTGCACAGTGTGCCGCAGCGTGGCATTTTAGTTTATAGTTTTATTAGCAGCAGATGTTGCACATCATCACACAAGTAATGCACCAACAACTGATTTAAAGATGTACCTATGTATGAACCTTGTGCGATGTCTTCAAAACAGTGTATTTGTGTTTAGGTTCTCATTTGTATTCTCAGCTCAGACGGGTGGGAGGGGGATCTTTCACCGTGTCAGCATGTCCTCATCGCTTGGCTGCTCTGCCAGTTTCCCATCAACTTATTTTATAAATCACAACTTTTTTGTAGAAGATGGCTCACACTGATTTAAGACACCACCATGCCCCTGGACAGGACTGGATCTGGTGACTGTGGGAGCCGTTGGAGTCCAGTGAACTCATGGTCATGTTCTAGAAACCAGTTAGAGATGATCCGCGCCACCTGAAAGCTGCAGCTGAAATCCAGACTAATAAGACCAGGAAAGGTTTTCCAGTCACCTCTGGTCCCGTTCTGGTGAGCCTGGGGGAATTGTAGTTTCCTGTTGTCCTCCCATCATCTAGATCTGGGCTCTCTCGTCTTGGTCCTTTAGGGCTTCCATCACAGGTTTCCTGATTCAATGGTTGAACTGAACCTGGTCAGCAGCTCATGAAACTGCAGAAGCCTGTTGATCACCTGCTGATTAAAATAAGTTGTGTTGGAGCAGAGAAACCTCTAAGTATACAGGATAGTGACCCTGGAGAACCAGGACTAGACAGACCTAACTGGTCTGAGGACAAAGTTAGGAGCTGGGAGACAAATATCTCAATGCGCGCGCGGGTGTGTGTGTGTGTGTGTGTGTGTGTGTGTGTGTGTGTGTACAGGACTTGGCAGGTCCAGTTGCTTGATAAGGAGGAAAAGAAAAGCATTTACCAAGAATAATCACACTGCAGCAGGAACAGTTCTGCGGGTTGGCTTGGTGTGTTTATGTATGTATACGTGTGTGTGTGTGTGTGTGTGTGTGTGTGTGTGTGTGTGTGTGTGTGTGTGTGTGTGTGTGCGTGTGTATGTGTGTATACGCGCGTGTGTGTGTGTGCATGTGTTTGTGTGTATACGTGTGTGTGTGCATATGCATGTGTGTATACGCGTGTGCTTGTGTGTGCATGCATGTGTGTGTGTGTGTGTGTATACGTGTGTGCTTGTGTGTGCATGCATGTGTGTGTGTGCGTGTTTGTGTGTGTGTGCGTGTGAGTGTGTGTGTGCACACTGCACATGTGCGTGTGTGACTCAGCTCACGGCTGCCCTTGGTGAGCAGCATTAATAATGACTTCAGGCTTTACTGCGGATAATTAGCGTTGTCAGTGATGATTCCTCTGCAGAGCTGAGCAACTGACAGGGGAGTTAAACATCAACAACACTCTGACCTGAAAAATCAACACAAACCTCATTCCTTCACATAGCCTGTTCGTTTCCTGGGTGTTTGAAGTGTTTTCTGTCACAATGAGCTGTTTTTCAGCTTCACAACAGCCAGTATAAATCACACCTACCAGTCACAACAACTACATCTGTGTAAACCAAACCAAGCGAAAGGATACAGACACAGAGGTTAAACCAGCTGCTATTACTATTATGATCTAACTGGGCTGTTATTAGTCATTTGCATGTAAAGGCAAAGCTATTAGCGTTAATGCCAACGGTGGCTCAAATGATACTGCAGAAAGAAACAGGACCTGTTTAAGGCTGGTTTCCATACAGAACATTTTAGATGTGACACACTCATCATTTGCAGAAAATATCTGGTAAAACTGAAATATAAAATATGCATATTTAAACAGTTGGAAAAACAAAGGGTCAGAAATGACTGCCAATGCAGGGAATCGAACCAGGGTCAGGACATGGCAAAGCAGAATGAAAGACAGATGTTTATCCACTGGCCTGCCAAACATTTATCAAACATTGCATCGAATCCTTACTAAAACCGTACTTAAGCTCAGCAAAAAAAAGTACTTACACCAAGCAGGTTTGTGATCTATCAAACATGGAGTACACACAGCTGCACGCAATCTCCGCTTCATAAATCGGAGACTAACGAGAATGTTTCTCAGCTGCATTTTAGTCACATCCCGCCCTCACCACGCCCACTTACTGCCATAAATAGTCAATGCAAAGTGCCTTGTGGACCTCATGCATATACATAAGCTGGCTGTTGCAACGCTCCGCCAATGACATGGTGACCGTAGATCAAGGCAGATCAAGGAAGCGCAATTTCACAGAAGCAGAAGTTGAGGTACTTGTGGGTGAGGTGGAGAAATGAAAGGAAGTGCTTTTGCAAAACAAATAAGAGAAAATCCACGGAGTGGCACAGCGTTGCTGAAGCCGTCAATGCTGAGTTCTTCAGAGAGATCTGTGGCGGAAATTTTAAAAAATGGGTCCAATCGGGATTTGATCCCCAGACTCCCGGGTGAAAGTCACACACTATAACCAGTCATCCAAACAGAGATCTCCCCTGTACAAGTAGCCAGGGTGCATGATCAATCGGGTCACAGTGACAGAACACACACTGTCACAGACATGTCGTTCTGACTCAATCTGTCCCCCTGCTGATATTCTGCATTCCGTATTCTGGCTTCAGGCTGTGTGTGTGTGTGTGTGTGTGTGTGTGTGTGTGTGCGTGTGTGTGTGTGCATGCGCTCGTGTGTGTGTGTGTGTGTGTGTGTGTGTGTGTGCGTGTGGGGGTCTTGTTCTGTGTGAAAACGAAGCGGTACAAGTGATAATGCTGCAGGATTTCATAATTGTATCTTCTCAGCAGCAGCACTGCAGGTGCTCTCCATGTCCAACATGTGTGTAAGCCAGGTCCTTAGTTAACGTAAAGTTGTGCACATTTTTCCGCTAAGTTTTCTTCCATAAATCCCAAAGTTTGCGTGGAAAGTTGCTTACGCAGTTTTCCGACCCCGTTTTGTGCGTAAGCAAGCTTGATAAATGAGGCCCCTGAACACTCTTTTAATTACACATATGTGTGTTTATCATGGCTGCCTCGTGTTATTTGCATCAATTTGAAATGTTGTTGGTCCTCTGAAATTAACATGAAGCGTTCACAAGCTGCGACATGCGAGGAAGCAGCAGGGAGAATTGACAAATCGAGGAAAACATACTTGCCATGGTCACTCCGTCCCTGGTTTAGATGTCTGCGATACTGCTGCTGTCTTTTATTTCTGTTGTAATCTCAAAATGAACGCGCTACGGATCTCTTCTGTTGACGCCATGATTGTTTTTATTTATTTATTTTTTTAAAGGGTCAACGCATGTTCATGAACATATGAATGTAAACATGCCAGGATTAGCCCTGGCAGGTTAAAAACAATATAAACATCAAGTTAATAACAACATAAAATATGCAATATGCCAATACTCATCAAACCAAACTGTCAGTGACAGTTTGTAAGACAACTATAAATACACAAGTGTGTAAAACACAATATTACACTCACAGACTAAAGCAGCCAAGCTTAGTGATCACAGATCTGAGTCCCCCTGAGCCATCGTTGTAGATGGGTTACTGAAGAGTTGAACAGTCTCCTATGGTCACTTGGATGTGTTTCCAGATTTCAGCACCTTTAATCGATAAAACCTGCTGACTAAAGGGTGTTACACGATCGCCTCTATCAGAGGCTCTTGGTTTCCTAACAGTGACGTTGGATTTAGGCAGGATGAATTCAGCCATGGGTCCACCTTATAGACTGTACATGCTAATTTAAACGTTTTCAGGTTGGCAACGTTCAGTGTGCCAAATTTCCCTAAAAAAATGACAATGATGATAGAAACACGGTTTTCTATCGAAAGTGTTTAGCAGTTATAAAGAGCGATCCAACTATTTTTAGGGTGGTGCGCTAGTCATGGGCCAATTAGTGAAAGAATATTCAACATGAGAAAGGTTCATACTGTGAGGGAACTTTTTTTTCTGTTTCCTTTAATGGTCTAATTAGCCTAAAATTAGGGATGTTAAAAGCAACAATTTTGGATACATTTTTCACATTTTTAAAGTCTCTTTCCGGAGCATTTCTCTTATCTGATGGCACCATCTAGTGGCTGACAAGCATATCACACAAATAACTTCTTTTGTTTTTTTAAGATGCCGACTTCACGTTTCTCCTCGTCGTCATCGTCTTCCTCCACTTATCCAGGTCCGGGTCGCGGGGGTAGCATCCCAACTAGGGAGCTCCAGACCGTCCTCTCCCCGGCCTTCTCCACCAGCTCCTCCGGCAGGATCCCAAGGCGTTCCCGGACCAGATTGGAGATGTAACCTCTCCAACGTGTCCTGGGTCGACCCGGGGGCCTCCTGCCGGCAGGACATGCCCCAAAAACCTTCCCGGGGAGGCGTCCAGGAGGCATCCTGACCAGATGCCCAAACCACCTCAACTGGCTCCTTTCGATCCGGAGGAGCAGCGGTTCTACTCCGAGTCCCTCCCGAATGTCCGAGCTCCTCACCCTATCTCTAAGGCTGAGCCCGGCCACCCTACGGAGGAAACTCATTTCGGCCGCTTGTATCCGCGATCTCGTTCTTTCTGTCATTACCCAAAGCTCATGACCATAGGTGAGGATTGGGACGTAGATCGACTGGTAAATCGAGAGCCTGGCTTTCTGGCTCAGCTCCCTCTTCACCACGACAGATAGGCTCAGCATCCGCATCACTGCAGACGCCGAACCAATCCGCCCGTCGATCTCCCGATCCCTCCTACCCTCACTCGTGAACAAGACCCCGAGATACTTAAACTCCTCCACTTGAGGTAGGACCTCTCTCCCAACCCGGAGTTGGCAAGCCACCCTTTTCCGGTCGAGAACCATGGTCTCAGATTTGGAGGTGCTGATCCTCATCCCAGCCGCTTCACACTCGGCCGCGAACCTACCCAGCAAGAGCTGAAGGTCAGAGCTGGATAAAGCTAGGAGGACCACATCATCCGCAAAAAGCAGAGACGAGATTCTCCTGCCACCAAACTCGACACACTCCACTCCACGGCTGCGCCTAGAAATTCTGTCCATAAAGGTAATGAACAGAACCGGTGACAAAGGGCAGCCCTGGCGGAGTCCAACCCTCACTGGGAACAGGTCCGACTTACTGCCGGCTATGCAGACCAAACTCACGCTCCTCTGGTAAGGGGACTGAATGGCCCTTAACAGAAAGCCACCCACCCCATACTCCTGGAGCGTCCCCCACAGGGTGCCCCTGGGGACACGGTCATAAGCCTTCTCCAAATCCACAAAACACATGTGGATTGGTTGGGCAAACTCCCATGCCCCCTCCATCACCCTTGCAAGGGTATAGAGCTGGTCCACAGTTCCACGGCCAGGACGAAAACCACATTGCTCCTCCTCAGTCTGAGATTCAACTATCGATCGGACCCTCCTCTCCAGTACCTTGGAGTAGACCTTTCCAGGGATGCTGAGGAGTGTGATCCCCCTATAGTTGGAACACACCCTCAGGTAGGGCTGGGCGATATGACGATTTTAGACCGTTTTACGATCTACACATCTGACGGTCTGTCATTTTTGAGAGACCGTTTTATCACGATTCACAGCTCTGCCCTCAGGTCACCTTCACGTTTCTAGTTTATAAATGTGCTTCCGTTGCCGACAAACAGAGCTAAAACACGTTGTTTTACAATTATTATTGTAAAGGTATATTTTAGAGATTTACTTGTCTGTGAAAAGTTAATCAACTCTGCATCAGCTGAGGTACTTCTCAAATTTGAAGAATATAAGTGTATCACAGTACACGATAAGACAATCACTTTTATGGATTTCGGAAAAAGCATACATAACTTCTGAAAGGGAAAAACTCCGGAAATATACTTTAGGTCAGAGTTGAGTCCGAAGTAAGATTGAGATATTTCACTTCCTGAAGATTTTGGAGCTCTTCCATATTCAACAAACCTTAAAACCAGTATCTGATGATTGACATTTAGAGAAAAACATACAATTTTTTAGAGTTCAACAATAGGCAAGAATTTTTCAGCCACTTATCTTTCATTTGGCAGATCATTGATGTATAATGAGAATAAAATAGGTCCAAGTACAGAGCCTTGCGGTATTCCCACCTGACACCCCATGAGTATTTGGACACAGTGGGTTCTGTCTGTCAGGTATGATTTCATCCATAGAAATGTCTGTTTAGAGAAGTAAAATTTTGTTAGCCTGTACTACGGTTATACCCTCTATCCGGTCTGAGTTATCTACTGTCCACCCTAGTGGAACACTATAGTACTACGTACCGTGCGAGTATTCGAAGTACAGATGCAGCCTGCTGCCAACGCAAGTTTAAAAACATGCAAATGTTTGGCTTTGTCATGTTGTGAGGGTGGAGATGATGGTCCAAGTGTGGTGGAGCAGATCAGGAGGTACAGATGCAGGCTTCAGGTAAAGTAAAATGGTTTTAATGATGGAACAGGAACGAACAGCACAGGACAACGATGACAAAATACTACAATGATCTGACAAAGACTGGTACAAGGAGGGAGGTATACATACACAGGGAAAATGAGGAACACATGGGCAGGTAAACAAGGAGCAGGTGAAAACAATAAGGACTAATCAAGGGCAGGAGAGAGACACAGTCAGGGAGGCAGGGGCAGACCGTGACAGGCTTCAGACACACATCTTGTATGCACGTCTTGTACTAGTCATTATACACGTCCTTGTGGACAGGACGTGTCTTTTTTATGCACAAAAATATGTCCCCTTTGGACATACACACATCTTACGTCCTTCACATGCTCTCACGCCACACGTCTAATTTCTCATGCTGAAAAGGCAATAAGTAAGATGTACACGTGTGTTTTTTCTTGTTTTTGTGCAAGATCGCCTTCTGTTAGCCGCTACACCTGCACCACCTGAGAGTCCATTCACCAGTTCTTCCACCTGTCCATCAACAGAATTAGTCTGCAGCACGAGTTCCTCTCCACTAGTTTCACGAGCTAACATGGACATCCTGGACGAGCTGCAGCTGATTGCTGCCCAGAATCTTGAAAGGCTAGAGGTCAACAAGTACTATGAGGTGATCCGGGAGCTGGGCAAGGGCACCTATGGCAAGGTGGACCTGGTCATTCACAAGATCAGAGGTAAGGGTCACCATACTAACATTTCTGATGTGTGTTGGGTGAAAATAAGATCTGCAGGTGCTCACTTATGATAAAAAAAATCCTTCAGATCCTTTCGGAGTATCATTTAAGACGGTTTCTCTTGGAGTTAGAAAGCATACTGTGTTTACTTCTTCTCTTCAGCTGAAACAGTGTAGTGTGACTTGTCTAAATAAGAACGTCAGTTGAAATCCTGAGCACACAACTTTTATTGTGGGTAGTCTAAGGCACACCTGTACATTATTCATGCTGTCTAATCAGCCCCCTGATATGCCACACCTGTGAGGTGGGATGGATTATCTTGGGCCCAATGTCAATACTGACCCTGCGCCCTGCGGACTTCAGCAAAGTGCACTTGTAGAAAGTGTGCTGTAAGGCTTCGCGTGCGTAGCACACAAGTGTGCTAATAATGGCAGAATTGAGACGGGGAGCATTGCGTCATCGATGCTGGTCGCTGTGATACTTTTTTCAAAAACCTTTATTAACAACTTTTAAACAAACAGCCAAACATTTATTTGAAATACATTTACATTTACTGCTGCTTTGTCTAGAAGTTTGAGCATCAACTAGTCGTCCTAAAATGAACTAATTTTATTAGAAAATACATATTTTCAGAAAAGAAACGTGAGCCATTTCTCCTGCAGTAATGACTTGTGGGTAATACCCTTACCCAAGGTCCTCATTGTTGCAGACTTGGGTGAAGTGCAGATTAAGGGTGCAATGGGGGGGTGGTCAGCTTCTGCACTTGCATATCGGCACACCCTACGCACTCGCACCCCTGGCCGGGAACGCGCACCTGAAGGGCGCAAGTGCGAGTATTGAGATTGGGCCTTCGTAAAAGAAAAGTGCTCACTAACACACATGTAGACAGTCTTCAGAACAATATTTGAGAGTCGTGGGTATTTTGTGCATGTAGTAAAAGTTTCAGATGTTTGAGTTCAGCTCAAGAAAAATGGGAGTAAAAACAAAAGTGTTAAACATTCAGAATAATAAACCAATATTAATGTGTGAATATACTGATAAATAAATTCAACAATAGACTGATTTGGTGTAATTTAATGTCTAAAATAAAGCATTACTTCCAGAATAAACGATTATGCATCATTACTGTGATGCAGTCAGGCATGATTAACACTTCAGAGAAAACCTTCATTGTTTAACTGAATTGTTTTTAACCTGTGACGTAAGGAATCATTTTATGAGATAAATATAAGATGTCTTTATTAAAAGGGTTAGATAAAAGTCCTGTCTTCTGTAGAGGCGTCTTGTGACAAGGATTATCGCCACCTCCTGTTAACCTTTGGCCCATTTTGGTAAATGGCCTGTGTTTGTACAGCACCTTCTTAGGGTTCTACAACCCCCCAAGGCACTTCACAACACAATCAGTCATTCACCCATTCACACACAAATTCACACGCCAGTGGTGATGAGCTACGATGTAGCCACAGCTGCCCTGAGGCACACTGACAGAGGCGAGGCTGCCGAAAACTGGCGCCACCGGTCCCTCCGACCACCACCAGCAGGCTTAACGGTTAAGCGTCTTGCCCAAGGACACAACAGCAGAATTCTCTGGTCAGAGCCGGGATCGAACCTGCAACCATTTGATGAAATACATGGCCTCGGCCATGCTTCACATGTTTAGAATTGTAATTCACAGTCAGTTATGATGAATGTCTTTTATTTAGAAAATTGCCCAAAAACTCCCTTTAACATGAAATGACTCTAAATTTCCCAAAGTAGCTCCGTATCCTCCTCCTTTTCTCAAAAGGGACAAAAATGGCCCTAAAGTTTCTGAAGAAGAAGACGACCAAGCTGAAGTCTTTTCTGCGGGAGTACAGCGTCTCCCTCTACCTGTCTCCCTGTCCCTTCATCATCAACATGTTCGGCATCGCCTTTGAGACTGATGAGTTCTACGTCTTTGCTCAGGAGTACGCTCTAGCAGGAGACCTCTTCGATATCATTCCACCACAGGTACCAAAGTTTGCTTCATTCTACGCTACATAAGTTATATTAAAGCTCGAGGTTGACAGTGGAGGGGTTTTCCATCAGAGGTATGATACTGGGTGTTACTGACGCCAATCCAGGACTGATTCAGATTAAATAAACGTTGTTTGAAGTGGTCCTGACTGTCCTACTCACGGTCTTCTTCTATTGATCCTCCAGGTCGGTCTTCCTGAGACGGTGGCAAAGCGTTGTGTGCACCAAGTAGCCATCGCTCTGGACTATCTGCACTGTAAGAAACTGGTCCACCGGGACATCAAGCCAGAAAACATTCTCATCTTTGACAGAGAATGTCGCAAAGTCAAGTTATCTGACTTTGGCATGACCCGTCGAGCTGGCTCACCCGTGAAAAGAGTGAGTAACACTTTACAGTATCTCACTGAGCTGCTACTGCTGACGAGACATTAGAAACAACAGTTGCAAAGGAGTTTCACACGTAAAACACAATCACGAGACACTTACAATCGGTAACAACCCTAACCCTATCCCACGTAGCTCGTTTCGCTGGCATGATTCCCTCAGCTTTGACGTGTTGTGGTTCGACTCACTGAAGTTAAGAAATCGAGTTGTGAAAAAGTGCTGAAAGTAGGCGTGTGTTCCTCATAATTTAGCTGCTCACCACCAGTGTTGGGAATGTTACTTTTAAAAAGTAATTAGTTATAGTTACTGATTACTTTGTCCAAAAGTAACTCATTTACTTACCGAGTTACAAGATTATAAAAGTAACTAATTACCAAGAAAAATAACTGTTTTGTTACCTGTTTTCATTAAAGAATGCTAGAAAAATGGGTTCCCCTCATAATTAAACTTACTTAATTTACTATAAATTACTACAATAGTGAAATATAATGACTAATGACTGGAACATAATAAAATGTCCAAATGTTTTTTATGAACCTGAATAATTTAAATAAATAAGCACTTAACAGGAGGAACTACAAACAGGAACATTACACGTATCTAGACTATTAAAAGGTCACTGTGTGATATTTAACAAGACCCCAATCAGCTAAAATTGCAAATAGAAACACCTGTAAAGGTTCCCAAGCCTTTAAATGGTCTCTCAGTTTAGTTAAATTACAGAAATAAATGTAATTTTGCACAGTATTATAATGTTTCCAGCTTCACATAATTGTGTGTTTTTAGCAGCATTTCTGTTGCTGGTAATCTAGTAATGGTTAAATAAACAAATAAAATCCTTTAAAATGACACTAGAAGAGGCACAAGCCTGGTGGAGGACTTACATTTACTAACGTGGGTCAGACCCAACCACAGAAGAGCTGAAGCTGGGTGGTAAACACACACAGGTAGTTCTGATAACACCTGAGCTCCATGACGTCTGAGACTGATGCATCAGTGTTACAGCGGGACTAAAGACATGATCAGAAACAGGTTACAGCTGGATGAGCTAGGAAGGTAGAAGATCAGGACGTCTGAGCGGTGAACAGGCGAGCGGACCTTCAGGACGTCCCGCTGTCATGCCAAGAAGGGCACGGCTGCAGATCAACACCTGCAGCTGTAGATATTCATCACATCTTCCTCGTTCTTCACGGCCGTGATGCGCTTCGATGAAAACATCTGCCTCTTTAGCTCCTGATCAGCTGATGACAACACACCGCGCTGCTTAACGCACACATTTTCTTATCAGTAACAGAAACGGCGTTATGATGAAAGGAGAAGGTAATTAATTATTTCAAACGGCGTTATTCCCATCACTGCTCAACACTAACATCTACATTCCAGTGACGCCCCAACGAGATAGTGGTGTAACATATCACTGCTCGTTGTCTCTGCCATGTTTTATTTCTCCTCCAGGTGAGCGGAACCATTCCCTACACGGCTCCGGAGCTTTGTGATGTGTCCTGCCACGAGGGCTTCTGTGTGGACTTCAGCACAGACGTCTGGGCCTTCGGGGTGCTGCTCTTCTGCATGCTGACTGGGAACTTCCCTTGGGAGAAGGCACTGCCCACTGATTCATTCTACCAGGAATTTGTCCACTGGCAGAGGCGGCGGACGAACACTGTGCCGTCCCAGTGGAGGCGCTTCACAGAGCAGGCTCTCCGAATGTTCCGTCGGCTGCTCTCGGTGGAGCAGGAGCGTCGCTGCTCCGTTAAAGAGGTGTTTGGCTACTTCAGCCACTCCTGGATGCTGGACGGAGAGAATGATAACAACAATGGCATCGCCGGAGGAGGCGGGGCGATGGTCACCAGTAGGAGTGGTGAAAAGGGAGGAGGGAATGTGCGAGGAGAGATAGATGGCACCATCTCATCCTCTTCATCTGGAGAGGAAGACGAGGATCTCCTTGTGGAAAGGATGAAGCAGCAGACTCTGTCGCCCCGTACCCCGCTGTCGCCTCTATCTCCCATGGTGGTTGAGAGGAGCGGTGGAGGTGCCAAAGGAGGGATGAGTGAACAAAGCGGAGGGCACACGTTTGTCTCCGTCTCCACTAACAGTTCTGTGTCGTCCACCAACAGCTACGACCGAATGCCACGAGAAAACAGCTCACCAGGAGGCCGCATGCTGGTTGCTACGCCCATCGAGATCTGTGTCTGAGCATGTCTGGGCGTGGCCACACCTTGATACCTCTACTTCATTGTGCATGCACTGCAAAAGGAACTCCAGTAGAACATTCGTCTCGTTTTAAAAATCTGAGAAAGGAAGAGCACATGACAGAGGACATTTTTGCAGAACACACACATTCCTCGTGAGGAAGACTTTCAACTCAACTCAATAAAAGGCTTGTTTACAATCACGGCTGAAGGCGTGGAAATATTAAAAATACATCCTGTCCGGTGGAGAAGAAAACCAAAATGTATTTCTGAAAGCAATACCTGTGAGGCAAAAGGGGGGAGGGGTGTGAACCCTAACATGACGGAGACATCGTAACGAGAAAACTTTGTTCTGTGAATCTAAAAGAAGTGGATTTATTTTGTTTTGAGAATTGTGTTATTTATCTGTATCTAAAAGACTAGAAGATCTATTTTTTCTATTTATTTGTGTATTTTTTGTAAGGTAGCTTTCTTTGTTTTCCATTTGAGTAAAACCTGCCGGATCTAAGCTTGCGTTTGGCCGTTGCTCAGATGGGTGTGTGCAGATCAGACTGAAACCTGTGTGAGAGCGAAGATCATACTTTAAATGTTTCACTCTTCATGTTTCTTTTTGTCCTGTATGGCTAAAAAAAAATACTAATAACAGAAATTAACTCCATTAAACCAAGAGAACAACACCAAGTTCATATAACTGCATGAAACGTAGCTTTAAGTCACAAAAATGTAAATGACCAGTAAAAAAAGGTCAAATCAGTTCATGTTATTGTGATTTATGACTTTGTTTATTTTTATTGGCAGTGGCGCACTTCCAGCATCGTGTCTGGAGGGAAAACAGTAATAACATTGTGGAAAACAGGGCATCACTTAGAAACGTGATCCGAGTTCATTTTTACTTGTGTGATGTAGTAGTGCTATTGTTGTGTTCTTATCGCACCACGGTAGAAAGCCGGGTGCAGACATTTTTATTGTGATACTTGTTTGGTGATACGTTTTCCTTCAAAGTGTCCTTCCATCAGGTAATACGGCCGTTAGTTTTTTTTTCTTTCACTGGAGTGTGATCCTGTTTAACAGTTTTAAACAACATCGTATCTGTTGTACACATTGTTCTAGAAACGTTGGCTAGGTTTGATGATGTGGCGGCCAGCTCCATCTCAGCCAAGCGTGACGTGCGCTGCCTTCTTCAAACAGCTCAGCTCTCTTTCACGGTTCTCATTTAGAAACTCTGAGATCACTTCCCCAATGTTAACGTCTCCAGAAGCTAAATGTAGCAGTTTTGGTCAACTCAGAAGCAAAGTTTGGCAGAACAGATCCTCTCAAAGTCACCAAGTCATGAGTTAGGTAGGGATGCATCTGCACGTCTAACTCGTACTGAATCATCCTAAGCCAGGGGGAGGAAATCCCGGTCCTGGAATGCCGCTATCCAGCATGTTTTAGTTGTTTCCCTGTTCCAACACACCTGATTTTAATCAGTAGGTGATTAACAGGCTTCTGCAGAGCAACCATTCAGTTAGGCGTGTTGGAGCAAAAACATGCTGGATGGCACTCCAGGATCAGGATTGCCTACCCCTGTCCTAAGCTGTCAGGAGCCCAAGCTAGCTACTGTCTAAATTATCATAAAGGAAAATTCAGGAAAAATACCTCAGTAGTTTTCATTAGAAAACATGAAACAAGCAAACCATCCATTTCTTCATGGCTAGGCTTGGTTATGCATTGAGATCCACCAGAAGAGAGGGTTCTGATTGTTAGAATAAATGTTGAAAAACACATCATTTTAGTCTCTAACTATTTAATGGGATGATAACCAACCCTAGTCTAAAAGTTTATAAAATAAAGTTTGTGTAATCCCTGGTGAGGTTTTCAAGCCTGGAACACCAGTACCCTTTAGAGGTGGGTCTCTCCGTCCTTCCGGCTTAGGTCCATTTGAACGGTACTGACAGAAAGGATGAGTACCATCTTAAAGTCCTGCCTAAGTGACCTCTGGAATGCCCTGAATTGTTTTTGTGCTGCTGCTGATATTTACATTCATGAGTGACCACAAAAGTCTGTGTGAATGACTGTTAAGCCAAATGGACAGAGGGATTTATAAAACACCAACCTAGCATGAACTGCGAAGAGGTTTTATGTTTTGCATTGGCAACACCTTGTTGTGGTCTCGGCTGCAGCCGGACCAGCTGCTCTTAGGTCCGGCGGACATAAATAAATATTTGTATTTGTTGAAGCCGAGGCGCTACAACAGGTATGACAACAGTTATAACATACGACACAGACACACTTACTCTTCATGAATATCAGAAAAGAAGGGAAAAATGATTAAATCATACAGAGAAGTGGTTTGTTGCTTTCCCGCCATAAATCTGCATGACTGTGTATGCTAAAAGCGTTGTTGTGCAACCCTGCTCCGTGTTTCCCACGTTCACACGCTGTAGATGTAGAATAGCAGCAAACATGCTTCTTTATCTTGTGTGTCCGTAGCCTCAGCATGAATCTGCCTGAGGAGCAGCGGTGCACCCCTCCCTTAGTGCTTATGCAGATTACTCCATCTTGTGACAATCTCTGACCTCACTGGCAGCCTCCTGACTCAGAACAAAGAGCCGTCCTGATACAGACCCTGGCTTCCAGCTGCCGGTGCCCACATGAGATACATGTGATCTTATGAAGCCAACATGGTGTCATCCCTCCCCGTGTAAAAACCTGGCCCTGCTCTTTTTCCCTTCAGTGCATGTGAATGTTCCCTGTTAGGCCGTCGGTAGGAAAGCTCAGATGTGATCTGATGGTTTTTCAGTTATTTGTATATTTTGTGCTGCATCAATGAGAACCGACGTTATTGGCGGCTTTGTCCGAGCCACCGCTGCCTTTTCTCTTCCTCGTGTCCGAGTCGGTTACAGCTGCTCCATCGTCCCATCCATGAAGTGATGTGTTGTAATAAATCGCTGCTGCCAGTTTTACAGAATCCTAATTTTAGTGGAGTTTAGTGAGTAGATGACCACAGAACTAGAACCTGTGTCCACTTTTTCATTGCAATACAACCGTCTTCCTGTAAGCTGAGATTTAGTCAATAAATGAGAATCTGTGTTGGAGTGATCTTTGAGTTCTGACTTTTCTTTGAGCCTGTGTTCTGTTCCTCAGCACCTCACAGATGCAGGTTTGATGCTCAGTATGCAGAAATGTACATTCAGACAGCCCAGCCTCAGATTTCTGGGTCATGTGATCTCTAAGTAGGGCTGCTCGATTATGGCAAAAATAATAATCACGATTTTTGTGACTGAAATTGAGATCACGATTATTTAGGACGATTTTTCAATTTATGATGATTTTATTTGTTTTTATTCAGTCATAAAATTGCTCAGGGCACAATTAGGACAAAAATAAGAAACAAGATGATCACTAAAAGAACTCCTGATTCCCAGTATAAAAAGACCAATATACTTATAGCTCATAGTCTATGACCCAAGGGCTATAGACCTTGGTTTAACTCATTTAAGTCTAACCAGTACAGAACCAAATACCAATATCTTGCAAATACTGACAGCAAGAATTATACAGTGGCATTTATAACAAATAAATGCAAATAAATTGATGTTCACAAAATGTTGCATAGCATTTATTGAGTCGTGTCAAGGTGCTGTAGGAGCACCGTGTCCTCAGAGAGGTTAGTTATTAGTTATCAGCGTGAGGAACTTATTTCTACCTTATTTATAAACTATTTATTTACAAGTCCATCAGTTAATGTAATAATTGTCCCAACCACAGCTGCACCCCCCACCCCCCAACCCGGTCTCACAGCAATCGGGCAAGCTGCACGTGTGTTTAGCGCGCTGCACGCGCACATTTAGCTGTTTTTAGCTGCTCAGGAGTCCGCAGGTGCGGTGTGTGTGTCACTCACTCTGGTTAATCCAACAAGGAGCCGGCTCCGAGAGCTGTCTTTAGCGACCGACACATCACTACATCATTCCCTTTCCTAATGTTGTGAAGAACGGTCCGGAGCTCAGGCGGAGTGTTTAGCTAACCTGCAGGAAATGTCGACGACCGTTATCCAGAAAGTAGCTAAGGGTTACCAGAGATGTTTCTGAGATGTTCGCTAGGTACTTTTAGGATTAAAAAGTCAAGAAGGGGGTCTGAAAAGCTGCTAGAAATAGCGTCAAAGTCGCTAAGTTGGCAACACTGTGGAGGAGCGCTTCATTTGCAACTCAGGGCAGCGCAAGCGGGAGGAGCAAATAATCGGCTTGTTTTGTTTTTTATAATCGTTCAAAACTCAGATCGTAATCGTGATTAAAATTCGATTAATTGAGCAGCCCTATCTCTAAGGATGGCATCCTTCCTAACATGGACCACTGTGCAGCCATCCGTGATGCCCCACCACCACACGATGCTTCCTCTCTGCGTTCCTTCTTGGGGTTAGTCTCCTGGTACAGTAAGTTTCTCCCCAACTTTGCAGCTAGGGTAGGGCCAATGTGAGCTGTACTAAGGGACTCTGCTGACTGGTTTTGCATGGACTGAGGAGGCGGATCAGAGCTAAAACAGATTTTGCTTAACAGTCCAGTGCTTGCTCTTTTTGACCTCTCTCTCCCAACCATCATCATGGATGCCTCAGACTATGGACTGGGTGTTGTTCTGAGCCTACTGTATCCAAATGATACTGAACGACTGGTGGCTTTTGCATCTATGACTCTTACTGCTACAGAACAGAACTACCCCACAGTGGAAAAGGAGGCCCTTGCATGTCTATGGGCTGTGGAAAAGTGGATATCTTACGTATGGGGCCAACGTTTCACTCTATGAACTGATCATCAGGCACTGACTACGCTGCTTGCAACCAAAGGCATTGGCCGCACTGGTCTGCGCGTCTACCGTGATTCACCTACGATTTGGAATACAGACCTGGATCTCAGAACCAGGTTGCAGACTGCTTGTTACGATTTCTACTCGCTGTGCATTCTACTTCTGTGGATGAGCCTGACATGAGGGCATCTGTTGAGTCAGCTTTATCTGTGGCTGATTTCACGTCTGCCTGTTCTCAATGCCATGAACTAACACTACTGCGTCCACGGACTGGAAAAGGCTGGCCAAAGTGGGATATCCAAGAAGGATGTGGACCCTCTCTTACAACCTTACTTCCCCATCAAGGATGAACTTTCTGCATCTCAGGACCTGGTTATGAGGGGTGAGCATCGCTACGTTGTCCCTGTTTCCCTGCGTGCCACTGTAACCCATCTAGCGCATGACACACATCAAGGTGTTGTTCGCACAAAACAGAGGCTGTGTGATCTCTACTGGTGGCCTCAGATAGATAAAGTGGTTCAGTCGGCTATTGCTTCATGTACTACTTGCCAGATGAATGACAAATCTGCTCGCACTGCTCCTGCTCCTCTCCAGCCTATTGAACTGCCTAAAAGACCGTGGGAGAAAGTGGCTCTAGACACTGTGGGCCCATATGAAACTGCTACATCCTCGTGTAGATATGTTATAACATTAGTGGACTATTACAGTAAATGGCCAGCGGTTGCATTTCCTCGGACTGTAACTGCTGATGTTTATGTTTATTTAGCAGACGCGTTCATCCAAAGCGACTTACAATTTACAACCTATAGGGCATGTTGTGATCTGTGGGGGAAACCAGCATATACGTCGGGACTGTCCTTATGTTCAGGACAAAGAGGGGGAGAGTGTAATGTAAGTTTCAGTGGGCGCACGGGCATAATATCTTGCCCTCTAGTCAGAACCCGAAAACACCACCAGTAGGCAACAAGTTATAAAACAATACACTTTATTACAAGACACAATCATGAAACACACTAATAAACACTATGGCCAAAGTCCCCTATGATAAAACCAGCTGTCCAGCATGAATAAAACAAGCAGCGGTACTTAGCTGTCCCAGATGATGTGATCCCCGTCCCCGGGGTCTGAGCTTCCAACGCCCCGGGGTGTAGCTTGCGAGGACGGCGGGTAAATCCACAGGGTAAGTCCAACTGCCAGAGTCCGTGGTGGCAGATATCGGCGTGCACTTGGCATCCACTATGCCCAGCCCTCGCTATCTAAAGAAGGCAACAAGCCTTCCCTCCTAGCGCTGGAACGCTGTACGCCTGTTTAACTGTCCTCGTCGCCGGCAGCCCTAACTGACTGCGAACAACCCCACCCCCCAAAGTCCGATGCCACAATGACAGGTCAACCACGCACACCTCTCTGTAGACCTGTCACCCTTTTATCCTCCCCGGCCTCGTTATCCATAACGAGGACCAGCTGGTGTCCAATCACCACACCCTCAGAGCCCGGCAGCTTCCGTCTTCTGTCCATCACATTATCTTTTTGATAGACTGCTGGAGGACACGCTAGTTTATGCCTTTAGAAGACTGCTGGAGGACCTGTCGGCTTATACAGGGTATCTGCAGGTTTAACGGAGCCACATTTAAGACTTTTTAAGACCTTTTTTAAGGCCACTTTGACCAAATTGAAGCTCGTTGTCGTCCTCCTCCGCGTATCCGGGTTCCAGTCGCGGGGGCAACATCCCAACTAGGGAGCACCAGACCGTGCTCTCCCCGGCCACCTCCACCAGTTCCTCCGGCAGGACCCCAAGGCGTTCCCGGACCAGATTGGAGATGTAACCTCTCCAACGTGTCCTGGGTCGACCCGGGGGCCTCCTGACGGCAGGACATGCCCAAAACACCTCCCCAGGGAGGCGTCCAGGAGGCATCCTGACCAGATGCCCAAACCACCTCAACTGACTCCTTTCGATCCAGATCCAAATTTAAGCTATTTTTAAAATTAAATTTATGCTACAATTTCCAGCTATTGCCTGGAACCGGTGCTAACCACGTCGCGAACGTGGGATTAGCCATCCAGTTACCATTAAACTTGCACTTCTCCATGGCGCAAGCTCCCACTAGCTTAACCAGCTAACGTGCTCATCTAAAAATAGTCCCCTTTCACAACCAACTGAATGTGTACGGTTCCGCTTACGCCAACATCGTACACAAAAAATACTGAAGACTAACTAGAAGGTCACGAAAATGTCATAGAAATAAAATAATCTAGTTTATTGTGTCTTTGCTAATTTAAGACCTTTGGAAACTGTATTTAAGGATTATTTGTCATTTTTAAGGATTTTCAAGGCCTTAAATTTGGAAAAGTAAATTTAAGACTTTTTAAGGACCCGCGGATACTCTGTTATATCTTTAGTAAACAAATGGAGGATCAAGTTTGCCCACATTTCTGGCATAACTCTTTAGATGAAAGCTGGAGGATGTGTTGGTTTACCCTTTTAGTAGACTGCTGGAGGACATGCTGGTTTTTCCTTTAATAGACTGCTGGAGGACATGCTGGTTTTTCCTTTAGTAGACTGCTGGAGGACATGCTGGTTTTTCCCTTAGTACACTGCTGGAGGAAATGCTGGTTTTCCCTTTAGTAGACTGCTGGAGGACATGCTGGTTTTTCCCTTTTGTAGACTGCTGGAGGACCACATTTCCTCAGTCTGCTGGCTTCCATATTTGTAGTAACTATTATTGCTGCCATTACATCTCCTTTTTCCCCCTAGAATTAACTGGCCATCCTTGTGTTAACACACGCCTGTATACTCCAGATGAGCAGTCCTCTTACTTCTGATCTGCTTTAGGATGTTTGAGCAGACATCAGATGTTTCTGACGGTTTTACTTTTTTTAGGAAATAAAACTGAACCAATTTCGTCTTTTTTCATGCGATATCCTGCTCCGACATTTCTTCTCACATTCTCTTCACTGATGTGTTTTAAACTCAGTCTGTGAGGTATTTTTAGAACAAACCGATTACGGATTCCTTTACTAATAAATGTTTCAAAGAAAGCCAGAAGGTTGAACAAAAATATTTAATTTTGAAAAGTCCTCTGATGCTTAGAGAAGCAAACATGATGGTACAAAAAATGTGCCGTAAGAGACGTTGGCACTGGTTACAAATACCACTGAGGCAGACGAAGGAATGCAGGTTTTGGTGTTAACACGAAAGGCTCAGCATCCGAGGAGATCGCCTAAAATGAATCACAACAAACAAAAGCAATGTTTGAGATTTAGCCCTGAGTTGAATACGCCGAGTCGTCTCAAAATGAAAAATTCATAAGATTTCTGGGTCTGTATTTGGTAGAAGTTGTTGTGAAACAGCTGGCTGACACACCGGCTCATAAAAAACTAGCAGAAACAAAATGGCACGGTAAAAGCTGTTCTTGTGTTTAAGTGCTTCCAGCTGAAGTTCTGATGCTGTCCTGTTAGGACTGGTTCAGTGCTGCCCCATCAGTCCTGAGGGTAAAGATGTCGTCTAAAACCAACAGGCTTAGAAACCAGGAGCTAAGCTCACCACACTTCCAGTGTGTGTGTGTTTGTGTGTGTGGTGAACAAACACACCTGAAATAAAATAGTGCACACAAGCTGCCTCCAATCAGAATGAACCAAATACCTCCCGGGAGTGATTTAAAGGCAGTGCAGGCGAACGCCACATCGGCACATTCAAACGTGGAAGGTGAAGAAAACACTTTTCATTCCGACGGCGGAGAGGCTGGAGCAGGAAAACACGCAGCCACACAAAGTGCTTCCTGTTCAATACATTCAAACACATATCGATGACACATCAATGTAAAACAAGAGCCACGAGGGGGAGGGGCTTGACATTAATAATTACCAGCTAACCTCATCATTCCTATAAAATGTGGCAACCAATACAGGTAATTATGTACAAGTTACTCAGAAACACTGTCAGAGAGCCCAAACATCCTTTAAGTGTTGCCCTGGAAACAAAAAGGTAATGCCCTGGATCGGGAGGGGATCCAGCATGTTTTTGCAGTTTCTCTGCTCCAACACACCTCATCAAGCTCTGCAGAAGCCTGTAGATCACCTGCTAGTTAAAACCAGGTGTACTGGAGCAGAAACACCTAAAACATGCTGGATGGGGGACATCTAGGACCAGCATTGCCCTAGATGACAGTATAAAGTGCTGCCTGGGACAAAGCAGTTGGGCCGTTCCCTCTGAGCAGCAGCTCCACTGAACTAAACCTCTTTCTGCCCCAACTTGTAGTAAAACGAGAGAAAAGTTCACCTGCTTCACCAATAACTTAAAAAACAAAACACACTCACAGTTGAAAACTGCTAAATTCAATAAGAGTTCAGAAATAAATAAACCCAATATTATCAAATATTCAGAAAATTAAATATCTTTGATTGTTATTCATAATCATCAGAGACAACAAAACAGTTCTGTATAAATATTGAGGAAAATTCAGCGTATTTTCCTTTCCCAGCCTAGAGGTGGCACCAGAGATGAGGAGCCAGCAGCTCTTCTGGTCTCAGTGCAGATGAAGAGCAGAAGTCTGTCAGCCAGAAGCACACTGGTCCACTGTCACCATGGTAACTGCAGCCAGAAAGGGAGGAGCACCTCGGAGGGCAATGCATGTCGGTCTCAGCTGAAACAACAGAAAGTTATCATGAATGTCTGATTAAAACAGAACCATGCAAACAGAAATGATTTACTCTAAAGAAAATTCTCTTTCAGGAGCCAGAAACACTTTTCTTCTGTTGCGTCTCCAAATGGAGCAGTGGGAGGGTCAGACACCGACGGCTTGGTGATATTTTCACTGTGTGATGGTGAAGGCGCACCAACCTGAGGGGGTTTGTGTAAACTGTCAGCGGTCACCACGTCAGCTCCCTGGAGGAGTTTGCAAGGTCTTGTTCTGAGAAAACACAAAATAAATCAAGTCAGCATCTGTCTTCTCAGCTCGTTTCCTTGTCTTTCTTCTTCTGGAGCACTCACAGCTGCTCACCTTGTGCTTCTTACACTTCATGGAGAAGTTTTCCTCCACCAGAACACAGTCTGCTGAAACAAAACCAGAACAGTTAGAGATGTCACACACTGATCCATCTGAAAGGTTCAAACACAGGCTCAGAGGAAACCAGGGATGCATAGGGACGGGTACCTTTGACATTTGTATCGATTCGGTACTAATTCCCGGTACCTAGGAATCAATACCGGTACTTAACGGTACCAATTTTGGATACTTTTGAGTGTTTAATATTTTAACTCTCTTTTATAATGAAATATATATTTTTCTCAATATATAACCATATTTGATAAATATCACGATAAATAACATTCAACTGTTTGTATTTTAACATCGTCCTTGTAGTTTTATAAGCTGATAATTAAACTGAAGCAAACATCTTTACTGTGAACTAAATTTACTGTGTCTTCATTCCTTTTGCCGTCCTTGTTCATTTGATTTTTTCTACTGGGAAGTTAGAATTTCCAAGGAGAAACCGAACGCACCATTAGCTGATAACAACGGTGGCAATGGAAGCTAACATACCAAGCTAACGTTATCTTAAACAGTTTATTTAGCTGCTGGAGCAGATTTAAACGATGATGCCTCACACTTAGATCGTTGTCGCTGGTTTCATCTTTACCCGATCACCCGTCGCATTTAGTAAAGTGAAGCCAAACTTTAGAGCGCGTTCATGTTCTTCTAGTCGGAAATTCGGAGTTCCGAGGAGAAAACGAACGCACCATTAGCGGAAGGGAAGCTAACATATCAAGCTAACGTTATCTTAAACATTTTATTTACCTACCAGAGCAGATTAAGATGAGGATGTCTCACTTAGATCGTTGTCGCTGGTTTCATCATCACCCAGTTACCCATCACATTTAGTGAAGTGGACCCAAGCTTTAGCGTGTGTTCTTTCTACCATGCTGCTCTGTTTACAACTCGCTCGCAGCGACCGACGACATAACGCTCTTGCGCATGCGCAGCTGTCTAGGCAAGTTCTCGTTAAGGACGGGTACCGAAACGAGGCACCGTTTCAAATGATGTGAATCGGTGCTCAGTCGGTACCTTAAAAAGTACCGAATTTGGTACCCAATGCTAGGGATGCACACACACAGTATTATTGTAGCGAGAGATCAACCAACCAGCACTAAAGTATTAAGCCAAGTTTATACTCCTGCATCGGTACGGAGACGCCATTATCCGTGCTTGCGAGCCTGCTGGAGAGCCCTAAACACCTGTCGAACGAGACAGAGAGCACAAGCTTGTGATTGGTCAGGACGGTGCTTTTGTCAACAGCACCGCCATTGCGCTCTCAAAAACAAAGATATGTAGCGGCAGAGCAGATTGAAGAATACCTGGCGGAAAAAGTCTAAAAAGTATGAACGCTTATTCGCCCGTGACTGGAGAAGTGGAAATATATGCAGCAGGCGTTTCATTTGTGGGCGGAAGTGACGGAAACGTGGGTTTAGAGGTGGCGAGATAGATATGTACCAACTAGCGAGAAAAGCTATTTTTGAACTTTTTCTGCAGCGGTTTTAGTGCTTTTCGGTGCACCGCTGCTGATACAGCGCCCCTATAGTGGTGCAACGTTTCCACTGCAGTTAAAATAACATCCATATAGCTGGGGGCAGAGTGAAATCAGGCGGGGGGGGGGGGGGGGGGGGCGGGGGCGGGGGCACTAAATTAGCTGGAGGCGGCCGCCACGCTAATTTGAATGCAGGAAAACCCTGACAATATAGATCAGCCATACACCAGCCATCAAACCCAGCTGGTCCAGAGGAAAAGGATAAACCTCCAACCTTTTTGATATTGCCAACAATAAAACACAGCAAGCATCATTTTACCTGCAGTTATTCACTAGAGGAAAAAACTACTTCTATTAAATCAGGAAAGCAGGTAGAAATGTTTCTGATAGTACATTTTATTAAATATATTTATTATTACAGCAGCTCAAACTATTTAGGTTTTTTTTCACATTTAGCTTGTATTGTATTTAAAGTGGGCGTCCATGGGTGGAGACTTATTTCAACCAGACTTCCTGTTAGAAAAGACCTGGGAGGACAGAGAGCAGCACTGAAGCAATGATTGGCTGTAGGGCTGCTGCGATTAGTCGACTCGCCACAACAACATCGACAAACAAAATAGTCTACTGTTAAGTTGTTGATGATCCCCTGACTGCTGACGTGTGGACCAGCCGTGCTACAGAGGCGTACCTTGGTGTGTCCCGCTATTTCCTGAGTTAACATTGCCACCATGCCTCTTGTGAACACAAGTCATTTTTGTGTACATTTTTGGTTTTAGGTGCCTACCTCTATCTGACTGTAGCAAGTGGCATTAACAGGTTACAAGTTGATTAAAGTTGTTTGATACGCCATCATCTTGTCTTTATTAGACGGCACATAGCTGTTCACACGTCAGACTAGAAGCTAATGATGGTGTGTTAGAGCATCCTGGTGCAATAAGCTAAACTTTTATGAATGACACGATTGGTCGACTACTATATAGTAATTTGTGGCAGCCCTAATTGGCAACACCCCCCCAACCCGACTCCGAGCACCAACGTGTCGTTATCGGCAGTTGGGTGGTTAAGTCAGGTGGAGGTGCGGAGAGACTCAGCAGGAGTCCAGTGCAGTGCAGCCATGTAGTACGGTGCAGCCGTCACCCTGCAGCTACAGCCATCAGCTGTGGCTGATTCTACATTAGCGTGGAGCAGAGTTTTTACCTGAAGATGGAGATATGATGGTTTGGGCTGAAATATTAACCTTAAAGTTGCACTAAACTGCCAAAATAACAATTACACATGTGTACAGCTCTATTTGACACTCATCTATACAGGTTATTAGCAAAAATAAGTGAAACTAGGCGTTACTTGCTCTTTAAAATATCTTCATCTTCATGAGAATTTAGTGTTGCATTGCTTGGAAAAATAATACTAACATTTATTTGAAAGGTTTAGCTTTTTTTTTTTTTAACTCATTCACTACCATTGACGACTAAAGTCGTCCTTTGCATGTTTTTACTGTGTGGGCGGCGGACGAGCCCCCGCACCGTGAGAACAAACATCTCAGCTCTGAAGCCGATCTTCATCTGCATACGTCACACGTCACATGATCAGGAAGCAGAACATCCATGTGTTAGGAGATCGTTTTGGGCCGCTGCAGAAAAAAAGTGAGGCGCGAACCGGAAAAGCTTCTGCCGATCACAATTCAGCAACGGATTATGAAAGAACGGATAACGCTCGAAACGCGCGGATTCTTCCTGATGTAAGAGGTGAGTCTCCGCTTTGTTTTGGTGTCGACATCATCCTAGCGCGCAACGTTCTGTGACTCTTAAAACAACAGTAAAACAACTGAGAAACGCTGGCAGCGAAGGGCTTTACCGACCAGGAAACGGCTGGCAGTGAATGGGTAAAATCCCCCCCCACACACACACACACACTTTTTCAGTTTCTGGCTAATTCCCTGATCAGCACTCACCTGACTCCAGAGCACACCTGTAGTGGTATTTGTTGGCACAGCCTTTGAAGAAGCAGCCCAGGGAAGCACCTGGCTCGTGACACGCTGAACATGTCTAGAAAACATGAAAACATCAGCTCATCTTTACCATCGCAGCATTTCCTGCTTTTGTAAATTCAAAACAAGAACTCAAACCTTCCTCAGACAGAAGGATAATGGATAAAACAGCTTTCAGTGGTTGGTTGTGTGTGTTCATTTTTAGTTGGACCTGATGTGCCAGCAACCAATAGCAAACACACTGAGACCTAATTAAGACACTGTTAGCAGTTTCCAACAAGAAAATGTGCCCAACGTTTTCACAAACATCAACATTTGTTCAAAGTTCACATTTAATGGAGACTACAGGTGCTGATGTTGGTCAGCAGGTGGCAGAGTTGAGCTGTTTAAAGGGAGACTGACATTTACCAGTATACTTTTCTATAGAAATCCCTGAAAGAGGCCCATTTGGAATGAGACATTTTCTATTTAGGCGTGGTGGGGCAGGTTAGGGCTGGGTGACATGGCCTCAAATCAATATCACAGTATGTACACCTGGTATGTCCTGTTCACCTATTCACCTAAAAACAATAAATGACGATTACTACCCGTACGCGCAAAAACAAAAGCTGTGCACTAGACGGGGCTGTGGCAGCATTAATGCTCTAGGGCCAGTTTGATTGATGGTACTATTCCCCTGATCTGCTCATTGCAATAATTTTTTATTTCTACTCTTTAAACCTTCCAACTGAGTACTAAGATGTTAAGACTGAGTGAACAACTGGGAAGTGAAATAAAACTGCAACTGCAAACACGAAAGTATTTAAAGTGCAAGTCACCCCCTACCGGAGTCTTACTCCACTCTCACTTCATGTTTGAAAAATGCAACAAATGCTGTTGCCTGGCAGACCGAGAGGGCGGAGCCGCTAACAAATATACACACACAGGCTCACAACAGCATTGTGACATCATAATGTACCAACTAACATCATTGTGTACCTTTTAGCCAATAGCGGTGGCAGATTTAAATTCAAATGTAGTGCGGAATTTTTACCTGACGACGGCACAGCATTGACAGTTTTAGGCAGAAAATTTACATTTGAACTAAGATGCACTAAAGTATCAAATTAGTGACTACACGTGTCTACAGCATGATTAGACACTCATTTATATAGTTTATCAGCAAAAATAAGTTGATTTGGGTGTGACTTGCTCTTTAAGATACAACCTCTTATATTCTAAATCAGGATTTTACTGCATCACGTGTGTGGAGGTTAAAGCTGAGGCATGTTCCCTATATAAGCCCGTGTGTTTTGCCCTTTTTCTGCAATCTTTAACTGCTGTGAGATTTGCCTTCAGAAAGATGAGAGCATGCTTGCAGTGTGGAATGTGACTACATCATTTCAATAACTCTTCTGTGAAAATTTGGAATGAAATGCAACTGTATTAAAACCTTGTTTCAGTCACCAACAGCAAGCTGCAGCTAACCCGAATATACTGCAACCCAGACCTCTGGGGCTCCATATTCATTAGTACTAGAAAGACCATTTCACTGAATAGGATGGATAGAGGCATGTTTTTGTTGAATGCTGCCTTTAACATTGGCTTCAGAGGACTAAAAGTTCAGCAGGCATTCTATCTGCACTAAAAGCATCATAGCATAAATGTAATTATAGATCTGACCTCTAAAACATTCTCACTTTCTTACAATGATTAACATAAAGGCCTCTCTTTGTCTAGTTCATCTCTGTTCTCTGAAATCTTAACCAAAAACATAATTATTAAAACAAAGTAGAAGAAAATGCTTTCAATGTTAAACTTGAGTTTGAAAACTTGTAGAAAACGTTTCATATTTTATCCCGTTGTCATGCTTGGAGCCTTGCTGCTGATTTAGAGTAAATATTGATTTTCTGCAGTTAGAACGGACGCAAATAATGTAAACAGAAATGTTTAGGAAGCTTTCCACAACGGCTAAAGAGTTATTTTATACTCCAGAACACATTTCAGCCAGTTATGCTAATTAAAGCAGGAAATCCAGTTTTCTGAAGTCAGGCGCCACCATCTAGAGGCTGACAGATGTATCACACCTTAAACCTCTCTTCCACTGGACTCATGCGAAACGGCAGCGAAACATTCTTTGCTGCAGCTCATCACTGTAATAGTGAACGGTTTCCTTTCCACTGGCAGCCATGTTTTGGACGCATCCCAGGTTTCATTACGTTGCAAGTTTATTTTTTATACGCTAAGCTTCCAAAACACGTCAAACTCCGCAGTTTAGATCGGGCCAGACAGGAAGTCAAACATGGAAGCAGTGTAAACTTTCAAAATAAAAGTCATGTGCAGATTAACGTACACATTTTCTGTGAAACAGTGTTTCTGAAATTCCAGCGCCACGCCGGGCTACAAGATTAGAAAAAACTGCCGCTGTTACATCGCATGCTGCTTTCACGTCCAGAGCAAAGGAGGCTTTCATATATGGATTTCTGAAAAATCTTACATAATTCCTAAATGAGGGAAAAGTCTGGATTGTAGATTTAATCTTGGCCACATCTACAAGTGTGATTAGTGGGCAGCCTTACTATCTCCTGAGCCACTTTGACAGCCTCCTCCAATCCGTAGACCTTTCCCTTCACGAGGAACACCCCTGTTGACCAGATGCCACAGTCCTCATGGAGCCAGTACTCACAAGGTTCCAGAGGCAGCACAGGTGGGCTGTACCAGTCCTCCACTTCCACAGGACCAGTGTCAGACCGAGTCCGCTTAGCTGCAGGACTGCCGGCTCGGTTTACAGCCCACTTGTGGCTCCCTAGGAGGCCCCTCTGCTTTAGTAGAGCTCCCTTAATGAGGGTCCACGGCCTGACCCTCACACTGCTGGATGAGGAGTCAGAATCACTGTAATCACCCTCGTCCTCTTTAATCCCCGATGTTGCGGCGGTGGCTTTGGGGCTCAGCCGGTACCCCTCAGGGTAGTAGGGTCCATGCAGGTCCCCTAAGTCCATGGCATTGGCCGACCTGCCGCAAAGGCAACAAACAAGAGCCCGCTGATGCCGGCTGTGCATAGACAACCAGCCCAACTGCAAACAGGAAGTGCTGGGTACAGTTGCAGAAATAAAAGTGCTGGTGTGTTGCAGCTGGCCGTTCTTGTGCTGCACCTTGACCACCTCAGCATGGTTGATGACCGTGCACAAAGATGGAGAAGACTGCTGATGCTGGACACGGATAAACGGAGAGAAGCCGTCTGGCTTGAGGTGCCTCTTCTCCTTGTAGTTGACATACTTGAGCCTGATCTCAGGTTCTTTTGGGGAGAACATGGAGGATGGCGGACTTATTTTGCGCTTCTTTCTCCGTCGTTTAGAGGCTTGGGCCTTCTTCGTCTTGGTACCAGGAGGCTTGCTTTGAGATTTGTTTGGGCTGTTCTTTGGAAGTTTGGTTTGTAGTGGTGGGGGAGGAAACCTAGACACACCGTTTTCCACCGAGGGTTCCGGCTGGGGGGGCGGATCTGGGTTCTTCGTAGAGTTCTTGGTCACAGCAAAATGAGGATTTGACAGTGACGGGAGTTTCCTTTTGGACTTTGTGGTGCTGGTCTGTGGTGGGTTCACCACTTCTCTCTTTGACTTCTTGGGGCGTTTAGGCGGCTTGCTGCTGGGAGACTTGTTCTTGAGTTTAGAAACTGTGGCGGAGGCTTTGCAGCCATCAGCCTTATTGCTATTTTTATCTTTTCTCGCCTTACCTAATGTTCTGTTGGTCGTTTTTGCTTTTCCTCTCCGCTGCTGCACAGATAAAGGCTCGCTCCTCTTAAGACTGTTTATGGTAGAAACTTGAGTTTCAGATCTGGAGACATTAGTTCGTTTATTGGCGAGTATACGTCCTGATACTTTATACCTGCTTGAGTTAATATTCATGACTATAGCCTCCAGGCGGGTTCCTCTACCAGAACGCACTGGTAGCTTCCGTTCTGTTAGAGTTCTCTCTAGTGCGTTTGCACTTCCATTCATTTTAGGAGCAACACCGTTGGGTTCGTTTTCCGAAACATCCGACATAAGGGTGTCGTCTGTTGAGTAACTCAAAGGTTCCAGCGAGTACGTTTGATGTTGGGTTTGTTGTCTACTCTTGTTACTTAGGTCTAAACGTCTAGAGCCAAGGATGTTACCGGAACCTGGCACAGTTTCTGAGCTGAAGGTCTTCTCTGGATAAGAGCTGGTTGAGCAAGGCGTCTGAGGCAGCAGGAACACATCCTCCACATCATCCAGTGAGGTAGCAGATGGGGAAACGGGGTCCTCCAGAGGACTCGGATACTCCTCGCTCAGCAAACACAAAGCTGTGGTACCGGTTCTGTCTGAGACCACCACCACATCCTGGTTTTTCGAGAGAACATCAGAGCTCCTGACAAGAGAAGTCTCTCGTGATGAATCCCGTTGTGCTGCTGCACCTGACCAGCAGTCACCATTTTCCAACCCATTCCTTTTTCCTGTAGGAAGCCCATGCTCCTCTCCATGATTTAGGGGCTCTCCTGAAAACTCATCGCTGGAACCTGCACCTCTGTTAGCATCACCGTTCCACTGATCAGGCTCCTGAACAAGGGACCCCCCAGCATTGTTCTCTGGTTCCTCCTGAGCCAGAGAAAAAGATCGAAATTTTTCAGTCGGAGTGGCCAGGTTCATGGGCTCCTCTGCCTGCTCCATGTAATGCCGGTCAAGTGCATAGCTAGTCTCCTCAAGACAGTCGTGCGAGTCGTTATGAGGGTGGAGGGAAAACGTGCCGATAGGTGACCCACTGCAGCAAAGCAGCTGCTGAGATCGGGAGTCACCAGTGGAGAGGACATGAGGCCTGCTCATGTGGGACAGAGTCTGGTGGGATAAGGCATTGTCTGGTTGAATTTGAGCTCCTGGTTGCACCACGGCGCCCAGCGAGCCAGTCTCTGAGAAATGTAATCCAGGGCTGGTCACTCCAGAGCTTGTGAGCCAGCCAGGGCTTTGGATTATCTGTAAGGCATTGTCGGGAGCGGAGGGGAGGACACACTCCTCCTCTCTCCTGCTCAGGTCAATCACAACAGGCACGCTGGAGGTGGCAACATCCTGAGGCTGTAAATCATCTACGTTCCCAGGGGGCTGCTCCATAACATCTGGAAATAATAGAGAAGAGAAAAAAATTGGTTTTAATTATATTTCACTATTAGACCTTTGACCGCCACTGAGAGCTGCTTTCTGAAAAGATGAGTGAGATACATCAGGGCTCTAGAGGGCGACAGTTTGCAAATGCACCCGATTTCTCATTAGTGCACTTGAAAACATCTCAGGGCCACTGCTACCAAGAAGATTAGCACTGTGCTTCAACAACACTCAATAGGGAACAAAAAGCCCTTTCCACACTAGCCCAGCCCGGCCAGTTGGATTACACACATATCCTTCCCCACATCCTTAGGAATGTGGATGTAACTGAGCATGTGGCCAGTCTCAAAACCTGAACTCGCTTTGTCCACACAGGGTCGCGGTTGGTGCCTATCTCCAGCTGTCAATGGGCAAGTAGGCGGGGTACACCCTGGACAGAGAGCCAGTCCATCGCAGGGCAACACAGACACACAGGACAAACAATCGCACACACACACACACACACACACACACACACACACACACACACACACACACACACACACACACACACACACACACACACACACACCTAATGACAGTTGAGACGGACCAATTAACCTAACAGTCATGTTATTGGACTGTGGGAGGAAGCCGGAGAACCCGGAGAGAACCCACGCATGCACAGGGAGAACATGCAAACTCCATGAAGAAAGATCCCAGGCCGGGAAGCGAACCCAGGCAAGGCAACAGCTCTAACCACTGCCCCACTGCGCAGCCTGGTGCAAATATATCACTGATATCATGAGCACATCTCTGAGCACTTAGGCGGGGCAAAAGATTTGCAGTAAGAAAAAAGGCAACCGTCTTTGGAGACTGATTCTGATTTTGCATCCTGCTCTGCGTGTGTGCGTGTGTGTGTGTGTGTGTGTGTGTAGGTGTGCGTGTGTGTGTGTGTGTGTGTGTGTTCACAGCAGAAAGAGATTGCTTTTGGCTCCTCCTCAGTAACCAGAATGATGAACAGAGCATGCAGGAAGGCCCGCTAGCTGATTCTATTAGCCAATTGGAGGCACCCCCTAGCGGCAACTCTTTCGAAAGAGGTTAGCAGTTTCGTTACTATTTTCATGTTTCTTACTACCTAAATGTCTTCCAACATGTTAAGGTTGTAAAGTCGTATATCCAGCAGTTATCTAGTGTGACATCAGACAGGCGCAGGACGTCGAGCCGGCCAGAAGGAAACATGGCGTCTAATACGGCGTCCCCCAAAGACATTAGACCAGCGTTGGTTAAAGCTGCCAATATTTTTCAACTATTGGACATAATTTTAATTCTTTTTCAACAACATTTCAATGGATACTTCCATAGACTAAAGGTAAAACCTACACATTTGAAATCTGAATGTGCTTTTTCGCTGATACCCAAGACCCTTTGCTTTCCTCTCATTTTTATTCTCACCCCAGAGAATAATGTTTGGTTGCGTGTGTGTGTGTGCGTGTGTTCATGGGTCTGCAACTCTAATAATGTAGCTGAAAGTCACCATGCTGGACAGGGTCCCATTTCCCCATCTCCAACACGTTCTGACACCTGCTTAAATTTTCCACATTTTCTCATCAAAATTTTCTTTCATTAGTCCGGATATTAGCTTAGCCTCCACATCACTGCAGCTACCTACAGAAACGGGGTGCTGTGGATTTTCTTTTCACTTGTAGAGTTTATTCAGTCTTAGTTAGACGTGAACATTATTAACGTGTTTTTTCCCCCCGGTCCCCACTTGAAACGGAATTAAAACACGTAAACATAAGTATGAGTTGTGGCTTTGCGACCGAGTAACCCAACGCAATTAATATCGTTTCTACTTTCAGACCCAACAGAAACCAGTTCAACCCTTAAAGGCCCCATTGAAATCATGATGGAAAAAATGTGACTCTTTAGCGCCATGCAGTTCAGAGAAAGTATTGCAGCTACGGTAGCCCACTCACTTGCAGATAGTATAATCAATCTCCAATCTGTCCAGTCTAACCCACACAATGCTTAAAACTACCAACTCAAACACTTAAAACTTAGCCACCCACTAATCGTGGCTCATGGCTGGCGTGGTGGAGATGGGCGTCACAAGCTACTTGTTAGCCACAGCTAGAGCAGGGGAGACGCTGTGTATGCTATGCGTGAACTCCCACAGATTACCAGCAAAAGGAGACCAAAATCCAAAGTTAATGTTTAAGAAGAAGCCCTCAGAGTCGGAGAAGCATGTCATCTCTGTAACGCGTGGACAACTAAATCGCTGTTAGCTGTTAGTTAAGTGTTGTGGAGATGAAGTAAACAATGCTGATTTAGCCACTGGCTAGCAGAGGAGCGCTGGGGCATGTTGGGAGAGATGGCAGGCTGCAGAAAGAGAGGAGACTTGAGTAGGAGGACTTTGGAACGGACACGTTGGGACCGGATCGGGAGTTCTGGTGTTAACAAAAGATGAATGAACAACTTGAGGTGAGTTTGGGAGTCAGAGACACTAATCGGAGGCTGGCGTCCATCTAATAGCGGGTGGGGATCTGAAGATATGTGGCTTCCTTGTGTTGGACATGATGACGAACTGACAATTTTTTATGTGTCTTTTGATTTAATTATTTATTATTCAAACTAACAATTAGAGCAACGATGTAGCTATTCTTTTCTATTTCTTAGTTGAATTAGCAGACTTCATGATTCCAGGGCGCACTGCTGCCCTCTGCTGGTTCTTTCAGGTTGTTACAGTCATAGTCCAAACGGTAACGTGGAGCTTGTATGTCCCTAAACAGCTACTGTATTTTAAGATGGTGGATGTCCATGGAGGGCAGTGTTGCCAACTCGGCGACTTTGTCACTGTTCCTAACGACTTTTTGACCCCCCTCCACGACTTTTTTTTCCAAAAAGCGCCTAGCGACAAACTTAGCGACATTTCTCAGGACCCGTTGCTACTTTCTGTAGAACTTTCATGTAGATATTCCCTACAGATTAGCAACAAAGAAACCGTTTGCACTCTGAACCGTTCTTCCGGGAGTAAGGAAAGAGAACGATAATCTGCGCATGTGCACGAGGACTGACCAATCATAAACCGTTTTCGGCCGGTCTGATTCGCTGAAGCTGCAGAGCTGGAGACCGCCGATTTACGTCTGCTGCTTTCATATTGCTGCAGGCTCACGCTTCTACTAGAGACGGCGCGGGCGTCAACCTGCCATCTCTGGTTCTGCAGCCGTCAGACACTTTGGTTTTTCCTGCATTTGGCAAATAAAGTCATCGGGAGTTTCAACTACCGTCCCGTTTACACACGCAGCTCTGTGGCTCATCTGAATTTCCTTCAGTGACACAGGGATGGTTATACTATGAGACACCCGCTCCCTTTTGCTCGGAGCGCCGTTATTATCACGATGGAGAGAATACACAACAGAGAAGTTGAGAAACTATGAGGTGTAAAAAAACAGCTTTTTAGGAAAATGTCTGTGAGAATGAGGAGAGCAGGAGGTCTGAGTTATATCCTACAACAGAACTGTTTGGATCACCACACCATACCTGTCTTAATGCCACTTTATTGGTAGTTTTGGAATTTATTGTACATATCAAAGCAATTTGGGCCATTTTAATCATACTAATTAATAACTTTAACATATAACATAGTATTTATTTTCCTCCCTTTTAGTCCTATTATATATATATATATATATATATATATATATATATATATATATATATATATATATATATATATATTAGATGCCATAGGGAAAACGAACACTAATGTGGCGTGATGACGTCATCAATATGTAAATAAGCACGTGACGTCATCTGGCGACATCTAGTGACTTTTGGGGGGAACTTCAGCTACTTTCAGTAAAAAACAGTTGGCAACACTGATGGAGGGCTGCGCAGTGGCGCAGCAGTTAGAGCTGTTGCCTTGCAGCAAGAAGGTCCTGGGTTCACTTCCCAGCCTGGGATCTTTCTGCATGGAGTTTGCGTGTTCTCCCTGTGCATAGGTGGGCTCTCTCCGGGTACCCCGGCTTCTTCCCACAGTCCAAAGCTTATGTATTTGAAAATACAGTTTATGTATTTAAAAATGTGTAATTTCAAGTTGAGAGGCATTTTAGAATTGATGTTGGTGAGAAATATTAGTGAAAAAGAACAAGTTTGTGAACTGGAAACAGGATTTGATAGTAAACAGGTAAAAATATTACACACTGGGGCTTTAAACTCACCCCACTGTCACTTGCTTGTTAACTGACGTGTACTTGATTTTCACTCCTGCTATGAAGAACATAGCAAGAGTTAACTATGAAGTAGCGGTTTGGCTGTGTTTAAAATACCGTAAAGTTATTGCGGGTCAAAAGGAAAACTTTGTTATTTTCATTGGGTAACATGTTAAACAGAACACCGGCTAACTTTTCACTACCAGCTCTGACAGGTCAGGTTAGCTAGTTAGCTTAGCCACCGCGAACAGGCCCGGCCGGCTTAAATGCGGTGTCGTTCCCTCACACCTATCCTCATCATGTTTTTAATAATTTAAATGAGTTATAACTACAGTTAAAATGTATTACACCAAAGTACGTGTCCTGCAAACTTCCACCAAAGGGTAACAACCACTCGTGGTTTCGGGGATGTCTTTTTTCAAATTTACAGTCTACTTCCAACCTACTTAGTTTGTTTGTGGCTAATCGCCAACTAGTGAGAATCGTTACAGGAACAACGACCAACAGTTTCTAAAATTACTTTATTTACTTAAAATTGTCCCCATCATGATATTAAAATATGCCGAATTTACAAACAGAACTTAAGAACTCTAAATAAATTTTGTTAGCTTATTAAGCAAAAAGCTAGAATTTATTAAACCGCTGACAGCAGCTGAACACTTCGTGGAGCTCCGCTTACGCATCGGGGCAAGGCCCGGCTGGATGGAACAAAGACGGTACGGAGGAAAAGCTCTGCGCTCTGCTGGTGAACCAAACTTACCGGGACGGGACAGCTGCTTTTTAACCCCCAGTTATGACTCAGTCTTTCCCCGCATCTCATTCAACAACAAGCCCTCATTTCTCATGGAGCTCACTAAAAGTGTAAGGAAAGCCTAATTATTAAATATCCACTCACTTTTCAGGAACACACTACTTCGATACCAGCATGACTAGTCCCAGCGCGCAACACAGGCGCCGCTGACTTCCGGAAGCACTTTCAAAGTAAAAGACCCGGGCTTATAAAAAAACAAACGAATTGCCATGTTTGATTAGATGTCTTCGTGTTTTTACTGAAATTAATGGAATAAATTACAAAAAAAAAATCATATAAATGTTTTAAAACACACAAGTATCTACTATCTTCTTTGAAAGAAAATATGATTTATCATTCAGTAAATAAAGTATATTAATAGTATATTTCAGTAAAAATAGTAAAACATCTGTGCTGTGACCTTTCAGAGTGGAGCATGTTATTCCCATGTGTGTGGGTTTTCCTTGAGTACTCTGGTTTAGTCCCACAGACCAAATACATGCATGTCAGATTAAACTGTAGTCACTTTGAGTAAAGGTGTTTACAAAATGCATAAATATAAACAAGTGAGGTCACTTTGATAATGTTACTGCGGCCGTTCTCAGGACGCATATGTCTGGAGCGCATCAACGATCAGAGCTTTGCACCTCTCATCTCAAAATAATCCCAGATAGTCCACATAGATAATTTAATATAAGCGGTACCAGGATAGTTTTCGAGCTAAAAAATAGTCTACAGTCCATCTTCCCTAATGTGTTTGTGGCCCTATGGATTTTTCTAACTCTACCAGTTACAAATTGTGAAGGGGAACGATTTTCACAAATGACAAGAATAAAAAATGACCTGAGAACAACACAAACTCAACAGCGCCTCAGTGCACTGTCACTGATGGCTATTGAATCTCAGCTTGTCAGGAATCTGGACTTTGATGACATCTTAAATGAATTTACTAATAGAAAGCAGTTTTTCTGAAGGCAAGAGAGGAGACCAACAAGAGGAGACAAAAAGAGGAGTAAGGAGACAGGAGTCAAGAGGAGGAAGGAGACAGGAGACAAGAGGAGGAAGGAAACAGGAGTCAAGAGGAGGAAGGAGACAGGAGACACAACAGGAAAATCATCAGGTATGAGTGTTTGTGATTAGGTTACAAAGCTATTTGACCTGGAGGTAAATGCTTTTGCATCAACATAAGTAAGCGATTTTTAATATTGACAATGCTATGAAATGTCTAAAAAGTGCTACTGGGTGACAGTAATATAGGAGGAGGCCGGGTGGGGTGGGGGTGGGGCCCTAAGCACATTGTGCCCAGGGGCCCCTGTAATGATAATCTGGCCCTGCACTCAACCATGTATTTCTGGCTAAAATCACCCAAAGAACCTCAGTTAGCTGGGAAAGTAATGGCTGACTAAGGTCCTCAGAGACTTGCTCTCAGCTCTACCTCATCCTACCTCAATCAGCAGTAGCTCAGGAGGTAGAGCAGGTTGCCCATTAGGCAGAAAGTTGTAGGTTGTGGGTCTGGCTCCAACCATAGAATGCTGCTGTTGTGTCCTTGGGCAAGACATTTAACCTGCCTTGCATGCTAGTGGTGGTTGGAGTGACCGGTGGCGCCAGTGCTCGACAGGCCTCACCTCTGTCAGTGTGCTCCAGGGCAACGGTAGCTACATCGTAGCTCATCCCCACGAGCATGTGAATGACTGATTGTGTTGTGAAGCACCTTGGGGAGTTGTAGAACCCTAAGAAGGCGCTATACAGGCCATTTACCTCTTTTGACCATTTTTGAATTGTCTGGGTTTAACGAGACACGGTCAAGATAGTGGTGGAACTGCCCATTGAGCCTCAACTCAGACCTAAAAAAACCTATAGGCGACGTCACGTAGGGTTTGACCATTGTTTCTAGTCATTGATACAAACACACATTTATTAGATGGACACATATGGCGTCAAAATGTTGGTTTTTTATTTGCATTTAATAAATACATATCCACATGAGTGCTCCAGTCCCCTTGCTTCACAGAGATAGTGTACCTTTGGTTCCATGTTAAGCCTCAGGTGGATAGGGTTAATGTAATAAAACTATGTGCTAACATGATTACACAAATTCTACAGCTGTGAAAATCAATCTCATGAAAACAGAATATTGTATATTTTATTTTTGCAGTTGTTAGTTTTGTACTTTTATGTCTTCCCACTTCAATCATATTACTGTCAGACGAAAGAGAATCAAAAAACAAAATGAACATCAAAGTAGTTGTTTTAAAATCTAAATAAATCAGCAACTTATTTAATCATTTCATTGTTCCACAAAAATGACAAGGTTTGATTGCAGTGGAAGTTCTACTGTTGGGGTTCACATAAATTCGTTTCCAGGGTCCAGAGGAATTGAGCTGGGGACATGCGTAGGAATCCACTTGACAGGAATGGTGGCCAGCTCATCTGACTCCGTTTCAGAGAGCAGCTGCAAAGAACAGAGGGAGAATGAGTCCAATCACACAGGAAATGCTCCTCAATCCTTTGTTACTGAAGCACATTTTAGCCAGTTCCTCAACCCAGAAATGGAACTAAATCGGCAAACTTCACATTCACTGCAGTTTCCATCACAAAGCATTCAAGTTGCTCATCACACAAACGTGAAGCTTTCAGACCCAAGAACACGGAACCAGCTATCAAGCATGGAGGTGTCAGCATCATGATGAGATTCTGGTGCACTAAGTAGAATAATGAAGGAGGAGGAGGAGGACTGTCTCCAGGTTCTTCAACTCCACCTGAGATCATCAGTTAGACAGTTGAACCTTGGACCCAGTTGGGTGTTCCAACAGGACAATGACCCCAAACATCAGATCTGGTTTCTGATTGGATCAAGCAGACTGACATTAAGATTGTGGGATGAAACAACAATGGAAGAGCAGACTGGTGTGTTATAAAGTGCCTTGGGGGTTGTACGACTCAAGAAGGTGCTGTATAAATAGAGGACATTTACCAGTTCAGAATGACTAACAGACCTCAATATAAGTGGAAGTTCACTGTGATCAAACTAAACTAAACATTTTGTGAAGGTGCCATATGTGAGAATGGAGTATGAATGACTTCCGATTGGAGTGAAACAAAAATAAGCTGTTGTTTCTCAGAGGTACAAGAAATAACTTCTAGGTCACTCCTGTTTACTGGCTTCAGTTCTTTAAAAAACTCTGGAGCTTTTTGCCGGCTGGTGTTTAATTGTATACGCTGACCCAGCAGTGCAGACTCGACAAAATGGTAAACGGCCTGTGTTTATATAGGGTTCTTCAACCCCCCAAGGCGCTTCACAACACAATCAGTCATTCACCCATTCACACACACATTCACACACTGGTGGGGATGAGCTACACAGCTGCCCTGGAGCACACTGGAGGAGGCGAGGCTATCGAGCACTGGTGCCACTGGTCCGTCCGCCCATCACCAGCACGCAAGGCAGGTTAAATGCCTTGCACAACAGCAGCATTCTCCAGTGAGAGCTGGGATTGAACCTACAACCTTCCAATTATTGGACAACCTGCTCCACCTCTTGCCCTGCACGCTCACTGATTGTAAACAAAGACTAAGTTCCTCTTTGGCCATTTTCAAAACAGAAAAACTGACAACCTCTCAGCTGGCTGAGAATGAAATCTGTTTCGACGCAGCCTTCCTTCCGACATGATTGAGATCTTAAGACTGTTTTGTGATTATTTCTCTGTAGAATTCTTACATAGTATTATTTTTATTATGTGTTCTTATTGTTGACAGTGATTATCTGCTTTGTTGTGTATATTTATTATTGATCGTGCTTTTTTTATGTTGTGTTTTTCTTTTTGCCGTACAGCACTTTGGTCGGCTGCCATGCTTCATAATAAAGTTGGCAAAGTTTGCTCCTTTAACCAAATATTAGTTTTGAGCCTGTTTGTGACAGTCTGACTTTGTGTGGAGGAGAGAAAATTCACAATAACTACACACTTGTTTTGAAAATGATTTATGTATTGGTTGGATAATTTGTATAATCATCCAACCTGGGAAAAAAACTTTTGGTATCAGTCATTAAACCATTAAAAGACCCAAAACCTTCATGCTCATGATGGGTGGATGGAAGCCTTTCACACCAACTGTAGTTAGTTTTAGTTTCAAAATACTTACCATTAGCCTGGTGAACTAGACCAAATTCTTGCTTTACAAAGTTTGACAGTTAAATAATATATTAATTTAGTCTGGCTTGCCAGGCTAACTTACCATCTATTAACTTGAGAATACAGGCATTAATGTGATTATTTTTAATCCTCTTTATCCTCCTACATAAATATGTTCAGCTGTAAAGAGTAAATGGTGTTACGTTGAATTACCTGCTCTGTTAGCTGGTATTCTCCATGCTGTTCATAGCCGTGGTCAAACACATAACTCCCTGCACCCTGAGGCTGAAACGTTGGATTTCAGATATTGGGGGAAAAATATTAATGAACAATAATCAAACTAAAACAAAACATACAAACTAGTGTTACAGCTGCTGACTGTCCGTAACACAAAGTAAAAAAAAATCAATTCAATCTCTAGATAAGATGATTCTGCTCATTGTTCCTACTGATGAACTCTGGACAGCAATTAGAACTGCTGTGATGTCACAGAGGACCATGAAGCTGCTACAGTATAATCTGATGAAGCCACTTGCACTCAGTCTTGCACCATTAACACCAACGTCAGGCTGTCGTATTCACATGAAACATTCTCCATTGAACATCGAGTTTGAAAAACAAAACCCACCTGGTTGTTGACGAAGTTGCCCTTGTATCTGCAGTTAGGGAAGACGTATTCTCCAATCAGCTCCATGCTGCCATTCACCCATGTGCCAGTGTACTTTACACCAGTATCCTTGTAGTGGTACAAGCCCTGGCCATGCCTGGAAATCACACAAAACCTGTGTCTTGAGGTATTCCTAGGCTTTTGAAACTGGTTAAACTGGTAAGTTTATGTTCTGGTATACTGACCCAAAACAAACATACCGTATCTTCAAATAGAACCAATTCTAAAATGTTTTTCACTGAAAATGAAAGTATATCAAGAGAGCTTGCTAAAAGCATCATTTTAAATGCAACAGATAAACTGCCTCCACACTCTCATTGTTTAAATGTGAGGATGAAATAACTTGTTCACAAGTGCAGCCATGTTGTGTTTGTAGAACCGGTGAAGCTGGAAGTCCCATCTGCTCTCCCAAACATAATGGTGTTTAAAGCATCACAACAACAAATAGGAATCAAGCATGGCAGCAATGATCAAAAATTCCTTCTCAATTATTAGCCATGACGATGTCTCATTCATTTATATAGAACAGGTGGGATTTAAAACTTCAGTTCTCTGTGGCTTCAGCCTCCAGATTCTTCTGTTGAACTCGTTTTCATGTCTATGGCTAAATAAGATCAGTCTGGATCAGGATTCAAGTTTGTTTCTAAACAATCACAAAAACAACGTGATCATTGAGTTATTTTCATTAAAAAATATTGTAACATTCAAATTTTTACATGTTTTATTTAGTCACTCTTTCTGAATGACACACATTTCTCTGTATGGATATATGTCCAAATGTCCATCTACTGAAAAATTCAAATCCAGTTCCCGATGTAAGACTTTTATTCTTCTGACCCCTCAAACAGTTGGTTCTGTATCAGCTGATATTCTGTTGTTGCGACACCACATGGATTACAGAACCGTTTGGTTTAAAGTGAGAAGAAGAAACAAGAACTAACGTATTTCACTTGTTAACGGTAAGGCTGTGATAATACCTCTTGTTGGATTGCCATTCTCCAACATAGGTATCTCCGTTGGGATAGGTGTAGATGCCGTGCCCATGTCTCAGGTCCTCTAACCATGACCCTATGAGCCAAAAACACAGAATGTAGGAGCTACATAAAATGGCTTTATGTAAATGTCTCAGTCAGATCAGAGACATAGCTCAGTGGTTTTATTAATTAGGTTAAATATGCGATAAAAATATCGACAATTTGATTCACGAGATAATGTAATGCTGTACTCATGTTGTCAAGTCGTTTAAGGAATGGATGAATTATTAGTTGAGATCTAGTTATCAGGTTAAAATACAGGTACTGACCACTATCAGAGCAACATGGCTCTATAACACCTGAGCAGTGCCACAGGCTGATGGACTCATTGCTGCAGTAATCCAGGCCAACAGAGCCCCAACCAAAGACTGAGTGCTTCTCATTCTTTTCATGTTCATACTATTCAGCTGGTCAACATTTCTAAAATTCCTTATTTTTTTGCATTGGTCTTAATTGATATTGTAATTTTCTGACATACTGAATTTGGTATTTTCGTTATAATCATCAACAAATAAAGAAATCAACATTAGAAATACATCAGTCCGTGTGTAATGAATGACTTCAATATACAAGTTTCACTTTTTGAATGGAATTAGTGGAAAAAAATCAACTTTGTCATGATGTTCTAATTTTATGACCAGCATACCCAAAAACTCTTGACGGAAATCATAACTCGCTACATATCCAGATTGTTAGACAAATATGATGTGATGTTGAAAATTGTTACGTTAGATTTCAGAAGAACCTTTATTTATGATGTCAGACAATTTCACAAAATGTTTCAGATTACCTGCCGAGAATGAGTCTCACTTTCTAACATCTATAAAACTGACTGAATTGTAGACATTTTTGTGTTTGCTAAAGTCGCTATGGCAGCCATCTTGAATGGGGCAGACTCCGAACATCAAAGGGGTTGTATTATGCAAAATTCACTTTTGCATCCTTTTGTGCTGCTTTGTGGTTCTCTACTGCCTCTATAAACACTACAAATGTGAAAAAACTGATCCATGTGGTTTAGATAAGTTTTAGTAATTATGTGCCTAAAACAAGCTGTTTCAAAAACCTTCTTTTGTGACATCACAAGGAGCAGAAAAAGCGCTCCTGCAGGTTGCTGCCGATCAGAGACCGTGTAACGGACTCATGTAAACTTTCAGACGGTCTGCAGTTTTGGGTTTCAGGAAGTTTGTTTTATTTTGGCAACTTAAGAGAGGAAGCAAGTCAATCAAAATGTCATAATTGAATTTTTTTCATCGGACAATATTAAAACCATCTGAAGCACGTCGTTAATGTCACACAGTTCCACGTTTTCACAAACAGTGGTTTTGAAAAGAAGAGAAGTTGCACTTCATGTTATTAAGGTAAATCCCATTCAGCTGCTGGAGAATCAGCCCCTCTCTCTCTGCCACTCACCCACGGTGCTGGGAGACGAACCGAACATTTGGGCAGAGACAGACGTTCACATTTAATATCAGCTGTAGTAGCAGAGCTACGTAAGGAAAAAAAAGGAAAATCACCTAAATGTGTAGCTCTGCGTCAGCTGGGCTCAGCCCCAGTACCCACACCCTCTCCCCCGTGCTCTCTGCTGACAACAGATCCTGGGTCAGTCAGGAGCACTACCGCAGCTTTGACGATCACGTGATCGCGTTGTTTGAAATCACAATTTCGGTCTAAAAACGACAGATCTTCAGCCTTACCAGCCAGTGACTGAAGAGATGTTCAGTTGTCAGACAGACAGGGCTGACTTAACAACTGATACCAACGTTTTGAACAACGGCCTTGAGAAAAGAGTTGCTGTTTGAGTTTTAGTTGAGGATGCCTTTTGGCTACAAATACACCAAACGTTAGCTCACTATACCCTCTGTTTGAAAGAGGACCTGTCAGCGTCGCAGGGCGACGAGGCGAGGAGCGGGGAGGTGCTGGTGAGGCCCACACGCAGAGGATGGCAGGGGCGAGTTGAGCAGGTGGTGGAGAGGATGGGATGGCTTCCGGTGAGCGCGAGTGGAGCTAGGGATGGATGGAGAGGGGGAAGGCTGAGCCTGGGTTGGGACTGGAGTGGGTTGGTAGAGCGAATAGTTGGCCGGAGATTTGCGAACACGTAAACTCACAGATCAGGAGCTCTATCGTGGAGAGATGATGACTAGGCATCAGAGTGGTGAGTGAAAGCAGTACATAACTGGTTGCTGTGGCTGTTGTTCATTGGTGAGGCGGGGAGTAGATCATGCACAGGTGTTGCGGGGTTGGGCGTGTATGTCTCTGCAGAAATAAATCCTTGTCAACACAAGGAACTATAACAGAATCATTTTTCTTTTTTAGGGGGACTGAATGAGCTAGACAACATCCTGGTGGGGACATGTTTCTTACATTGAGTAATGCAAAGGTAGGAGATGGTTCTTATTTGGTCCAAGTCACATTAAACAAAATCCACACCAAGACATTCAAACAGCATAAAGAGTTCAGTTTGGGATGACGGAGTTTATCAAGAGTTCACCAAAAAAATGGCTTTCAATTTTTGCCGCTTTTGAAAATTGTTTAAAAATGATCTTACCTCGATAATCTTGTATCTATAATTTAGTGTTGTGCAGAACAAATAGATCCTACCTTCATATTTGGATCCATCGGGATAGTAGAAGACGCCCTGTTCATGTTTCCTATTCTGGTAATAGCCTCCTATATATCTTGCCCCATTACAAAAGCGATATGTTCCCTGTAGGACACAACAATTAAAACATGTTAGTCACATAAAAATAGGGTCGGATGGGCACCAGCAGGGCTGAGCCTTATGAACGTTAACCAAAATGACAACATTTAGTAACTTGATCTGATCCCCATAAAAGATATTTAAATACCAAGTTATTGGGTACTTGAGTGATCTTGAGTGTTGGGTTATCTTGAAGACCTGTCATCCAAGTAGCTGCTTAAGTTTTAAAACCTGGGTTGGGAGTAGGAGGCTAATGCCCCTCTGCCTGCTGAACACAGCTGAATAAAGCTAAACTTGCTCGGTTTGGGTTGCTTTTCCAAGTCAAACTGATATATGACTTACTTCCAGGGGGAGGAGGGTTTCAGATCTGATGCCAGCTTCTTGGGGAGGAGAAGGGCCTGATGACACACATAGTTTACATCCTTGTGTTTGCAGGTTTCAGCTCAAAATCTGAAACTTTGCAACTGAGACGGGAAAATAAATGCATGCAGCCAAAACGGGTTTGGGGGTATATTTCACGAGGAAACAACAAAATCACATGGTAAAAAGCTCCAAAGAGTGGATTTTCCTTGATATGGCCCCTTTAATATTTTTTGAACAAATATCACCTATATTTCAGTAACAATGCCGGTTGTATAATTATCATTCCTCCTGTCAAAATAACAAATCTAAATAAATCCACATGTGATCATTAGAAATTAATGTATTTCATTAACATGTTCAGTAGTACAGGGAATGCTAATAAACTTTTAATTTCTACTGGTAACAAAAAATGGTGGCATATCTGTTCTATTATGTAGGGGTTGGTAATTATCCAATCTAAAATGATCTTTAAAGATAGATGCATTTGTAGATTACATGCTACAATGGCCTGAAGACCCACAGCAACTACCTGGAGTCTGATAGTTGCTGTGGGTCTACCCCATACCACTGCAGGCCGCAGCCATCTACCAATGAACAGGATGGTGGGGATTTTTCTTTAATTCATTCATTCTCAGTTTAAAGTGAACGTGAACTACATGTTTTTGTGGCCTCCAACTGAAGCAGAATTGAATGGGAGCGTACTACCCCAGGGTTTTTCCTGCCTCAAATTGCGGCAGAGGTGGTACCATCCTGACCATGCGCCGGCACATGCATGCTCTGTGCATTCAACTGCCTCACTTTTTTAAAGGCAAAATATTATAAAAGGCTCAATAATATGCATTAGATTGGTGTTTAGCTCCCTTATTCCCATCTGATATTTATAATTAAAATATTTTTAAATATTTGACCTACATTTCAGCAACATTTTAGGTTTGTATTAATAACACTGATCTTTGTCAAAATAACACATAAATAGATCCAGTAAAATATAATGCATTATAAACACACTGTCAGACTCGAAGACTGGGTTGGGTTCGGGAGTAAGAGCTTTTATTACACAGACGGTTGGCTGAAAGCGGTGCTGGAAAGGCTGACGGATGAGGTCTGAGGAGGAAAGGTGGAGGTTTAGCTGTGGTAGCTTTGGAAATACTCTGATCATGGATCACGGTGGAACGATGACTGAGTGAAGAGCCGGTGTGGCGTCTTCCATATATAGACATGGATGATGCAGGTGCAACATGGAGGGAATCCCCGCGAGGGGCATGCTGGGTAATGGTCCGAGACAGAAGCCGGTCAGCTGGGAGAGCCCGGCCTGGGGGCTTGGACTCTGACACACACAACCATGCTCGTCTTCTGTACTCGACACAACGTCACGTTATCGGCCATGTTACCATTACCTGCCATTTTTTTATAGCTGAAAGTTTTATTCTAGTTTTTTTTTATTATATTTTATTATAATTTATTCTATTTTTAATCTTATTATTCATGTTATATGTAGCACATTAGTACCGAAGCAAGTTCCTAGTTTGTGAATTGTTTGTTCACTGACAATGGTAATAAACCTATTCTGATTCTGATTTCATTAACATGCATTTGTATATGAAATGGTAATAACATTTAATTTATGCTGCTAACAATGTAATGGTGGCATGACTATTATGTACTGGTTGGGTTAGGGGGGTGTTCTGTTTGGCCTTAGCCCCCAAAATGCCTTGTTACGGCCCTGGGTGTGTGACTGAGTTTTGAAGGTGATCTGAATTGTATCAGATGTATAAATATTACACGTGTATAATTTATCGTTTTATAAAACGTGTAGTGGAGATAAATCTACCTACATTTGACTTTCAAGCTTTGTTTTCTTGTTTTTATTGAACTGTTTCCTGTCTGTCTCTCATTTTCCTGCATCTCCTCTAAACTCTCCAGAAAAACTGCTGCCTGGATTCTTACTGTTTCACCTCATCAGTTACTTTTGAGCAGATCAAAGGGATCTCCTGACCACAAAGCGGAGTGCGCGTTTCGATGCGGCATCAGTGAGGTGAAATGACCGCAGCACTCGATGAGCCAGTGCGTGAGGATCGATTAAAAGACAGAGTACCAGAGGATATGAACGATCATGTGTTAATAATAATGTTTTGTTGCGCCACCTTGAGAATGTATTGTGCGCCGGACACAGCGGGCGCACCAACGATCAGCGCTCTGCGTCCTCTCCGCTCAACGAACCCCGCTACGCTGAGAGTCCATAAATATTGTAATATAGGCAGAAACTGGATCTTTCCCTGAAAGATATCTAGCATCCATAACTCGATCCCTGCTCCTGGATAAAAAAACGGACATTTTGATCAATGTAGGAAACTCCCCCGGACGTCCCGGACAGAGAGTGAAAAGTGGACATGTCCGGGAGAAAGAGGACGTATGATCAGCCGACAATAGCACCAACCATAGATATGTACCAACTAGGGAGAAAAGCAATTTTCGATCTTCTTTTTCAGTAGCGGTTCGAGCGCTTTTGGGTGCACCGTTGCTGATACAGCGCCCCTATAGTGGCGCAACGCTGCAACTGCAGTTAAAATAACATATAGCTGGGGGGCAGAGTGAAATGAGGCCGGGGTGGCACAAAAATAGCTGGAGGTGGCCACCACGCAAATTTGAACTCAGAAAAAACCCTTTCCACGAAATTAAACAATCAATGATGAACAAGAGTCTGCTTCTAGACCTGCAGAAAAGGGACACACAACAATACAACAAGAGCAAGCTATCACTGCGTCAACCTGATGCCTTTATTGGAAGGAGGCCCAGAATTATCTTTCTTTCTGATTGGCTGATTGGCTGCACCTGGCGGTAAAGCGTTTCCTGTTTCCTGTTTTCAGTGTTGCACTACGTGTAGCTGTTTGGTGTTTGGGGCTCGCTAAAACTGATTTAATTTCTCTGTACTAGAATATCTCTGAGTTTTGTAGCACATAAGCACGCTAAAACACACATTTTCTGTTGTTCCACCTAGCTTTTAGGGAACCATTTGAGTTCGCACGCAGTTTATTTCGTGTTGAACTGTTTGCTCGTCCAGTTAGCTTAGCCTCAGCATGGCTATGGCTACTTCTGTCTCTGCTTCTCCGTCTCCTATCTCTTGCTTGCTCTCTGTGTCAGATGTTTAGTTACTCCTCTGCCTCCTTTAGTGATAATGGTACGTGTAATAAATGTAGCACTTTTGTAGCTTTGGAGGCGAGGGTGTCGGAATTGGAGTTCCGGCTCGGCGCTGTTGAAAAACCCGTAAACAGCCGTAGCTACTTAGCTAGTGTGGGGCTAACTAGCTCAGAACCACCCCGTAGCGATCCTCCAGCAGAACCCGAGCAGCCGGGACCTCAGGCCGGCTGGGTGACGGTACGCAGGAAGCATAGAACCCAGCCCGTGGGCCACCACCAACCCGTCCACGTTTCTAATAGATTTTCCCCGCTCAGTGACGCACCCACTGACAAGCCAACTCTGATCATTGGCTGCTCCATAGTCAGAAACGTGGCATTAGAGGCTCCAGCAACCATAGTTAAATGTTTACCTGGGGCCAGAGCGGGCGACATTAAATCTTATCTGAAACTGCTGGCTAAGGATAAGCGTAAATACAGTAAGATTGTTATTCACGTTGACGGTAACAACACCCAGTTACGCCAATCGGAGGTCACTAAGATTAATGTTGCTTCGGTGTGTAAGTTTGCCAAAACAATGTCGGACTCCGTAATTTTCTCTGGCCCCCTCCCTGATCGGACCAGTGACAACATGTTTAGCCGCATGATGTCCTTCAACTGCTGGTTGTCTAGGTGGTGTCCTGAAAACAACGTGGGCTACATTGATAATTGGAAAACTTTTTGGGGAAAACCTGGTCTGATGCGGAAAGACGGCATCCATCCCTCTTTGGATGGAGCAGCTCTTCTTTCTAGGAACATGGCCAGTTTTATTAGTCCTCCATGACAACCCAGGGTCCAGACCAGCAAGCAGAGTCGTAGTTTAACACACCCCTCTGCAGCTTCTGTACTGTTACCCACCCACTACCCCATAGAGACAGTGTCCTGCCCACAGCCAAAATCACACAGATTAAATATCAGGCTTAATAAAGCAAATCATGGAAATCTCATAAATATTAGAACAAATTCAACTGAGCAGAAAACTAGAAAAATTAAATGTGGGTTGTTGAACATTAGATCCATTTTTTCTAAGACTTTGTTAGTTAATGACTTGATTTGTGATAATCAGATCTCTTTGCTCTCTCTCTGGCTGCAGCAAGAGGACTGTGTTAGCTTAAACGAGTCGACTCCTTCAAATTATTTAAATCATCATATTGCTCGAAGTACAGGTCGAGGAGGAGGGTTAGCAACCATTTTTCATTCAGATTTATTAATCAGTCCCTTACCAATTAATAGCTACAGTTCATTCGAACATCTTATTCTTAGTTCTCCTAATCCAGATTGCAAAACTGTAAAACCACTCTTGTTTGTAGTTTTGTATCATCCACCAGGCCCTTACTCTGAGTTTTTGGATAAGATCTCTGATTGTTTATCTGATTTGGTGCTAAATACTGATAAGGTCATTGTAGTGGGGGATTTTAACATTCATGTGGACATTGAAAATGATAGCCTCATTGTAGCCTTTAGTAATATCTTAGACTCAATTGGTTTTACTCAAAGAATACATAGCTCCACCCACTCCTGCCATCATACATTAGACCTTGTGCTGACTTATGGCATAGAGTGTGAGGAAATAACGATCTTTCCACATAATCCAGTCCTCTCGGACCACTTTCTGATAACCTTTGAGTTTTTTATAACTGAGTTCTTGAGACATGAAAGTAAATTTCACTATAGTCGATCTCTATCTGACAACGCAGTTGCATCTTTTAAATCAACTGTTCCATCTTTACTGTCCTCAGCATCTCAGAGGCATGTAGCAGAGGGCAATATTTTCACTTCTAGACCCTCACAAATTGATGCCTTAGTTCATCATGTTAATTCCTCTTTAAGTGCGGCATTAGATGATGTTGCCCCTTTAAAAAAGAAGGTAATTAGGGACAGGAAGTTGGCTCCCTGGTTTAATTCTCATTTACGAGCCTTAAAACAAAACTCTAGGAAATTGGAGAGAACATGGCGCTCTACGCACCATGAGGAGGCCTACCTATCCTGGAAAAATAGTCTTGTGCTTTATAAAAATAAGCTTCAACAAACTAGAACTGCTTATTTCTCAGCATTAATTGAGGAGAATAAGCATAATCCTAAATTTCTTTTCAGTCCAGTTGCTAAACTTACACAGAATCATAGCTCTGAGCCATCTATTCCCTTAGCCCTCAGCAGCAATGACTTCATGGGATTTTTTACAAGTAAAATTAATTCTATTAGAAACAAAATCTTTAGCATCCTCCCTAATGTGATTTTTTCTTCCTCAGTAAGTGAGGCAGCATCAGAGGTGACTCTAGAACCTCATCTGTGCTTAAACCGTTTTGATCCAGTTGAGCTTTCAGAGTTATCAAAAATAGTAGCTTCATCTAAACCTTCAACTTGCATTTTGGATCCAATCCCAACCAAATTATTTAAAGAAGCATTTCCTTTGGTTACTGCTCTCATTCTAGATATAATCAGTCTATCCTTAGTAAATGGATATGTACCACAGGATTTTAAGGTTGCTGTAATCAAACCTTCACTTAAGAAGCCTTCTCTGGATCCAGATGACCCAATGAATTATAGACCAATATCTAACCTTCCATTTTTATCCAAAGTCCTGGAGAAAATAGTGGCCATCCAAGTATGTGAGCATTTAAACACTAATGCTCTGTTTGAGGAATTTCAGTCTGGTTTTAGAGAGTATCACAGCACTGAAACTGTGTTAGTGAGAGTTACAAATGATATACTCATGGCCTCAAAAAAGAATCTTGTGTCTGTTCTAGTCTTGTTAGATCTCAGTGCTGCCTTTGACACAGTTGATCACAATGTTCATTTAGAAAGGCTTGAACATGTTGTAGGGATCAAAGGAACAGCGCTAGGCTGGTTTAAATCCTACCTGTCTGACAGATTTCATTTTGTAAACGTACATGACAAATCGTCTTCATACTCCAGGGTTACTTGTGGAGTACCACAGGGTTCAGTGCTTGGACCAATTCTTTTTACTATGTGTATGCTCCCAATTGGTAAAATCATTAGACAGCATGGGATAAACTTCCACTGTTATGCTGATGATACTCGGTTATATTTATCCATTAACCCTGATGAACTTAATCGGTTGGGTAGATTACAGGCTTGTCTTGAGGACATAAAAAATTGGATGACTCGAAACTTTTTGCTTTTAAATCAAGACAAGACGGAAGTTCTCATCTTTGGACCAGAAATCCAGAAAAGGAAATTGCTTAGTCAATCACCTGACCTGAATGGTATTACCTTATTCTCCGAGAACAAAGTAAGGAACCTTGGAGTTATCTTTGACCAGGACATGTCATTCAAATCCCAGGTTAAACAGGTTTGTAGGATTTCCTTTTTCCACCTTCGGAATATTGCTAAGATTAGAAGCATCCTTTCCAGGAGTGATGCTGAAAAACTAGTTCATGCATTTATTACATCAAGACTGGATTACTGTAATTCATTACTCTCAGGAAGTCCACAGAATGTAGTTAAAAGTCTTCAGCTTGTCCAAAATGCTGCAGCTAGAGTTCTGATGAGAATTAAAAAGAGAGATCATATCTCTCCTGTCTTAGCTTCCCTACATTGGCTACCTGTTAAATTCAGAATAGATTTTAAGATCCTTCTTCTCACATATAAAGCTCTTAATAATCAAGCTCCATCATACATCAGTGATCTTATTGTTCCACACGTTCCTAACCGAGCACTTCACTCTCAGACTGCAGGTTTACTGGTGGTTCCCAGAATATCTAAAATTAGGATGGGAGGCAGATCTTTTAGTTATCAGGCTCCTCTCCTGTGGAACCAGCTCCCAGCTTTAGTCCGTGAAGCAGACACCTTGTCTACTTTTAAGACTAGGCTGAAACATTTTTATTTGACAGGGCCTATGGTTAAAATCTGATGTTAGCCTAAATCTGGACAATGTGCTAAACACGTTTTTGAACTAAAGAAGCCTTTTGGATGAGGCATGTCTTCAAGAAAAATATTAGGTCCAGTTGTTTTCAATTAAAACTCTCAAGACTATCACAACTGTAAATCTACACCAACGTATTACTAAGGTACTAGTATTAGAGTATTTGTTAATTCCATTGACCGAAAACATGGTTTTAGTACATTAGGGAGAGCATTGTTGATGTTTATACTGTTTGGTATGCAGTTTTATACCTACCAAACCTATGAACAAAGGCGAGTTTCAGCTGAAACAGAACAAACAGTGGGTAGAGTTTGTGTTTAGGAAAATCAGCTGTAATATCACACCTGTCCATGTCTCATTCCGTTCTTATAATCCCCCTCGTACATGTCTCCATTGGGGAAAAAAGCTTTTCCAAATCCATGCCTCTCTCCTTCTTCATTTCTGTCTCCTTCGTACTATGGATAGACAAACAAAAGAGTCAGAAAAGACCTTCCACAGGAAATTAAACACGACGAAGAAGTCCCAGTTTGAAGACTAAAGTCAGAATGTTGAGGAAACAGTTTAAAAGCTCTAGAACAGTGGTTCCCAAAGTTTGGGTCGGGACCCTACTGTGGGTCACCATTAACTACAAAGGGAGTTGATATAATTACCTGGAATAGAAACAAAATATAAAAACAACTACTGAAGCAATATTTTTTAGCATAAATGTTACAAAACTCAACTCAAAGTGTCATAAATGTATATGAGTGACTGTTACGTCCCTCAGCTCGCTAGGAGAGATGTGAAGGAGGGAGTAAAAGATGTAGTGTGTAGATTTAATAATAAGTAATTGTGTCGCCAAACAAAGGATTTTATTACAACAAATACAAAGAAACACTATAAAAGGGAAACTGAAAGCGCCAAGCCGAAAGGGCTGAGAGGAGGAGAACTAACTAACTGAAAGATTCTTTTACAAAAAACCCTAAACTAATGAGAGCCGTCCTGATGAGCAGAGACGCTCGGGGGAAATCCAAAAGCGGAGTCGAAGGCCAGTCCAAAGTCAAAGTTTACCAAAAATCCTAATGAACAAGAGTCTAAACACCAAAGCACCACTAAGCTAACCACACAAGCACACAAGGAGAAGAGAGAAGCCTGAACACCTTTGTGCCCACACTTCCCTGTACCTTCTCCCAGACTGAGGGCAGGAGAGCAGCTTTTAACAGCTGACCGGTGATTGCCAGTGATTACACACAGCTGGGCACCGGGAGACTGGCGAGGCAGAAGCCACTGAGGCCATCTGGTGGCTGGAAAGGGGCAAAGCACGTAACAGTGACCATGAGCTGAACCAGTCTTTGTGTCCTAAATATTTTAGTTTTTTAATCATGTTTGTAAAAAGGCTTGCATTTATATAGTGCCTTTTGGAATAATACCACCGCCCAAGGCACTTTACAACACAACCAGTCATTTATCCATGCACACACAAGTTCACACACACACGTGGTGATGAGCTACAATGTAGCCACAGTTGCACAGAGGCGCGCAGACGGAAGCGAGGTTGCTGAACACTAGTCCCTCTGACCACCACCAGCAGGCAAGACGGGTTAAGTGTCCACGACTGTGAAGGACTGAGCGAGGATCAAACCTTCAACCCTTCAGTTAACGGGTGCATCCTTAACTGCTCTGCCAACATCAGTGTTATCAAATCCAAGATATCTGGGGTTGCATGTCTTGACAAGTGCTTTTTTGTGTTTCTGAAGCTGAAAGGTTTTAGCTTGGCAAGTCATCCTATCCAAGTCATCCTTGGTGCGTGTGGGCAACAAGGTCTCAAACAGCATCACCCTGAGCACGGGGGCTCCACAAGGCTGTGTGCTCAGTCCTCTGCTCTTTACCCTGCTGACACATGACTGCGCACCAACCTACAGCTCCAACCACCTTGTGAAGTTTGCGGACGACACAACGCTGGTGGGGCTCATCACCAAGGGCGATGAGACCCACTACAGGAAAGAGGTTGAGCTCCTGACCACTTGGTGCAGAGACAACAACCTCCTACTAAATGTTAGTAAGACCAAGGAGATCAATGTCATCTTCCAGAGAGGCCACAACAACTACCCCCCATTGACCATCGACGGCGCTGCGGTGGAGAGAGTGAGCAGCACGAAGTTCCTGGGGGTGCACATCAGGGAGGACCTCTCCTGGACCACCAACACAGCACCACTGGCCAAGAAAGCACATCAGCGCCTTTGCTTCCTGCGCAAACTCAAGTGGGCAAGTGCTCCACCACCCATCCTGATCACATTCTACAGAGGAACTATTGAAAGCATCCTCTCCAGCTGTATCACTGTGTGGGGCGGTAGCTGCACTGACTATAATGGGAAAGCTCTACAGCGCATTGTGAGAACAGCTGAGAGGATAGTTGGTGCACCACTCCCCTCCCTGCAAGACATTTACACCACTCGCCTCACCCGCAAAGCCATCACAATTGTCAACGACGCCACCCACCCTGTGCACTGTCTGTTCAGCCTCCTGCCCTCTGGAAAGAGATACAGACAAGGATCTCCCGCACTACCAGGCTTACCAGCAGCTTTGTCTACCAGGCTGTGAGACTGCTGAACTCTCTTCCCTCACGGATCCTAGCCAGCAGAATCACCAGGGTGACAGGAGTATAGGATGACAGACTGGACCCTACACAACCCCCCCCCCCCCCCCATATACATGCACATTATACAAAAAGGAAATAGTGGTTGAACCAAGAACGGGGTAAACATTTCTGATTGTAAACAACTACCTCTGCATTGCAGTTGCACACACCTGCTGCTATATGTTTTTGTATATTTTTAGCGATATTTACCTGTTTAATATTATCTTTTTGTTAGGGATGTTTTTGTTATTGTTGTGCATCTGCACTTTATGTTGTCAATGTCTATGCATGGGACAGTGTGAAATGTAATTTCAATTCCTTTGTATGGCAAGCACATTCGAAGAAATTGACAAATAAAGTATTCTATCCTATTTTATTCTATAAATGTGAATACATAAAGTCTGGCGATGACCCACTGACTGCTCTCAGTCGTGTGGTGATTATACAGTTGCCTTTCAAACTGTCTAAGCATGCTATTGAACAACAAACAACATGATGTATTAACCGCCACGCATGTCAGTCAACGAGGCAGTCCGCCATACACTGCCAAAAGAGACGCGAGAAGACGGTGCTGGAGTTTTTTCAAGAAAATATTACTGTACATTTTGACAAATGGTTGTAGCTTTAAATGGTTGGAGATAAAGGTAAATTGTAAATGAGAAAAATCTTCAGCAGTAGTAGTTTGTGTTGGGGGCAAAATCAGTCATTTAATTAGCTTATTGTGACATCAGGCTGCCACATTGGAATCATTTTTTACAGACATTCCTTCTTATTCAGAAATTTACATTTTAGTTTTATATTTTTATTTATGTATACATACATAAAGTTATTATTTTATTGAATTGTACATTGTTTATGTAAATATTTTTTTATATATTTTTTGGCCTGACTCAAAAGAAATGCTTCATACCCATATTCCTCAGGGTTTTTGGGCTTATTCCCCTTCAGGGTTACCTTCCCTTGTATGTCAAGATTATTTGATCCAAGGAAAATTCCTCATGTAGACCAGATGGCTGGAATTTGTGGAATATTCATATCAACTGTGACTTTCACGCTCACATCTACCGTGTCTGCCCCTAAATACGGCTTTTAAAAGTTTTTTTTTACATTCCCACTACGTCAGTCACCATTAGTCCATGAAGCAGTATCTGGGGTTGAAGTACCGGAAACCCTCTCGGTTCAAACACTCCCCCTCTGCTAAAGATTCAGTGAGTACTAAAAGGAGCCCACGTTCAGCACGTTGGTGAACACCGCCCTCGCCCTTACCATTATTCACCGCGCCGTGACCATGCCGACCACAGCACTACTGCTCCAAGGTCAAGAGATGAGTCCGGTAACAGGCCTCCTGACGTTCTGAGCTGCATCCTGGAGTCTGTCTTTTCTGATTGGGTAAGCACCTCACCAAAGGCTAAAGTTCTGCTCATCTCTTCTGCAGACCAGAACATGACTCAGTCAAAGCGATGAGTCCTCCAAAAGTGGAACCGGCCCCAATGGTGCATCCTGTGACACCTGTGACCCCAGTGGGGTCCAGTGAGGTTGCGTCCATCAGCACCAGTCCTCGAACATCCAATGCACCTGTCAGTGGGTGAAGTAAACCTTTCCCGCTGGACAAACCTCAACTAAGACTTCTCTGAGATGTCATCTGTAAAGGTCCCAAACAGAAACCTTCCCTGTGACCCTTGAGGGGTCGCTAACCTGTGATGCTATCTTAGACACTGACTCAGACATTTCCATCATGTCCCATTCTCTTTGGGATAGGGCTGGGCAATAAATCAAAACATTTATCATCATCAAAATTCCTGACTCTTATCGGGAAAAATGTTCCCATGTCAATAAATTTGATAATAAAAAAATGAAAAGATGTGTGTAGGTTGGCAACATTCGTGTCAAAGCTGCACCACCTTGAGTCATGTAAAAATGTGACTCAACGTAATACATGTGACAGCCCCGTCTAATGGACAACTTTTGTTTCTGCGCATACCTGTAGTTATCGTTCATTTATCGTTATCGAGGTGAAATCCTCAACATATCATGATACTGATTTTAGGCCATATCGGCCAGCCCTACTTTGGGAATGCCTCCGCTTGGCTGCAGCTGGACAGGGTCGTGTCGTAACACTCACATCCTGTGCCGTGGATGTCAGTCCTTATGCTCCGGCTCCAGTGACCTTGTCGTCTGTGGCTTTCTTTGACCTTTCGGTCCATGCAACACCCAGTGTTCATGTCTGACCTAGAGTCTTTAACTTTACTGTTTGGCGAATACCTGCTCAATTGCTCTAAGCTCATTGTTGACATCTGTGGGTGGAAGCTCTGGACCCAGTTGACTCAACCGTTGACCATGGAGCTCCCCCAGGACCTTATTTCTACCGTAGGTGTTGTTAACAACAACAGCGCCAGTGACCGCCCTAGTGTCTGCATCGTCTCTGCACCTGAAAACCTTCACCCTGAGATGGGTCCACCACCTACCAAAGGGGGAGGGGGTTGACCGAGGGCCCTCCAGAGCGCACCCCTGCATCGAGGCCTCAAAAGGCCGCTCCGCCTTATCATTAAAAGTTAACGCTATACTTTCTAATGACGAGGTTAAACACAAACATTTTTTTCTGCAGTTTAGCTCTAAAACTTCACTATAAGTCCGGTCCCTCAGTGTTTCTCTTGCTGTGTTTGACCTCTCCCCCTCTCTCTCCTGTTGCTAATTGAAACCTGCACCTTTGACCACTGGTGTTATGTCAGTATTCCGGTCAGTTCTGTAGTTGAAATGCGCTTCCTCACCACTTTGCACCAGTTTGCAACAGCTAATTACACCACCCAACACCTAATTGCAAGCTCGCTCCCGCGGTACAGTCCGGTTTTTGTTTAATATGAGCCACAGATCTAAGTTGTGCTTATTTATGAAAACTTTGTAGAATATAGTCGCACTAACGAGCGCCAACAGAGCAAAGCTCTGGTGTCACAATAACATGATGAGCAGCTCCTCTCTAACGGGGACGGCAGGCGGAACCAGGCCCCGACTGGGAAAATTGCCCCGTTTGAGGTCGGTGTTTTTTGGGTTTTTTTTTTTGGGCTAGTGTTACTCTGTTGATCACCTGTTTCTCCTGTCAGTGGAACAGGTGAGCTGCTGCCAACAAGCACTGTCGGCGCCAAAAAGGTCAAGAGGTCATCTACAAAATGTATTGAGCTGAAACTGCGTTCTTAGGGTGAAAAGCTTATTGAGCAAGAGTTCGTGTGCATCTCAACAATCAGCTCCAAAGGAATTTCCTGTTTTGGTCTGCTCTGCCTCTAGTAAAAGCCAGGTGCTTATCTTACTTGCTAACAGTGAACTTGATGTGACTCCAAACTAGGCTAGGCTGAGAACTCCGTCTCCGACTCCTTCTTTAAGAATAACAGAAAATGCCCACAGCACGTTCTATGCCCAGACTGTAGTGACCTGTCATTTATAATTATATAATTAATATTAAATGAATGCACTAACCCCAAAGATGATAGAAAATAAGATTAAATAAGCCTGAATATTTTCTCCCACAGCTCAGCTCTGATATAAAAAGCAGATGTCTGCTTCAACTGGACAATATCAAATATAAAAGTGGTCACAGATAGCTAAATTTTAATGAAAAAAATAACATTAATAATTTTTAATTAAAATATTTATTTTATTTCATTTCTAAGGTTTGGATGTCTGTGAACAATACAGAATACTCTGTTTAGTGTAAAGAATATTATTATTAGCAGGTCTAGATCTAAATCGGGTCGGTCTGAGGTATAAAACTCTGTCACGTTTAGGAGAGGAGCTTGGACCCAGGATGCAGAAGTACCCAGAACTACTCAAAGGCAGGAGAGGTTTTAAGAAAAAAACCAAACAATTCCTTTATTTAAGGAGGATGTGCTGTAAAGTCCAAAGCACAAAATAAGACTAACATGCAAAAACTTGAAAACTCTAAATTCAAAAAGCTCACACATGAGCATGGACTCGGAGACTCGAGAGGGGAACGAACAACGCAACACATACGACAATGAGCCAACAAACACTGAAGGACAAGACCGGCTTTTAACACAGAGGGAAGCAATCAGGGGAACAGGTGTATTCAACCTTAACTAAATGTGAAGGAAAAATCAAGCAGAGGGGAAGATAAAATAACCTAAAAAACTCTAAATAACTAGAAACTAAGGGCAAAGATAAACAACTAATGACAAGAGGAGTAAGGGAGACTGATTAACAAGTGGGGAAGGACACAAACACTAAAGGGAAGTAATTAAATGAAAAGCTGAACCTATAGAAAATAAAACTACAGAGGGGTGACTAGGGGAGACCTGAGAAGCTGGGAAACAGGAGACACATGAGGAGAACGCAGAGGACAAACAGGATCATAAATATACATCATACACATATGAACAATCGCTGACTTTTCCATGAAATCATAAACACATACAGCCACACAGAAAACCATCTATAGTGTTGCAAGGCTAGCTAACTTTAGCGTTAGCGTTTCCAGCGGCAAAACCCTGGACTGCTGCGGCGGTTGAGGGTTGACTCTCTTCATCCAGATCCGTAGGTTTTTGTGGGTCGGAGATCACTTCCAAAGATTCATTCGTTTCTGACAGAATCCGTGGATTGAACGCATGATTTTGTGTCAACAGAGTTTACAGTGTTTACAGACCTATTGAAATGAGAAAACTTAAAAAATTTACAAAAAATCAGAGAAGTATTTTTTGCTCAAAGTAAAGTTTGTAGTACGTAGAGCAGCTAAGTATTGACCTGCATGCATAATTTTGTGTCAACAGAGTTTACAGTATAGGAGTTTTTTTTAATTTAATATCACCAAAAGCAGAGGGGAGGGAGTAAAGAAAAGTGTAGTATTTTCTCTAAAAACATAAAATGTGTAATATGAGCATCCAAGTTGTGATTTTCTGTGTGAATTTGGTGTCACTATAGTTTCAAATGGAGGAGCTTTTGCAATTTATATTATTAAAAGTTTCACACTAAATCTAAACTGTATACCTGGATTAAACTAAATAGTGTAGTGTGATCAGCGTGTGTGCAGTGTTGTATTTTGTGAATTTGGTCACACTGCAGTGTGTAACTGTGCACTTTTCCCACATAGTTTATCATCAAACGTTTCTGGTGTGATTATTTGCTGACGGTCCCTGAGCGCTCGTTTTGCTCTGTCGGCCTCATTGAGATCAATTAACGCGTCGGGAGCAGAGCACGACAGAGAACGGATTTTTTTTAAAGAAACGAAGTTGTAGCTTGCTCACTACCTTGCCACGATACCAAAGAGGTATGTTATGTTTCTAAATACCCCTGTGTTCAGGAGGTATTGAGCCGCAAAAGTCGAATCTGTGAATATCTTGCTAACTTTACTGAAGTCTCTCACCCTGCCGTCAGGACTTCCTTCGTCGAGCTCATCGGATCCTACGTCCGACATTGTCCGAGACAAGCTGGCTTTACTCCAGAAGAAGAACGCAGAAGAAACTGCTGGATAAACACTGCCTGTTGTTGCCGCTCATTTGGAGTTGTCGTGGCAACCAACCGTACCACGTGATCAAGGTAAGATGAGCAACGAGAGCGCATTACTGTAGAGTCATTCTACCTGGAAAACAATGAGGTCCACCTGGTCTGTCAATAAACATCATCTCTCTCTCTCTCTCTCTCTCTCTCTCTCTCTCTCTCTCTCTCTCTCTGTGTGTGTGTGTGTGTGTCTTAATTTATCTCAGATCCTCAACCACATCTCACATCTTTGTTCTTATGAAATTATTACAACCTTAAATATTATCTCTATTTTTCGTTACATGTTATTTACAAAATTCTAAATTACATTTTTGTATAACAGGGAAGTGAGAGGTGAGGATTTGGGGTCATGAGGGTCCTCACTGCTCTACAAACTATGACTTCTCCATCTTATTTTATTTGTTGTTGTTGTTGTTTTACTGTTTAAAGGAATGACCAGAGGTGGAAAGAGTACTAAAATTTCCTACTTAAGTATGAGTACCAGTACTTTGATAATTTTTTACTCAAGTACAAGTAAAAGTACTTGCCTAAATTTTTACTCAAGTAAAAGTAAAAAGTATCGTAAATAAAATGTACTCAAAGTAAAAGTTACTTAGTTACATTTTTGTCAGTGTAAAGATGGTTACATCAGTGCAAAACCACACCACCAGTTCACAACATGCTCGTGTGTGCACGCACACACACGGACACACACACAGTTTGATGGAAGGATTTCTATCCAATCAGTGAGAACAGGACGTGCACATTGATTGGACGAGGTTTTTCTAGGATTGTACGTTTCAATTGTGATTTAAATTATTCTTTATATTGAAACAAAAATGTTAATTTTTAGATGCCATCAGTATGTGAGGTATCTCAATGTTCTCATGACAACACTAACATGAGACTGTGCTCTAACCTGTCACATAACAAGCCTAATGCAGTCAAACATTTCAGATGGACCGTATGACAGCTGCTAACGTTGGCCCTGCCCTACTTTACCTCTACACTACAGTTCCTTTATCCATGTACGTCCTAGAGCTCCTCTCTGACCTATTTAGAGCAGCTGATTTTTAAAGTTAGCAGAGTTCATCCTTGGTAGTGGGTTCACTCACTCATTTAAAGATATCGGCTAGAGGCAAAATTCGTTTGAACAGCATGTGTAAATGTGTATTAAAACCTCAGATGAAAAGGTTTTTGGATTTTGACGGCTGGAATTGTAAGAAAATCTGATGTTTGTGACCGGCGCGGGAAAAACAGAAACTAACTTCCGGTCTAAGCCCTGGGCAGCTGGTGACGTTTCACATGGAGCTCTGCTGAAACAGCTGTAGTAAACAACGCCTGTCTCCGGTGTTTCTGCATTAGCGTTATAGCAGAGAACAATGTGTCAACAATCAGATGTAGCTTCTGAAGCCTCTGCTAGTCGGTCAGATTTGTTTTTTCTCTGGGATACGGCGACGAGAACGGATATTGGATTACCGGAGACGTTCAACCGAACCCCGACCCCGCCAGCTGGATATCACTACCAGAGGTCAGAGGCAGTTTTACCATTAGGCATAGGTCGGCGGCCGCCTGGGGCCCCCTTGTGTTGGGGGGCCCCCTAGCCCTGACCGCCGGCACCCCTCTGTTAATGCCACAATATTCTTATTACCAACCTGTGGCCGCAGACGGGATTGGACATGCACACTTCTCATTACCATAATTCCTGAACAATTCAAGATATCATTAAAATTCCAAAAGTGCTGAAAAGATTAAAAATGGGGCTTTTCGTGCATATACAATACATTACGGTAGCCACCGGCATTCCCTGTCTTGAGCGCAACGAATCACAACACAGATTCAGAGACGTGCTGAGTTTGTCATCCAAAATGCTCCGTTTTATAACTTTTGAGTGGATGATCAGATTCAGAACATTCCAACGGTTCCTAAACGTACATAAAAGCAGCTTTCCAACGACCTATAGCATGAATCAATCAGAGTTACGGAAAATATTGCTACGAGGGGAAATCCTGCTGTACAGCCTGATTGAAAAGGAGCGCAGTGCCGCGGTGAAAGCGGATAACGGAACGGGGAAGCTAATCAGCATAAAAACCAGCATGAAATTATGGAAATGCCCCAAAGAAAATCAACACGATCTATTAGGTGTCCCAGAAGGCTTATATCTGAAGACAGTGACCACGAAGGACAGATCTCCAGTGAACCAGGGTATGAATGTTTGTTCCGTCTTTATTTTTTATTTTTTTATTGGAACAACCCTCAACTATTTGCTAATTGTAAGATTCAGCTTCATTCCAGCATTATTTATCATTTTACAATAAATAATTATTTTTACTAAAACAAGTTTTTGGTATAGCAATGCACGGTGTGCAAGAGAAGCACTCTATGGCAGTGTGAGGTGTGCAGGACTCGGCCTGCAGCTGGAGAGAAACTGCTTCAAGGTCTACCACATCAAATAAAAATGTCTGAAAGTTTACAAAAATAAATGGTCTTAAAAACTGCTAATAAAAGATACCAAGGTTCACACTTTTTAAGAATAGATGCATTTCAGTCCAAAGTTTAAATTGTTCACCCAGTAATTTTGAAGTTCCTGTTCAGTAATAAATGTAAAAAATTCAAATCCGTTTTTTGCTTTTTTCACTTTTAAGCTGATTTTTGAAAGGCTGTAATAGAAATAAATTCTAAATACAAACCATACACTGAAAGCTGAGGTTGTTCTGAAAAAATAAGAGTTACACACACTTTGCACTTTTTATTACTATTTTACAGCCATAAGATTAAAAAAAATACCAGGCGGCCCTGTTATAATTATGGTCATAAGAGGGTTATTAAGACGGTGATGCACAAACAGGAAGTGATTGGTAGTCATTCCACTCCAATCCAGTTGGTGGCGGTAATGCACCAAATGGTTGTTTGCCAAGTGCCATAAGACCACAAATAGTAAGAAGAAGAGAGGCAGGGGCGTTCGTAACAAACTCAAAGCGATAGTCAAAACATGAAGCATGAAATAGCGTTATCCTAGTGGCTCCAATAAGAGAAAGAAGCAGCTTGCTTCATAAAAGCTTTTATTTTCACTTCTGAAATTGACATCGTTTTTCGATGTAAACATCAAAAGGAAGCAGAAAGGAAAGACAATGGAAAAGGGAGGAAAACATAGACCAAAATGGAAAATAGAAAAAAATACCAAAGGCAAAAGCACAGGAGCACTGACAGGAAGAAGAAAGCAGAGCAAATATTGAAAGCGCTCAAAGAGAGGGAAATACAGGAAAAGGGAAATAACTCATGTCAGAAGAGGGGAGAGTTTCACAAATCTAGTTAAAGGTAAGATTGTCGAAAATTTAGTGTAAGGGGCCCCATGTCTGTGTTTGCTTTGGCACCCCAAATTGCTAAATCCGCCTCTGCCAGAGGTGCAGACATGTTTTAGACCGTTTGACTCAGAAGACCTGCGACCCGATTTGGACATAGAGGAGGATTCTGTTCATCTTCAGAAACAAAATTGGTACAGTTTGTTTACCTTTCTTAAATATTTATTTTCTGTGCTCCACTGGGAGCTCTAAGCTGACGAGTTCTCAGCTGGTCTTAGCTCCATCATGTGTCCCAATCAAGCCCCCACAATGCGAGTAAGGTCTAGCTGCGGACGCAGCCCCGGCCAAACACGCCCCGGCCAAACACGCCCCTATGTACAAAATTTGTACGCGTGCATGTACGAAGACGAGAACTCGCATGCGTGTTGCAAGAGATGGAAATGACGGTTCAGGTAAAGTCAGATTTATATTTTTACAACTTGCGAAGATTTTGTACTAGAAATTTGAACGTTTAAGACATAGTTTGATAGATAGCACATTCGTATTTTTTTTCTGAAACACTTTTATATAAAATTAAGCATTATTGGCAGTGGGGGAAGATGTCATGGATGCAAATTTTTTTAATATAATTTTTAATGGGCTACTTGCAAGCCTTTTGGCCAAAATAAACGTAACAATAGGCTATTTATTTGACCGTTTATGACTCCTCATCTAATAAGCAGCAAACTCACGACGGCAATGTGGTAGCCCGGAGGTATGCTACAAACACAAGAACAGTGCTAATGCCTATATGTATTGTTTTCACGTTGTTTATGACAGCCTCTAGGTGTAAATGTCATTTTTACTAATTGCTATTTATCTTTGTCTCATTAGTGAGAGGCAGCTGATGTCCTATGCCATGGAGCTGCTCATATACACGGAGAAATTCAGAAAAGCTCTGGACTCATCTCATTGTGTGGACATTTTTTATATTTATTTTTCTTATTAATGAGCATCCGAAACCATGAAATTTAAATGTAATAGGGTAAACCCAGTGCATTTAACATAATGCTGCACTTTAGAAAATGGGTTGAAATATAACATGTTGGTGGAGCTGGGTTCCGACTATCGGCTCATGGAGCTCTCAGGAGACCGATGTTTTCCACCTGTTTCTCCCCTCCCCGCAGCTTGGTGCATCTCTGTCTGATCGCGGCTTCTGTCTGCTGCGCGGGTAAAACTCCGACGTCGGTTGAGTAGTTTTAAGTGGTGTTTTTTACACTTTGGTGTTAAAAAACTTTCCGGTGATGTCATCCAGGCTTCCCCCCAGTGCTTTATAAGCCTGGCGGACCACCAGGCCTTGTTTGGCCTCCCGTGCATACTCCGCCCCCTTCTCATAGTCTGCCAGGCTCAGCTAGTTTTCTGGGGGAAACCCCTGCCTACTATTACCTTTGTACTCTCTTTAAGAGAAAGGACTTGTCTTCTCAAACCCCCCAGTGAGTCGTGACAGACGGCTGTTAAAGGGGAGTTTTCCCCTCCACCGTCACCACATGCTTGCTTAGTATGAGGATTGCTGTAAAGCCTCTGACACTAGTCAGTGACTCGATGCAATCCACTGGGTTCCTTATTTAGGAAACTTTTAACTGATTGGAAAAATGAACTGAACTTAATGCACTGCTTAATAAGTTCAATCGGAAAGTTAGCTTTGTAAAATGCCTTGCGGTGAATTGAAATGTGAATTGGTGCTGTTTAAATAAACTGAACTGAAATGAATTGGAATCTTTTAGTGCGGAGTTTTTATGTTGTGTTTTTCTCCAGGAGCTCCGGTCCCCCCCCCCCCCCCCCCCCCCCCTCCCCGGAAAAATGTAAAAACAAAAAGCAAAATAAAAGCAATAAAACAACACTTGTGACCTGCACTTGGACAAGTCTATTCATATGACATATTTTTTATTTGTATTTGACAAATTTCTATACAGAACTGCTTCCTGAATTTTAATCTCAGATCATAACAGAATTGCTTGTGGTGGCCTCATGGAGGGGGCCATCGACTAGCACACTGCTGCTAACCACTTAAACATTCTCCCTCTCCTGATAATAACTTTTTGCTTTCCTTGACGTTGGATGTGCTACAACTGTTTTATCCGTTTAATTATAGATCCACTAGGATAAATACAATAAAGTTTATCTTTCACCAAATAGAATATTTACTAAAACATCACAATATAAGTGTAGACACATTACTTGTCTTTGTGTGCGTGAGTGCGTGCGTGTGTGTGTGTGTGTGTCTGCTCTGTCTTCTCGATCCCCAGTGAGTCGTGGTGGATGGCTGCTTATACTGAGCCGGGATTCTCTGGAGGTTTCTTCCTGTTAAAAGGGAGTTTTCCTCTCCACTGTCGCTTTATGCTTGCTTAGTATGAGGATTGCTGTATAGTCACTGACACTAGTCAGTGACTTGATGCAATTTGCTGGGTTCCTTATATAGGAAACATTATTTCTGATTGGCTTAATGAACTGACCTGAATTGGAATGTTTATTATGTGAAGTGCCTTGAGACGACTTTTGTCGTGATTTGGCGCTTTATAAATAAACTTGAATTGAATTGCTTATAACATGAGCTCTGGCTATGTTACGACGCCCCCTCCTGGTTGAGATGAAAACCAACATTGATCCTGTGTACAGATGGTACAGATGTAAGTTTGTACTTCACAGTTGCAAGGTGAAAACCCATTTATCCTGAGGGTTAGTTGAACATATTGCCTTCCCTCCACAGGCTCTGATAATGGTACTCTCAGTGATGAGATGGGGTTCGACTCCCTGCGGTGACCTGCTGATTTCACTGACATGAAAGAGAAGAGGTGCTACCTGAAATGAAACAACAAATCCCAACAGAACTTTTATAACTCAGCAGTCAAATGACTGTACTGCTAAAGTCCTTATTAAAAGAGAGAGAGAGAGAGAGGGGGGGGGGGGGGGGGGGGGAGAGAGAGAGAGAGAGAGAGAGAGAGAGAGAGAGAGAGAGAGAGAGAGAGTGTGTGTGTGTGTGTTTGTGTGTGTGTGTGTGTGTGTGTGTGTGTGTGTGTGTGTGTGTGTGTGTGTGTGTGTGTGTGTGTGTGTGTGTGTGTTGTAACGTCCAGCAATGGTCAGTTTTTAGGTACAGTTTGACCATTCAACATCTGGTCAAAAAGGAGACACGAGACTGCATGTTCCCTTTAAATTGGCCTGCCTTCATCCCATCAGCTGGAGCTCAGAGCCTCTCTGCAGCTCTGAACACATGATAACAAACTGTCAACAATAATGTTCTCTCCTCAAGGTCCATCCTTATTGCCCTACAGGATTCTTCATGCCTAACACTCGCAGCTCGGATTAGTTGCCAAATCAAAGACTGATTTCCTAAATTAAATATGAACTTCAACAATTTATAAGCTAGATAATCATTAAATAAACGTTTGTTTATTGCTACTTATAATAATTATAATATAATGAAATGTTTTCATTAATCTGTGCTCAATGATTGAAGTGTGAAATGAATGTTATGTTATGATTACAGTGATTGAAATATGTTTCAGCATGTTTATACAACAAGGTCATCACCATTTGCACTCACACAAGAACAAAGTAAGGTTAAGTTAAACTCATGACACATAGATAGCCCTTTACCCCAGATCAGAGCCTCCGGTATCAAGGAAGGCGTGTTTCTGAGGTTGTCTTGGTAACATTCCTCAACTTGTCAACCTCTGGTTGGCTACACAAATCATAACATGCGAACATTAATACTGGATCACTCTGGTGATTCATCAGTTCTAGAGAAAGCTTCAGACCGGCCATCTGAAGCAAAACCTCTCTAACCCATCAAAGCTTTTGACACGCCGTCAAAATCTTTTTGCACCTGCGAAGCTGATACAGCGAACAGTTCCTGCAGAACAAGCTGATATTGTTCCAACTCCTTAAGAGTCCCAGACAAGTTCCATCCATCTGTCATGACCTGAGACATCTCTGGACTGAAGAGTCAGTGCCCCAGTATTCTACAGCCCTTTGGTGCCAGAGGTCATCCGACCTCTCTGACCTTCAGATCCACAAAGAGGGTCTCCGAGAACAGGTGAAGTAGACACAGAGATAGCGTGTGATGCCTTTTGATAATAAGGGTTAGGGTGCATGCATACATGTCCAAAACAAGATCTCCTCTGAGACAATCAGATCACAATCTTGTTTTTCTCAGCTCAGAATACAAACCACTTGATCAGAGGCAACCTGTGACAAGAAGAACTGTGAGAAAATGGTCACTGGACGCTGAAAAAGCCCTGCAGGGTTGTTTTGAGACCACAGATTGGATGACTCTCTTCCAAGGATATGAAGAGGACATCAATGCCATGACTGGATGTGTCACTGACTATATAAACTTCTGTGTGGACAATATAATACCCACCAGAACAGTGAGATGCTTTGCTAATAACCAGGGATGAGCCGGATACTCGTTTCAGACGAGCATCCGGTACGGATACAGCATTTTTGACGAGTACGAGCATAAAACGAGTAAAACTCGTAAATATCTGTAATCGTGCTGAAGGAAAATCCTCATTGGGTAACTGACTGTCTTCCCGCTCGGTGATTGGCCAGTCAAATAGAGCGCCCGCCCCTCCCTACATACAAAACTACAGCGGGAGCTCACAGCTCAGTCCGCGTCTGGTCCATCCACGCACACACACAGACAGTAACGGATCTCTCTGTGCTTGCTTCACCGTTCACGTTTCTTCAGTACTCCCTATGTTTTCTTCAGTTTGCTCATTTTTAAAGTTACTTTAAAGTTATTTAAAGTTACTTTTTTCGTAACGTACGTGGTGCATTTGACAAGACAGGTGAAAACGGCTCGTGCTGCGTCAGTCACTGCCTCCGCTCCGGTCTGGTTTTTTTTCCTCTCTCTCTCTCCTCTTCCTTAGCATCCACTCCCTCTTTCCTATTCTCTCTCTCTCTTTCTTTACATTTTTTAATCACAATTGTCTAATTTTTGCTCATTTTAAATATATTTTAATCATTTTCTAAATTCTTTTTTCTATTTTACATGTTTTGTTTTTGTGAAGCGCCTCGTGATTTTTACCTTGAGAGGCGCTATAGAAAAGATCTTTTCTTCTCTCTCTCTTAATTCATGCACTTAAATATTAATGTTCTGCTTTTATTGAAAAACTTGTTCTGTAATAGTCCCTTTACTATTGTGATCAAAAACATTTAATCTCAACTCTGAGGCTGCTCTGTAAATAGTTTTCAAATAAACAATACACATAGCAAGTCTAAGGAGCTTTGAAAGAAAAGCGTCTGGACTTCTTTGAGTTGCTTGAAGACGTTTCGCCTCTCATCCAAGGCTTCTTCAGTTCTAAGGTCAAATGGTGGAGAGTCCCAGATTTAAACCCAGTGGGAGTTTCCCCCCCCCAAAGAGGGAACAAAAGACCCACTGATGATCTTTTACATAAACACATGAGCCCAGGTGTGAGAGTGGGTGTGGGTCCCACATAGCAACTTCTGATCAGACTTAAAGTAGTGGTAATCCCCTGTCAGAGTCTTACTCCACCCACATTTCATATTTGAAAAATGCGGCCCAAAGAGGCGTTTCCTGTAAGACCGAGAAGGCGGAGCTACGACCGTGATTGACATACTGAAATTTGAATACAGATGGCAAACGGAGAGCGACAGTAGCTCAGAGCAGTCATTCGAGGTGGAGGACTTTTCCCCACCTTCTTCCCCAGAGGATAGGGAGGAGGGCTTATTGGGGGAAGCAAGCGGTCCTGAACCGTATCTTTTTGAGCCACTAGCTCGTGAGTTGTCAGAGGCCCCTGGAGCCGAGCCAGCAGGAGTATCAAGGCATCGAATGGGTCCAGTCTCTGAGTGGTAAGTAGCTTTTAGCCACAGCTAGCTATATTTAGCTTAGCTAAAAGTAATATTGTATGACTGCCTCAACAGGTGCACCTGCGGCCACTGCACATCATTGTCTGCCAGAGAAAATGTGTGCTGCAGAGAAACGCCCAAGGTATAAAAATAAAAGTACCCCACCATGAGAAAAGCATTCTGTAATGTACACATTTGTTACACAATCACTAACATCATACTAATATTGAACTCTTATAGCCCTGATATCAGTTGTTCTTTGTCATAGGTAATGCTCAGGTGTCAGCAGGTGGGTGTAACCTCCTGCATAACAGAGCATCCTGGTTTTGAGGCTGTTGCTTTGAATCCCTACGTGTTGCAGGCAGTTTATGGCACCTTTCTGCAACTCTATGGGGAGATGCAGGAGACTACGCTCAACAGGTAAGACAACTGTCAAAATAATTTTTTTATGAATACTTTATAACTCATACCACCTCTTTCTCAGCTGTTACAGACATCTGGCGTACCGGAATGTGGTCAGGTGGTGTTGGGGTTACCTGGGACAGCACGTTCGTGTTGTGATCCCGTCATGCGCTGTCTCCAGAATAAGGCAGGAGTTCCCAGAAGACGGTGCATACAAAGGATTCCTCCCTCCTCTGAACTAATATATATTTTTTGGATTAAATAAATGTTATAATATATATTTCCTGTATTGATTCCTGTCCATAAAAAGCTGCATAAATCACAAAACGGTAAATGCACTTCTTTACACTTTGACATTATTTATATATACACACATATAGCCACACACTTTCAAATGAGCTCTTACAACAGTAAGGTTCTAATTCGGGGTTAATTAATGCTGCTGTAACAAGTGAGTTTACACCCTGTGTGATTAATGAAGTCTATTCTAGAGCAGGTTCAATTAGGTAAAAATGAATGATAATTTAATAAATGTGATATATGTATTTATACACATCAAAATATCAATATAATTGTATTTAAAATGACACAATTGCGCTGCAAAGATAACATTTATTATAGCTACTACTAAGACAACGTTAGATTACAATCTGATCATAACTTTCATGATTTTTGACAAAACTAAACCACAAGCAGAGATTCTGGAGCCATGTGAGGATAGGTTGGGCCATCAGTGATGTTTCATAGGTTCCTTAGACTGGAGGTAGCTTTCACTGTGATGACAAACGTGGAGATGGATCCCGGGAGCACAGGTTTTTCTGTTACAAGATCAGGAGGCTCTAAGGAAAAAGTAATATTAGTATGACTAGTATGACTTACAAAAGCAAGACTGGTGAGTTTTGCTATGTTACATACGGCCAAGATTTTCAAGTTGTATGGGAGCCACAGAGCAGAAAGGTTGTAGAGATCAATAGACATCTGGGAGGTGGACAGCATGAGTCACGAGTGGATGAGCATAAAGATCCATAATGACGACAGGTAACTCCTCTGTCGTACAGTGGTGTGCAGCCTGGCTGAGGAGGAGAAAAGGAAAAACCACACAGAGTAGAGTACTAACTAATAATTCCAATCTCTTGTTGTGTAGCTCACCTTACGTGCACTTTAAAACCTGGACCTATGCCTGCTCACAGCATCCTGTTTATCTGGTCTTTGGAACTGGGCACAGAGAGGTTCTGGAACCGGAATTTTGTCCGAGTACTCCTGATATGGGAGAGGATCCACCACCACAGAGTCGAACAGCAGGTCCATAAGCTTGTGCACATATACTGGAAAAGGGTTTTCAGTATTACAATAGCTCTCCATGACATCATTTTGGTTTTATCATACAATATCTGACATACATGAGGTTGGATTGGTCTTCAGGGCTCTCACTGTGTAGTCTCCACGTTTGTACTTTGGGTACACTACAGCATATCTCAGCTCACCAGTTGCTGTTGCTGTTGCTGCATGTGAGCGTGCTGCATTTTCATTATAGTGCATTGCAGTAATTTGTAATCTGAAATAATCAAATAAACAAACCATGTAGATTTTAGGCAAAATTCTACATTTCATTCTAAAATTTGAACAATTAGAGGCATTAATTTGAACATTTGTTGTATTCATTACCTAGACAGCATTCCTTTGAAGGAGAAGACCTGACTTTTTGGAGTAAATCTGATGATGAGGCTGTGGAAAGCCTCCAAGGTGGATGTGTGGTACTGAGGGCTTATCTTCTCTACGTCCTTCACAAACCGTGGAGCTAACAGAATGGCAGTGAGCTTCTCACATGATGCTGTGCCTACGTAGAAAATGTTAATTACAAAAATTACAATTTGATCAACTTTAGAATGTTGCTATTATTTCATTGAGAAAAAGTTACCCATAGCTGACATTTTTAGATGACAAATGTATGAAAGAGTGACTAATAGTGCTGTAGACAGGTGTGGTCATTACTTACGGCATTTTAGTACATATTATGTCAATTATGGCTGTTCTGCCTAAAACCATGAGTTGTGTGGCTCACTCGTGTGTTTAAATTTCTGCACAGCATTTTATTCTTAGTAATTAATTGCTGTTGGCCAAATGGTGGTGTGTGACCTTAGCAGCTACAGGTGACGTCTGTAACTCTCATGCTCCAAAAATATTTCTCCATGTTGAAGGAGGTGAAGACAAATATTCTGTTGTGGGGTGACTTGTTCTAAATGTAAAGAAACCAAACAGTAAAGGCTCAGCTGTAATGAGTACATGCTACACTTACTTGGTTTGAGCCACTGTCTTGCCTGTTCTCCATCCAGAGGTGCATGCAGACAGCTAGGGAACAGGGCGTTGTCATGGCTGTGCACATTTTGGATGTGGCTGGCAACTGAAGTCCACTTTGCTACTGCCTCCTGTCCTGAGGAGGAACTGGATGCTGACCAGTAGAGGTGGTTCACCACACTTTCCTTCCACAGTCTCACATCCTGGGTCGTCTTTCTCTTCCCCAGCTCTTCGATTTTCTTACCAATTCCTGGAGAGCCAAATAGACCCACATTTAAAATAGGGAAAAAAAATCCTGTAATATTCACTATATACATCCCCAAAGATTACCTTTTCCCATGTGCCGGGGGTCAAAGTAGTGACTGATTTCCTTTTTTTCCTCCCGCAAATACTTCTGCACTCCTGTGTGGCGGTCAGTCACGACTTGCTGCACATCGACCCCCCTCTCCAAGTGTGCTCAGACTTCGCACAAATCCCTCCTTCTCCATTCGCACACTATTTCCAACTTCATTGCTCTGAAAATAAACATAATTCTCCATTGATCTGTGAATAATTAACCATGAAATGTGTTGGAATCATCAGGTAATGTTGTACCTGTACAAGCTGGATATCAATAACTTTGTTTCTTTTGAGATCCATCATGGTGTAGCTGCCATATGTGGCTGAGTGTCCTTCAAGAAATGCAAGTTATTACTTAATTTACATTTGATAGCAAAGGAATAAAATAAATAAATTTAAACGTATTCACCAGGTGAATCAGCTCGCATGTCACCACCAAGAGTCACAGGTCCAGATTCAGTAGCCTCCTGGATGATATCAGCTTGCTCTAGCTGCCACTGCCAGCTCACTGTTGGAATTAACAGCTTTGCCTGATGTCGATAGAATGACTGCTTGGACAGTCCCTGCACATTGAAGGCACCCAGGAACTAAAATATGAAAAGTTACGTCATGAAATGAGAGACACACAGACCTTATCAAAACCAACCTAAACAGTTTTGGCCTATACCTTAGAAATCTGGCTAAATGATGATCCTGTGAAAAGGACAGCAGCACAGAGCTGGAGGTTTCCTGCTGGGATGCTGTTCACCATGGGCTGACTGGACCACTCATTGTAGTGCTCACAGCATGAACACCGTTGTGTCACACGGAGCAGTGTGCCGACTGTTGTCGTGTTCACAACACAACGACCGGTACAAACGGGACACCTTCTGAACAGCCCCAGCAACTGTTTCTCATGAACAATGTACTTCTTGTCCTTTTGTGGATGGACCTCAGTGAAAGAGCTGTATAGAACACATACATTTATATATATGGTCATATCTAAAAAATTCTAAAATGTTATACTTTTTTTTTTTTTACCTTGAACAGTTCACTGAGCTTGCACTGTCATTGAGGTGGAAGCTGGGATCAACAACAGACACCTCATATCGTGGTCTTTTCAGGGGTGTGGACGCAGCTCTGGGACTTTGTGGAAGATGAATTTCCGTCACGGTCCCTGTGTCACAAGACACACTGCGGCTGGGAGCTCTAAACTGTGTGGCTATGTAAAATACAAAGAAGCAGCACATTTATAAATGTTTAAAAGAGCATAAAATCACGTGTAACAATAATCTGTAAAACAAATTAAAACTAGAAGGTAATAATAAAATGTTTACATAGAAGATTATTAAAAATAATTCACCTTTGCTACGTCGATAAGGCTTTACATGAGCCTGGACAAGTGCATTTTTGCAGATTACTAAATCAGTCTGACAGCCAACGTCTTGGGTAGATTTAGCCTGAAAAAAAAAATAGAAGCACATTGTTGTTGTTGTTTATAAAGTCAGATAATATACAAAAGAAACTGTCCGAAATATATATATATATATATATATATATATATATATATATATATATATATATATATAGGCGCTTTATGACATTCCTAGTGTGTGATCGTTATTATAACGTAAAAGTCAGTCACATATGATGTGAAGAACCTGAAATGCGACCTCCTGAACAGAATTCCTCACAGAACCGGGTTAGGCTTTGGTGTAAAGCTGGATTTCACGCTGTAATGATGTCTGTCAACTAGTGCTGCGTTAGAGCCACTGTTGCTGAATTACCGACTGACACAAAAACAACCCGGATTTTCTCCGAGCCTGACAGAAATAGTCATGTGGACCTTTTTGTCGGCCAGGGCTTCGAGAAATGTTCCGATTCGCCGCTGATTCTAACCTTACATCCCGTTCCACATTTTGTGAACTTGACAAATTAGCCCGAAGGCAGTGCAGGCTGATATTAGCTAAATGGCACTGCTGGACTGACCATAGGGCATAGCGGGCAATTGCCCGCTGGGCCGACCCTTTCATCTTTTATGGGCCGGTGTCTGTTTTTTTTTTTTTTTTTTTTTTTTTCTGGCCTCTAGTTGTTGCTGACAACTTGTCCGCGCCGCCCCACGCGACGCCTCGTAAAAGTTGGTGGATTGGCCAATTGGTAACAATACACTCTGGGCTGGACCAATAGCCAGAGGTCTGATGCACCCGCCAGTTGTTTGTGAATCTCAGTAAACAGACAGACGAGCTTTACAAAATGGAGAACAAAAAACGGAAAGCAGGAGCGGAGAAAATTCGACTAAAAAAGAAACTGGCCCTTCAGGCTGATGCTGGCACATGTGTTAAAATCTCACAGTTGTTTGGTAGTGAAGGTTCAAGTAAAATCAATTTAGGAAGTGATGGAGCCTCAGCCCAGCGACAGGTTGGAGAAGAAAAGAGGGAGGAGGAGGAGAAACCCGAGCCGGTGTTGTGCCATTAATCGACTCGCTGCCAAAAAATGATTAGCCACCGCGGGATCGCGCACGGTTAGGTAATTGCATTTCTAGACAAAATTCCCCAGGATTTCGCCCTAAAACTCAGCATATCTAGCAATATGGACATTCAGAAAGCAAAGATAACCTCTTCCGGTACTTAAACAGATGTTTATCGCGGATATTAGTGTGGCAGTGTTTGTGGCACCCTGCGCGGGAGCACGAGGACGTGCTTGTGGAAAGAGGGAGGAAGATGTGACAGTGTGAGCATCCACAATGTCCCGATTGATGTTGCGCCCTGGCTACTCGCCTAAGGGATGCCTCTTTGGCTGAGTGGTTAGAGCGTATTACTCTCTCCCCAGAGGTTTGGGGATCGAATCCCGCTCGGGCATTGTTTCTTCACCTTGCCACATAAGTTTTTCCAGTTCGGAAGTAGTTTTAAGTGTTGCTATTTGTCTTAAACGTTCACAATGAGGATATATTAATCCTTTTTGCAATATTTGCGATTGAAAGATGGTTTGTGGTAAGAACTGGCTTTCTTTATGTAACAGCCTTGATACTAAAAAAATAAATAAACAATGTAAAATGGCACCATGTATTGAATGTAAACGTTGTATAAATGTAAATAAACAATTCTCCAGCGATTTAATTTTTTCCCCTTCCTTTCTTTAGTCCACTTGACATGGAGCCACGGTTAACTAGTTTGGGGCACATTTTTACTTGAAAAATAGTATTTAAACTGATCAAGCTTTGGCTTTAATGAAACTGTGTAGGTTACTATCTATACATTACGTTGCTCTATTTAAAAGTAACAAGATAAAAGCACATCAGCACATACAATTAAGATTGTCACTTGCCAAATAGAGACTACACCCTCCTGTTTACCTATAAGAAACGCCTCAAAATGTCTTTAAATTCTTTATTGATGATTTAATTGTAGACAACTAAAATGGCATTTTACTTGCCAAAAAGTGATTGAATCGCTCAGATTTTCATGGAGGCTAAAATTGACCAAATAAGGGTTTTATGTATTATCTGTTGATGTTACTGTACTCATACTGTCTACTGTATCATCATAAACACCCCAAAAATGGCAACAAAAAAAGATAATTTCCCTTGCCAAAAATTGATTACAGTGTCCTGGTCACCCATAAAGGCTTAAATTGGCATAAATATGACTTCATTTATTATGATGCTGGGTGTGTTCCACAATCATATTCGAATAAACATGAAAATATTCCGTCCGAATATCTGTTTCTTGTTATAAATATAACAGCTAGAAGGATTTACAGTTAAAATAGGAGAAACATTTCAGGAAACTATTGTCAATTAACCACAGAAATAGGGACTAATAACATCAAGAGATAATAAATAAGGTAATATTTAGGTAAATTTAACCCTTTACACGTGACTCCCCAGGAAGGGTCGTAACACCACTTGCCTCATGCACATAAGTGACCAAAACAAAGCAGCATGGAGACACTCCGTCTCCAACCACCTCTCAGGCAGCAGCCTGCATGATCTACACGTCACCAGAATATAACCAACCGCAACACAATAAAAGCAGTGTTATACAAAATGGAAGGCCTGCAGTGTTTATTCTCTTACAGTAACAACTTATCAATTTTTTGGAGGAATTTATTTGAGATTTTTTGGTTTTTATTAATTGTGCAATAGAAAAATAATCGCTAAATTAATCATCTAAATAGTAATTAGAATAGTTGACTATTCGATAAAATAATCGTCAGAATAATCACTTTAAAAATAATCATTTGCCCCCAACCCTACTTTTTTAGAATACCAGGATAGGAAGGATGGTGTAGGTTTACGTTTATTAGATTGATACATAAATACTACCAATAAGAAAGTGTACGTTGGTGTGTGTCAGAAACAGCGTAAGGCTTAATGTCTTTTCCAAAAACCCAGGTGATGGGCCGGTCTCCAATCAAAATGCCCGGGCTGAATTTTTGTCCCAGTCCAGCCCTGCTAAATGGAGTGAACCACGTCTCTCAAACTTTGCATTTAGGTAGGAAATTGTCTTTAGAAGATGTTAAAACGTTTATTTAGCTTACTCACCTCAGACTGGAGCCCGCCATGGTGGGGGAGCAGAGTCGGTGGGCTGCATCTAATTTGTGGAAGAGCCACGGTGGGCACGGCCTCACTCTTCAAACGGAGACGTGCAGAATAACCCAGTTCAAACTCCATCATGTTGGCGAAGGAATCGCGGGTAAAATGCTGGTTGCAGACTACAGCACCAGGCGGGAGCTGACTGTTTTCCAGACACCGATTGCGCGCAACCACTGGCGCCTAATTTCTAAGTCCAGTGGAAAGGAGTGCAACCCCACAGAGCTACCACAACCAACTACACTACACCTTTTAACCATACTAACACTATATGGAACACTAAACCCGAATTACTTTCCTAATAAAACTAACAGCTAAACACTAACTAAACTACAATATCTAACAGCCAAGCTAACACTAAATAAGTATTTATAACACTAAAAGCTATGCTAAAGACTATAATATGCTAATGATATATGCTAATGCTGAACTACCGCTAACCGTCCTACACTCGCTTGCAAATCCAACTCCCAACTCGCCACAAGGCGTGGCCGAGACTCTCGTTGCTTTATAACTTTGGCACAAGAGCTGCTACGTAGTACTCTACTGGTTTACGTAGTATCTTACTCTTTAGCCATTGGCTAAAATTTATTCAAAATGTGTCAAATTCTGTGTTTTAAGCTGAAGGTGGCGCATTACTGTGGTTTTTAGGCTGAATATTTAATTTTTAAAGAAAATGCACCAAAATGCTAAAATAATGAATACACACATTTAAAACACTATTAGACACTCATTTATACAGTTCATCAGCAAAAAAAAAGTTAATTTAGACGTTACTTGCTCTTTAAAATAACGTACTGATGGAAACCACACCCACTTCCGGTTAAACTACACCCACTTCCGGGTTAGGCCACGCCCACTCCGAGTACAGAAACAGATACAGATATTGAACAGATACAGATAGTGGTGTACTCGCCCATCCCTACTAACAACAAACCCTGGATCACCAGTGAACTGAAGAATCTGCTAAATGAGAAAAAAAAAAGCCTTGAAGGAGGGAGACAGGGAATCATTGAGGAGTATAAAGAAGCAACTGAAGATCAAGATCAGAGACAGCAAGGAAGCATTCAGGAAGAAGCTGGAGAACAAACTACGGAGGAACAATATCAGAGATGTCTGGTCAGGGATGAAGAAGATCACAGGCTTCAAGCAGAGGAAGGATTGTACAGATGGCAGCCTGGACACAAGCCAATGAACTGAACAAGTTCTTCAATAGGTTCAGTTCAGGAACAAACCCAGCGTCCTCCTCGCCTGTCCTCAGCCAATCAGACATCCCATCCTCCTCTGATCCAACATTTTCCTGTCACACACCAGCTCTTTTGTCCTCTAACACAGTCATGGACTCTTCTGCTTCTATAAATCTGTCTTCAACCAAGTCAGGAGATGCTGCTGCCCCATTTACCTCCCCCTCACACCTATCTGTCTCTAGAAGTCAGGTGAAGAGGCAGCTGGAGAGACGGAACAGGAACAAGGCTGCAGGTCCAGATGGTGTCAGCCCCAGAGTACTGAAGGCCTGTGCAGAGCAGCTCTGTGGGATTCTGCAGCACCTCTTCAACCACAGCCTGGCCCAGGAGAAGGTTCCAGTCCTGTGGAAGACATCCTGCCTTGTTCCAGTTCCAAAGAAAACTCGCCCATCAGTCAATGACGACTACAGACCGGTTGCCCTGACATCCCACATCATGAAGGTCATGGAGAGACTCCTGTTGGTCCACCTGAATAAGCAAACTAGAACATATCAGGACCCGCTGCAGTTTGCTTATTGCCATGGAGTTGGAGTTGAAGATGTCAGCTGCTTCAACCAATCCACTGTCATCTGGACAAAGCAGGCAGCACTGTGAAGGTCATGAGGGCCGCCGTTATTGAGCTCGGGGGTCGCTCAGCTCAACAGGGGGGCGTGTTTTGTCGGGGGGGGGGGGGTATTATTGCAACTCAGCCTCGTTAGGAACCTCAACGGACCAGGGACTAAAACCTGGGAACAAGTAGAGCAAAAATACTGAACCGTGCTCTGGAAAAGATGGTTGGGCTGAGCTGCCCCGTTCTGAGTTATTCTGACCAGCAGTGCAGGCATGATGCACGCCACTGGTGCTAAACAGCAACTAAATAAATCAGAATTAAAACCACGAGGTGGGGACCTCAACTATCGCCTGGATTAAAAACTACCTGACAAACAGACCACAGTTTGTGAGGCTGAAGAACTGCACATCAAACCAGGCGATCAGTAACATTGGAGCACCACAGGGGACTGTACTCTCACCATTCCTTTTCACCCTGTACACCTCAGACTTCCAGTACAAATCAGAGACCTGTCATCTACAGAAATACTCAGATGACTCTGCAGTTGTCGGGTGTATCAGAGATGGACAGGAAGCTGAGTACAGAGAGCTGGTGGAGCGCTTTGTGGCATGGTGTGGAAACAATCATCTGACCTTGAACGTGAACAAAACAAAGGAGATGATTTTAGACTTCAGAAGAAACAGGGTGGAGTCAAACACTGTTTCCATCATGGGAGAAGAAGTGGAGGTGGTTGAGGAATACAAATACCTTGGAGTTCACCTGGACAACAGACTAGACTGGAGAAATAACAGCGAAGCCGTTTACAAGAAGGGACACAGCAGACTGCACTTCTTGAGAACGCTTAAGTCCTTCAGTGTCTGTAGCAAGATGCTGCAGATCTTCTACAAGTCTGTTGTTGAGAGTGTAATCTCTTCAGCCATCGTCTGTTGGGGTAGCAGCATCAGAAGCAGGGACCTGAAAAGGCTCAACAGCCTAATAAAAAAGGCTGGTTCAGTTCTGGGGACGACTGTGGAACCGCTGGAGGAGATAATGCAAAGAAGGATTCTCCAGAGAATCAAGAAAATGATGGACAACCCTGAGCATTCTCTTCACAAGACTGTCCGACAACGGAAGAGTGTCTTCAGTCAGAGGCTTCTTCAGTTTTGCTGCAACACTGACCGCTACTGGAGATCCTTCCTGCCAACAGCCATTGTAATATACAACAACTCTGTGATGACTTGATCATTATTATTATTATTCTGAGCTACTACAGCAATCAATTTCCCTCTGGGATTAATAAAGTATTTTTGAATTGAATTGAAATAAAGGATTCTTATTTTTTGCAACCGCTCCTGCCTGTGTAGCTCTGGGTTCTTGCATTTTGGGTCCAAACCTCCTACCCTCAACGTGACAAAGGTCCTCTGTGCATGTTTGTGTGATGATTTGAGGGAGCAGGAGGAGAAAAATATATGGGGATGGGGAGGAATGGATGGTTGGCCTAAACCCTCCAGGGAGCCAGCTCCCCCCACTGGCCCCAATAGGCACCTTTATTCCCAAAATGCCACCCAGGGCTCCAATCCAGCCCATCTAGCCAGGGCCCAAAGCAGCAGCATCATAGGGCCCCACGCAGTCCGAGAGCACCAACCCAGCCCCACCCCAGCAAAATCTCTACTCCCATCCCTGCATTTGCACAACCTCAAGAATACGTAAGACCTAAGACATCCAGGTAAGGTTGGGTCCTCCCCCTCCTGAACATCCCCCTCCCCTGTGATGGGACAAAATTGTTTTTATTTCAGAGTAGCCAAGACCTGACTACTCTGTAGTAGACCTATTTCAGACCTGACACCCCTGAGCCAGCAGCCAGACACCCAGGCACTGTTCCTGCTTTGTTCCCGGCAGCATACAAGTCAGGACCCAATCCCAAAGACCCCGGCCAGATCCCCACACGTGGCCAGCCGTCCCGCACATCCCGAGCATCCAGGCTCCCACCTAGACCCACTCAGTGTCTTCAGTCAGAGGCTTCTTCAGTTTGGCTGCAACACTGACCGCTACTGGAGATCCTTCCTGCCAACAGTCACTGTAATATACAACAACTCTTTGATGACTTGATTATTATTATTATTATTCTGAGCTACTACAGCAATCAATTTCCCTCTGGGATTAATAAAGTATTTTTTTATTGAATTGAATTGAATTATTTTCAAATGTGTGAGAAATCACAGCATTTGGAAATTGTTGCAAAAAACCCAGAAATAAGCAAATATAAGAAATAAGCACAATAAAAAATAGCTAATAATTAGAGAAACAGCTAATACATACAAGTCAGTGTAGGTACCAATCAGAGGCGGTCAGTTCAGGTGCAAACACAACACAGGGTCATGTGACTGGAACAAGCAGCTGGAGTGAGCAGTCCTAGGATTGTTGCTCATGAGTACAACAGCAGAGGGGAAGAAACGAGTAGCGAATAGTTCTGGTCCGAATGGGTCAGAACCTCCTGCCAGATGGTAGCGAGTCAAAAAGACTGTGTCCAGGGTCTGCTTGATCCAACCATGTTCTGGAGGTGTACAGGCCCTGTATGGAGGGGGGTTTCAGCCAATGATCTTCTCAGCAGAGCGTACAACACGCTGCAGCCTCTCCTTGTCCCTGATGGTGACTCCAGTATACCACACGGTGACAAGAGGTGAGGATGGACTCGGTGATTGCGGTGTAGAACTGCTTCATCGACTGTGCTGGCAGGTTGAATTTCTTCAGCTGCCTCAGTAGGTTCATCCTCTGCTGGGCCTTTTTATGATGGAGGTGACAGTGGGCTCCCACTTGAGGTCCTGGGTGATGGTGGTGCCCAGGAAGCGACATGAGTTCACCATCGTGACGGGGGTGTCAGACAAGGTTACTGGGGGGGGGGGGGGGGGGGGTGCTTCCTAAAGTCCACAACCTTCTGGGTGTGTAGCACCAGGTTGTTGTGGCTGCACCGGGACACCAGCTCATTCTGTGGGCAGACTCATCCTCGTCTGAGATGAGTCCAGTGACGGTGGTGTTGTCTGTAAACTTGATAAGCTTGACACTCGTGGTTGGAGGTGCAGCTGTTGGAGTACAGACAGAAGAGCAGAGGGGGGAGAACACAACCCCGAGAGGAACCGGTGCTGATGAACAGCTTCCTCCGTACGCACTGGGGCGAACGAGAACCCATACAAGAGATGTGCGTAAATTTTACATGCATCAATTTCTTATGCGAAGCTAAATCCAGTTCTTATTGGATTAAATGATTTTGTTGTGATTTTTGCACATTTAAAAAGTCCTGCAGCATCAGAAAAGAAAGTCTTGTGATAACAGCCACTTGAGCTCATTTGCATTTGTACTTTTGTGTCTTTTCAGCTGCACCCCGTTACTCTGTTATTATGTTTAAATCTATTTTAAAACATTCTTTCAACGTTATTCTTTAGCTTGTCTTCATGTTTTGCATCTTCTGCAGGGAGAATGTGTTGAAATGTCAGATCCAGTTCAGTCTGGCCAGCGGTGTCTGAAAGCTCCAGCTGTTTGATGGAGACCCAGTGTTTGTGAGAGAATAAACACTGATGTGTTACGCAGCGTCACCAGTCAACAGGGCAAAAGAGGAACTAGGGAAGGAAGGAAGGAACCTTTCCTCATTTTAGAACAAAATTCATGTTCCTATTGAGGCACACACACACACTAGCTGTGTGTCAGCCACTTTTCACAGTTTTTTCACTCAACAGTTTAGTTCTAATTAAACTAGCATCTTTACTCGGTAAACAAGTTGAAACTAATGAGTGTTGCACAGGTTAAAACTCACCTTTAATAAAAAACACATCAATTATAAAACTATCAGAAGAACCAATGAAACAAGAGATACAGAATAACACACAAATCACTCTGCTCACCAAAACCACCCTAGCAGAAAGCTTGCCTTTATAAAAGCTGTTATTTCCGGTTCTGACTTTCAAAGTAAAATGCAAAATTGTCATACCACACAAAAAGAATCATTTAATTATTTCCCAGCTTTATTATAAAATGTTTGTGTTTTTGTCAGTCTGTAACACATCTGTTAACTTGTAATCTGCTGGTTATTCCTGTAACTTACCAAACTGGCCAAAACATTACGACCACCAGTTCTGATCCACATTGAGGTTTGTGCACAATAAAAAGCTGTTAAAAGCTATAAAATATAGTTTAGGCAGTTGAGAGCAGTTTTTCTAAACGATGTATTAATTTAAAACATCTTAAATAAATGGATCCTGTCACCTGGTTTTCTGCCAGAAAAGCACCATCTTACAAAGTTTGATTGGAGTCAGCGAGTTGTTCAAGACACTAACAAATATGTGGTTTTTAACAAATCTAATGTGTTGTACCGCAGTCATAAGAGTCATCTAAAGGTGTTCTTCTGCAACCATAACAACCTTATTATGAGGGTGTGAACGCCCCACTGCCGGTGATGGTGATCTAGTTAATCCTGCATCAGAAACATTGGAAATATAAAGAAGAAAATGACCACTTCTTGGCCCTAAGATTCATGGTTTTAATAAATACAAATTGTCACACTGATGTAAACAGTCACCCGAGTTTTATACTAACTCTCTATAAAAACACACTCCTATTAAGTTAACCAGCCATTAGATTCAAGTGCTGGTGGTGACATCATGTAACGATAGACATATATTAATCCATGTGTCACACACATTTCATAGTGTGTTCTATGCAAATAGATGGTATTTAAAAACACAGAAAACCTTTCAGATACATGTATTTACATGTTTCAGATCTTTGCAGAATAAACCGGAGATATTTTAAAACTGTAAACGAGAAATAAAGTGGTTTATAAAAGCAAACAAACGAGAAAAAAGGGCAAAATTGCTGTGCTTTTACTTTGACGGCTTACTTCCGGTTTCGGTGTTGTTGCGTCACTACTATCTGTCGCTTCACAGCTGAGTGAAGAAGCCTGACGGAGGCTGAAGGAGGAGAGCGGAGATTGAGGGGCGTCCTGACAGAAGCAGCAGGAGGAGAAAAACCAGTTCACCCACTCACCACCAGTTTCACCTCCTCTCCCACGAGACAAACCAGAGTTCTCTTTGTTTTTGGGTTTCCGTCAGCGACCATCGCGCAGCCACAGCAACACCGCCTGACTGGGAAGTTTGGTCTCGTCCCGGTGATGTCCGGATCGTACTGCAAAAGTTTGTACCCGTTCAGCGGGGAGCAGCACCAGCAGGGACTGAGCTTCGAGGCTGGGGAGATGATTAGGGTGGTCCAGGCTATACCCGGAGGCTGGTGGGAGGGGGAGAAGGATGGAGCCCGGGGCTGGTTCCCCTCAAGCTACGTGCAGGTCCTGGAGGTAAGAGACCCGTCCTGACCCCAAAACAACCTCCAGCGGTGAGCCTTCTGAGGAAAACGCTCTGAACAGCTTTATTTGCTCTCTCTCTCTCTCTCTCTCTCTCTCTCTCTCTCTCTCTCTCTCTCTCTCTCTCTCTCTCTCTCTCTCTCTCTCTCTCTCTCTCTCTCTCTCTCTCTCTCTCTCTCTCTCTCACACACACACACACACACACACACACACACACACACACACACACACACACACACACACACACACACACACACACACACACACACACACACACACACATACACACACACACACGCTGATACGCAGCTCTCCCTGCTGGTTCCGACTGGGCGGCTTCCTCATTCCTCACACATTCCAGGGATGCGTTCAGGTCCCCCAAGCCACACGCCCCACCAGGTCTCCAGAGGCGAATTAAATTATTTTGGGGCGGAGGTGAAGCACAGACTTGAGCCCCCCCTCACCTCTTGCCATCATTTGTTTTAACATATACCATAAATCCTCTAATATTGGCAACATTTTGGCCGGTGTCGGCGGAGGTGAATAATGGCCGGTTTTTTATTGTGGCCGGGTGGAATGTGGTAACAAGCAAGAACGGGGGGCGGTTGTGTCATCCGTCTCACTTTTGATTTGCCAGTGATAGACCGCGAGGGTAACTTTAACCGTGCGGAGACGAAGAGGAGGCGAAAATTTGATATCAAGTTCAAAGAGAACGTGCTGATTATGCTGCAGAACACTCTGGGGAGCAGTAGCAGGGTTGTATGAACTAGTCACTAGTCGACTTCACCGCTCTATAGTGACTTTTTATGCCTGTCATCGACTAGTCGCTGTCACGTGATAATGACCGGCAAGATGTAGTCCATGGAAATAGAGCTGAAACGATTCCTCGAGTACCTCGAATAATTCGAGTACAAGAAATCCTCGAGTCAAATTCTCTGCCTCGAGGATTCGTTGAATTCATATTTAATTAATTCATGGCTTTGCAATCGCCCGGGGTCATGTTTCACCCGGACCGAAATAAGTGACGCACATGCCCACTGGACTGAATGCACAGCGAGTAGCGAATGTAACTTAACTTTCTCTTAAGCCATGGCGGACAACTTGTACCCCGGTGGAGTGAGAAAAAGACAGAAAATGTCAAAGGTGTGGGACCATTTTTTACGTCGTAATGCGGAAAACGTAGTCCAGTGTAAATACTGTAAAATGGATTTAGCCTACCACAACACCACATCCTCGATGCTGCAGCACCTGTAAATGTCACTTCTGCAAGCGGACTCGGAGCCTCTACAAGATGATGCATTTTAGCCTGTATTTCTATATATTCTGCGGACACTGCGACTTTTTCATTTGTAGCACTTAGTTTCAGTTCACACCGTACGTCTGGTAGCAACACTTCGGACTTAAAATGTGCTAAAAATAGCAGTTTGGCAGTCAGGTTGTTATTTTTTGCACAGGCATTTGTTTACTGTGAAGTAAAGTTGAAGTGCTGAAGTTTTGCAAACTAATTTTGAATAAAACTTGAAGAATAACTGGCAATTGCTTTCTCATTTTAAGAGGTCTTTCATAATTATAACATGCTATTTGATATAATGGTTTACAAACACAAAAGGGTAATTTATTAGAGTACTCGATTAATCGAAAAAAAGATTCGATAGAGTACTCGATTACAAAAATATTCGATAGCTGCAGCCCTACATGGAAAAGACAGCAACCTGCTCCCAGCAGGTGACAAGCTCCTGCGCGTCGGGAGGCAACGCGCTGTGCCAGAGCGTCGGTACTGACACCCGCCGTAAAACGGACATTTAACTAAATTGTGACCTTTACCCTCTTGCAATTTAACCTTCCCCTCACCCCCATCCTAACCTTAACCAGCTTGCGCATGCAAAGCTCTGATTGTTGACGTGCTCCAGACATCTGCGTCCTGAGCACGGCCACAGTAACATTATCAAATCAGGTGTCGCCACCTCAAAAACTAATTTAACACACGATCATTCATGTCGGCTCATTTCCTTTTATGTTTTCTGTCTTTTATTCTTTTATTTGTGCCTGATGCTTTTCGCTGCTGTGGAGCGGGGCGCATCACCTGTTTTGTCCTCGGTGATGCACCTAACTGATGTGGCCAGCGAGCACTCCGCTGTTTTTGCGGTCGGTAGATCTTTTAGAACTGCAGTTCAAAGGTAACTCATGAGGTGAAAATATATGACCCCAGGTAGCAGTTTCTCTTTAGGATTGAGAGGAGATGCAGGAAGATAATAAACAGGCAGGACAGAAAAATAGTCAAATAAAAACAAGTTAGTTTTTGTACCTGGTGGTTGCAACAAACAGACACCATTGAAGGTAATCAGAAGTGAGGAACAGAAAATGAAATAATTATTTTAATGTTTAGAGCAGCAGGAACTCTGAGAGGCTGCAGGCGCATCAGTGAGTTTGCGGCCGCTGCGCAGGGGGAGGGGGGAGAGGGCTGAAGCAGGGGGAGGGGGGAGAGGGCTGAAGCAGGGGGAGGGGGGAGAGGGCTGAAGCAGAGACTACCGTTGTTAAAAGAAATGTGTTTAACTTTGAAAATGTGGGCGCAATTTTAATTGTCAAAAACTCCAGCGAACCATTAGTTCATTTTGCTCAAATAGAAATAGAGGCCTGCCTCTAATACTGGCCCTCCTTCCAATAAAGGCCTGGAGCTTGATGAGCTCGAGTCAAATACAGGCCCGGGCCTGTATTAGAGGATTTACGGTAAACACAAATTCTTAATAGGTCCGGACACCTTTGGAGGGTTCTGATGGGTGCTTGAGATCTCTGTGGCAGTAAGTTGAAAGGAACACTTTTTTATTCTCAGATTTTTACTAATATGACACAAATAAAAAAACACAACTTATACTTTTTTCAGTTTTGTTTTAAGGTCGACTTTACTGAAAAAACTAGATTTTTTTCTGATTCTAATGGGCCTCTCTGACATTAACATGCAGGCTGAACATGAAAAAGTCTACACCCATCTCCTGCTCTAGCTTCTGATAGAAATCAGACGATGAAACTCTAGGATTAGAAACTCCTGACAGATCTACGTCACACTGTCACTTAACATTCATGGACTCACCCATCTCGACTTGCAACGGGGAAGGCTGTTGCTGGTGTAGCATCCAGGAAACAGCAGAGAACGTCTCGACTAGCAGAAGCTAAGGTTAGCATTAGCAACTCCACCACACAGCAGAACTCCTTCATGCTTGTGTTATTTGTGGAGATAAGACATCAACGTCGCAGAGCAAACAGAGTCAGTAGCAGAGTCGTGTTGCTAATTCTTTCAGTCTAGTTTCTGAAACAGGCGCACCAGAAGCCTCACCCCCCAGTATGACTTACAAGGCACTCATTCCATTTAGAGACAACAAAAAATGTGTTGAAAATTAGTGATGCGTCGATATGAAATATTTGGGCCGATACCGATATCTGATATTAAGATCACTGTTATGGCCGATAACTGATATTTGCCGATACTGATATACTGACATTAATACTTATAAATTCAGCAGAGTTTTTATAGAATGAAAATGATTAAAGCTGAATTAATGTTATTATTTACACACACAACACACACACTTACTCTTCTGAGATGATTACAATCACTGTCACATGACTAAACAAATACACATCACCCCCTCACCTTCTGAAACAGACAAACAAATGGAGACAAGATGGAAAAAATATTGGTTGTTAAGATCGGACGGACATGTTAAAAAATGACTAACAGCGGCCGATACTGATATTGATGCCGATATATGCATCCCTATTAAAAATATGAGTAAAGTACCACTTAAAATAAAATAAAAATAAAACATTTTGTACTGATTAACTACTCTGAAGGAGCCTCATTTATCAAGCTTGCTTACGCACAAAACGGGGTAGAAAAACTGCGTAAGCAACTTTCCACGCAAACTTTGGGATTTATGGAAGAAAACTTAGCGGAAAAATGTTCGCAACTTTAAGTTGACTAAGGACCTGGCTTACACACATGTTGGACATGGAGAGCACCTGCAGTGCTGCTGCTGAGAAGATACAATTATGAAATCCTGCAGCATTATCACTTGTACCACTTCGTTTTCACACAGAACAAGACCCCCCACACGCACACACACACACACACACGCACGCACGCACGCACACACACACATACGCGCGCACACACACACACACACACAGACTGAAGCCAGAATACAGAATGCAGAATATCAGCAGGGGGACAGATTGAGTCAGAACGACATGTCTGTGACAGCGTGTGTGTCCTGTCACTGTGACCCGATTGATCATGCGTCCTGGCTACTTGTACAGGGGAGATCTCTGTTTGGCTGACTGGTTAGCACATGTGACTTTCACCCGGGAGTCTGGGGATCGAATCCCGATTGGACCATTTTTTAAATATCTGCCACCGATCTCTCTGACGAATTAACAACATTGACAGCCTCAGCAATGCCGTGCCACTCCGTGGATTTTCTCTTTTTTGTTTTGCAAAAGCACTTCCTTTCATTTCTCCACCTCACCCACAGGTACCTCAATTTCTGCTTCTGTGAAATTGCGCTTCCTTGATCTGCCTTGATCTACTGTCGCCATGTCATTGGCGGAGCGCTGCAACAGCCGGATTATGCAGGGTTTTTCCTGGCTCAAATTGCGGCAGAGGTGGTACCATCCTGACCTTGCGCCAGCACATGCATACTGTGGGCATTCAACTGCCTCACTTTTTTAAAGGCTAAATATTATAAAAGGCTCATTAATATGCATTAGATTGGTGTTTAGTTCCCTTTTGCCCATCTGATATTCATAGTTAAAAATATTTTGAAATATTTGACCTATATTTCAGCAAAATTTTAGGTTTGTATTAATAACACTCATCTTAGTCAAAATAACACGTAAATATATCCAGTAAAATATAATGCATTTCATTAACATGCATTTGTATTGGAAATGGTAATAACATTTAATTTCTGCTGCTAACAATGTAACAGTGGCATGTC